GTGTGTGTTCTTACGTTCTAATGCACCTAATGTTTTTAATGTCAGATAGCTGGTGATTTTCAGGGTCAATGTTTTCTCGGTTTTCGTTTAAAACCTTCCAATGTATTTTGACGAATTCAAATTTCCTTATCTGAATGACAAAAGAACATCTAATACACTCGTGTACAGCGAAATAGTGAAAATATCATCCACCAAAAGTAACCGACAACACGATATTACAAAACAACACCCGTCACGTGCTGAAACTTTTTTTCGGATATTAAGCCTTTTTTAAAATATTTTTTATCAATCTAAATATATGCGCACTTGCCTCTTTAAAAATCATTATCTAATGGTTCACTAACTAAACCTATTATCACACAGCGGATCCAACAACATGTAGATGAAGCAAAATGCAATTTACGAACCAGCTGTTTTAATGAAAGCGACATGCATATTTCATGAAATCGACACCAAACCGTGGAGAAGTCCCGTAAATTAATTGAATATAGGACCGTAATGATAGTATCCTGCTTGTTATCCGACAACCTATCTGCTGGAACAAAACTACATGTCCCGACTTTTGAAATAATTTGGTACGGGCTACTTGCAACACTTAACGTGCCATAAGGCGCCAGCATGTCGGTTCTGTCAATTTCTTTAATCTGTTGTTTTGTTTGTCACTATAGTAGTATGAATTTATTAATTCATTTATATTTCTTCAAGGTTAAGTTCCATGAAAACTTTAAAAAGAATGTTTAAAAGAAAGAAAATTGATATTAAAATTCAAAGTTTTATACTAAGTAGACAGAAGTCGAGGAAATTTTGAATGGAAAGAAATGTAAACGTTTAAAGCTTAAGTAGTGAGAAATCCGGGACCTCCTACATAAAGGGCCATTTTGAATTACAAAATCGATCTTGTTCGTGGATATTAAGGTTATTATTGTGGGATGCCATGGTATCATTTTATTCATCCTATATTTTTTGTTCTGTCCTATATCGCGGCGACGCATGGTTAGCATGCGACGTGCCTTCCGTATGTTTTCAATAAGGTTGTCACAAAGCACCTGTTTACTGATCTATAAACCCACAAAACCAGCAAACAAAGTAAAACGTGACATGCAATTTGGCATTATATACGAGATGGATTAATCGTTAAGCATGCCATGGCCTCCAGGAATACAACACACCTTGCGAAGAATACTTCATTCATCAAATGCAAATGACAAGCCTGACTATTCGGAACATTTTAGAGTTTAAATGTATTTGATGTAGGTTATTAGATTGAGTTTTTTTTTTACGCACGTGTCTATCGGACTTCTTCCATCATAATAAACTAATACGGATCCATATAAAGGATCTTATCTACCAGCGGCTCCGGAAAAAAGTATCGATTCTGCTGGTCACAGCCACATAAGAGACCCCATTTATATGATACACTGTTGGACTTTAATAAGACTTTGTTGACATACATATACATGTATCTATAATAACATATGTATTCTTAGCATACCGTCAACGCTATTTATAGATTTTTTTTGTTACCCAGAATAATAAATACAGACATAGACCGAAGTTCTGTTGTGTAAAAGCGCGAAGGCTACTGCTGAATAATTCTACTTCCGGTCTGAGATTATAAATATTTATTGTCATCTATGGATATCTCTCGCACATCCGGAGACATAAATGAATTAGCATCGATTGTCGTATTAAAGTCTCCTAAAATAAGTTGTGTTAGATTCGTCATTGTTCGATCTGATCTTAAAATACGATTTATATTATGTTTTAAATGCAAGGTTAAACATCAATTAATCAGGATTTCAATGGTAATTTTAGTACTAGGTAATGTCAACATTTTAGATTTCATGTTAAATTGGAATTAGGATTGGTGCCACAAAATATTAGCAAAAGATCAAATTGGTTTTTTTTTGTACAATTTGCTTTAATTGACCAAAAGTTGACAATTGCAACATATTTTCTTCCTTTTGAATAAAAAACAAACAATAAAAAATTATTTTCAGTCTTTATTTGAATATCGCAACAATTCCTAAAGATCAATTTAAGTGAAATTCGAATCTGTTCAAATATCTTTCTTTTAAGTATCATGATGAAGGAAAACACTTGGATGGTGCTTGCATTAACAACAACAAATAAATAAATATTATAACAAAAGACGATCTTTAAAAACTGTACAACAAATCAACAAACGGAACGCAAGAGATGTCTTCTAATACCTATAAACGATATCAAACTTCGTTACAAGGAATATTTCGAGAGGTGAAATTTGAAATTCAGCATTTTGGTGTAGACACATTAAACCGGTCCTCGCCTTCTTAAACCATAAAGTAATAACACTTTATTGTCATGTCAAAAATACGTCTGTTTGTTTGCTTCGCTTATCAACTCGTGATTTGTGTAGTAGCTGATGACTAGTTCAGTGAACATCCTGCGGAAGGACCGTTGCCTATTATCCGGAGAGATTGGAGAAGAGAGCCGTGCCCAACGACACAATCATAACAATAAGATTAGAGTTCGAATATCGAACAGTTCTGTGAATGTCAAACAATATATACATATATCTCCTTAACGTACATTGGTATATGTTCAAACTACTTTCAAGCAAAAGGCAAGTAACATAAGTCACTAGTGTAATATACCTTGGAGCGTTTTTCATTGGCTGTTGCCAGTTAGAATCAGTTGTGATGTCATAATTTCCACTATGACGTTACGTCATGAATTGTCAATGGCGAACAATATTGCTGATACCGTTTGATTTTGTCCTTTACTTTTTCACTTGAAAATCTGTCAAAATGAAATATTTATGAATTTGTAACGATTAATTATCACGTGGATCTTGTTGACGAGGTATACTATTTTGTTAGCGAAACGACGGTACTTCCTGTCTTCTTGTCTAGGGAAATCAACAAAAACACGAAATTGCGACACGCTATCATCGCTCTGATTCCCGCGTGGTGATGCGTTGCATTAAACCGTTCCAGAAGAGTGAAAAGTCTCTTTTCCGCATAATTTGTTTTCCGTAGCCTCCCTGGTACGCGAAGAATCGTACATAATAAATGCAGAGTAGGTTGAAAAATGACACCTAAACGAAATGAGTTACTGATCGGACATTGTCTGATAGAGAATGAGTTCAAGACAAGGTACGTGGTGAGTCTGGTACGGATTAAGTTACGGACAAGGTACGTGGTGAGTCTGGTACAAATTAAGTTACTGACAAGGTACGTGGTGAGTCTGGTACAGATTAAGTTACTGACAAGGTACGTGGTGAGTGTGGTACGGATTAAGTTACTGACAAGGTACGTGGTGAGTGTGGTACGGATTAAGTTACTGACAAGGTACGTGGTGAGTGTGGTACGGATTAAGTTACTGACAAGGTACGTGGTGAGTGTGGTACGGATTAAGTTACTGAGTGTGGTACGGATTAAGTTACTGACAAGGTACGTGGTGAGTGTGGTACGGATTAAGTTACTGACAAGGTACGTGGTGAGTGTGGTACGGATTAAGTTACTGACAAGGTACGTGGTGAGTGTGGTACGGATTAAGTTACTGACAAGGTACGTGGTGAGTGTGGTACGGATTAAGTTACTGACAAGGTACGTGGTGAGTGTGGTACGGATTAAGTTACTGACAAGGTACGTGGTGAGTCTGGTACGGATTAAGTTACTGACAAGGTACGTGGTGAGTCTGGTACGGATTAAGTTACTGACAAGGTACGTGGTGAGTCTGGTACGGATTAAGTTACTGACAAGGTACGTGGTGAGTGTGGTACGGATTAAGTTACTGACAAGGTACGTGGTGAGTGTGGTACGGATTAAGTTACTGACAAGGTACGTGGTGAGTGTGGTACGGATTAAGTTACTGACAAGGTACGTGGTGAGTGTGGTACGGATTAAGTTACTAGTCTGGTACGGATTAAGTTACTGACAAGGTACGTGGTGAGTCTACGGATTAAGTTACTGACAAGGTACGTGGTGAGTCTGGTAAGGATTAAGTTACTGACAAGGTACGTGGTGAGTCTGGTACGGATTAAGTTACTGACAAGGTACGTGGTGAGTCTGGTACGGATTCCGTTACTGACAAGGTACGTCGTGAGTCTGGTAAGGATTAAGTTATTGACAAGGTACGTGGTGAGTCTGGTACGGATTAAGTTACTGACGAGGTACGTGGTGAGTCTGGTAGGGATTAAGTTACTGACAAGATTGGTGATAAGTTACTGATAGGACTCATGTACTTGGTGAGTCTGACATCTTGTAGATCATTGACAAGGTATGTTGTAATATTCGGCATGGATTAGATAAACTGACGGTATACATCTACATTGTTGTAGTTGAAATCAAATAAATTAGCAAGACTTTTGTAGAAATTAAAATCCATTTAAGGTCTTTGATTTATGAATGCAAAATCCTTACAACATTGACATCAACATGTCTATAATTGTTGATGGTTTCATGATTTCTATGCCTGTTTTATTTTCTTAGATGTCCATGGAGGTCAAAGCTCACTTGAGTTCGTTCCGACACAAACTGGTGAATGAAGAGGATTCAGTGATATTTATATGGCTGCATAAAAGAATTATTCTGATGGAAAGTGTTAACTAGAGATTTGAAAGTGTTTATATATTATTGCATTATTGTTAATAAAAACCGGGGACAGTGTCGCCTTCTGTGTGCAAAATGCGTCACCTGTAAGATGAAGAGTCTATTGAACCGGTTACAACGTCACTTGTAGAAGATAACGCCACCTGTCGGACATTAAGACATGAGTAAGTTGTAACGAGGTTAACGTCACGCGCCGGATATTACGCCACCTATCGGATAAAAATCCAAATCTGAGCTGTAGCGTCACCCGACGATTATAATGCCACCTGTTACTGACAGTAATATGGCATTTCAGAAATAAGTAAGATGTAAAGACTTCCGTCGAGGATAACGCCGCCTATGGGATGTAACGCCACCTGGTGGTTGCAGTGTTGAGTGGTATTGTCAACAGAATCCCCAATAGATATGAAAGGCCGCATCACTCTCCGGAGGGTATATATCCCTTCTGCCGTGTTTATTCTCTGTATCATTATACAGCTACGCATCCTTTTTGTTGGTACGTACATTCGTTATTTTAAGGCCTGCTTGCTTGAGTTATACAAAAAAGATATCTTTAATAATCTTATCAGGCAGCAACACGAGCGATAAAGATCTATTTCTGGTCCTTGCTCATCGGAAAATTATATCGTTCAGAATATGTTATCCTTTATCCTATCAAATGTCGAATATCTATATTAAAATTCCATATTTCTCACTTTTCAACTTGTTTCATATCTCCAAATTTCCGATAACCTAAAAAAAAACTTTTTTACTTCCTGAATCTATAAAAAACATAGAAAATTATTTTTATCAAATACTTACATACAGATCTGTATTTGCTAATGTTACGTAAATCCGTCTTTTTCTATAAATGTAACTGCAATGGTTACTTAGTTTGCACGATATTTTAACAGACGTAAAAAGTTACCGGAAGTTAGTGTAATATGCTTAAAATATTTTGTGTATTTCTTTACTTATTTTTGAATTAAATTTCGTTTATGTAGTACCTACGCTTTCATTTATATATTGTTTTCTTTTTGCACTTTTTAGTGCCATCAGACAAAGAAAACAAGATCTGCAATGAAAAGAATTCCGTCCCGAGGAAAGTAACTCCGAGAACCATAACAACCAATGTAAGAATTTCTTTTATTTCAGACATCCATGTTAAACACTGCAAAATCATATCAGGGTCCAGCTCTCGTGGTTTCATAAGAAATGTACATTCTGACGGCATTCGATTTTATGGATAAATCTTCCTTGATAAACCCATTAGTACTATAACTTATCTGTTTATCATTTCGTCTCTCTTTTGGATTTAGATTACCCACAGGTAAAACGAAAATAAATCACCCACGAAAATAAACGATTTTACAGTAAATGATATTGTTCGGCACTCGCTAGATACAAAAGTTGTTTTAAAAGTTTGTTTGAAAAACTTGAAGCTGATCCGTCAAATTAAGCTTATGTTTGTTTTCATAACCTTCTCTTTTGACGAATACACAACATGCCATTTTCTATCCCGAAGAATTGAAACTTGTGTTAAAATCCTGTCGATTTCCTGTCAGTTCCCCGTAGAAAAGTATTGACTTCATAAATATATAAATAATTATGTCTATCTGAAATCTAAAGATGATTATAGAACTATATTGCACATTTACAATACACTCTCCTCATATATGACACAAAAATGTTTCACAGATAATCCCGTACATCCTCAATACTTCAGAGATTCCGCTCACTATCGCTCATGATATTTAAAAGCAATTCAATGAAAATGTGGAAAATTGCTTTACCCTTAAACTGGAAGTCAGACGAAAAGCAAAAACAGGCGTGCTTTTATCTGGTTGGTTAAAACTTTATTTTTGGCAAGTTGCATTTCAGATCATTAATATATAAGCTTGTTAAGTGTGTTTAAATTATTAAAGACTTTTAGCATGCTTGTATTTCACCATAAATGTTTTGAAAAGGAAACTTCGTTTTCAGCCACTTTAAATTTCCTCAAAATTAACTAGAAAAAAAAATCTCGATGGTATCGATAACTTGTCTTTTATATGTTTAAAACTGTTTATTTGTCCTTTAGAAGATATGTCACTTTTTTAGAAACGGTCTAAAGCATTTGTATTTGAAGCTGTTTAACTTTTCAGAAACGGTCTTTAGAATATGTATTTGAAGCTATTTAACTTTTCAGAAACGGTCTTTAGAATTTGTATTTGAAGCTATTTAACTTTTCAGAAACGGTCTTTAGAATTTGTATATGAAGCTGTTTATTTGTCCTTTGGGAGATATTTAACTTTTTAGAAATGTAATGCATATTTTGAGATATTTCTGTTGTATATTTGAAGTTGCCAAATGTATATGTTTAAAACTGTTTCACGTGTGTTTGAAACTATCTATCAAAATTATTGTATTGATATCTTTTAGACTGCCATGACGGATATCATCTATAAAGAATGGTTATCCGAATTCAAGAATCCTCTGACTGGGGTGAAAATGTCCAAAAATATTACTAATTTTCTGACGACTGGACTCACTATGGTCAAGAACAGTTCTCTCTCATACGAATACTTCTCCGAACAAAGCAAGCCAAGTAAGTAATATATTGAAACCCATTCTAGTCAAGATACGAAAAAGTACAGTCAAGCCTTTCACTGATCAAGACAGAGAACGTGACAAAGTGCACAGCTGACAAAAGCTTGTACAAAAAAAATTACCATCTTTATTTGAGAATAAATGGAATGCATTCATTAACGATGTTTAGTTTTGTGAAAGTTGATATGTCTGTTAGATTCTTATTTTCTCTATCGTCAAAGTTGAAATCAAATCGCGAAAATATATGTCTTGAAATAATGTCCGTGAATAAAGTATATAAAAATATATTTATATATAAAATATATTTCCCACTTTCGTTTAATATCCTTGCATATGGTTTCCATATCTTTATTATGTTGTGCTTCAAAAATAATGAAAATGTGCGTTTTTAATTATGTTTATACAATGGCTCCCTCCAAACGAATGTTAAAGTTATACTGACAGTACTATCCTTCATTAAATCAACAAAAGACTCAAACCTAGTTATCGGACAACCACGGCAACCAGAACTTCCCCTTTTATCTCTTCCCTCGTCTTCTTTCATTCTCTGTGATACGTAGGATAGTAATAATTGATATTGAGTACTAGTGTATATTTTTTTAAATTGTGCCATCACGTGTTATCTGGAGTTATTGTGTATTTTAATGTTGGGAGAGGGTCTAGTAAATTGCAAGAGCTTGTGCCCAATACCTTTGATATATTGACAATAAAGATGTGTTTCAATGATCCCTGTATAGTAACACAATGTGAGACGATGATTTGGATTTTCATCCATGTTTTTTCCTGAAAATCTAAATGTAATTCTCAGTGTATGCATTATTATTCACTTTCTCCAAAACTCTGAAAATTTCCCATAACGATAATGAGCCAGAATCATATTATCTTTTACCAGGGTTTGTCAGTATAGGGATATTGGTCACCGAGATTGGTCAAATACAAAACACTTTCAAGACAATGGACACCCTTCTGGAGGAAAACGCCGGTGAAGATAGGAAAAAGTTCCTTATCGTTCTAGAACTATCCATGCGGGACGCTGACCTCGGGTTAAGCGTTTTTAGTGACGTCATGAAACGTTACGCTGATTTTTATGAGACAGGTCATGTCCATATTGTCCTCGGACCAGCAGATCTCTATCATCGACATGGTCTTCCGACGGAAACGGACGCTGACATGCGTAAGGAGATTATCGATAACGCGTTACTGTTTTTGTATTCTAGATTCTTAGCTACGTATTTCGTCCAGTTAGAGCCGGGTATAGTCTGTGAACGGTACGTTGTTCGAAATATCTTAAGGATAGCCAGAGCCCAGAAAGGTGTGTGGTTCGGAGTAGATTTCGGACATTTTGGATTCATAGGAACCTTGTTTCATTCTGCATTTCTTCAGAGTATGGCAGAATATTTAGCTTCACGATTTAGGATTGAAAACATTAACGTGCTTCTACGTCAGTTGTATCAAACAATTTCTAAAAAGTCTGTTACATTCATGAATTCGTCACCCTGTCTACACCACGATATCAATCGGCTGAAGAGCAGGTTTCTTTTCGACAGGGGAAATAACACCAACTTGTTAAAGGGAGACAATCCATTGGCGAAAATCGAGACATCAATGTCAATGTTTCAGGACAATTCTCCGAAGAAAGCTTATGATAATGACAATACAACGTTTTTCTGGGCAACATCTTTAAGATTAGGGGATTATTTTAGATTAAAATTCAACTCAACCGTAAACATATCTCGTGTAATTGTAATCTCCGGAGGGGAAAATGATGAGAAGGATAGATTATTATCCGGATATCTTCGTGTAGGGGCGAGTAACCCCCCTTGCTTGAATCTCATCCGGAGGGGTGTGTTTGTTCGAGGATACGTTGACACAATAGAACAAGGTATTAGTGATTTCCCCCCTGACGTAAACTGTCTGTCTATTGACGTCACACGCCCCCAACGGCAGTGGCTTGTCATAAGAGACATCAAAATTTTTGTGCGGAAACCGAATACTTGATTTTTTTTCCGGTTCGGAATTTAGAATAACACGGTGCTTATCAATTACATGTATTTAAAAGTTAAAAAAAAAAACTTTGATGTTGTGATTGATTTTCTTCAAATTTTTAATTCATTTAAATTGTTTGTTCCGTATTTTTATTAGAATTTTATATTAAAGTTTAAATCAATTGGTATTGCTCTGTTCTTATTATCATATATGAAGAAATTTGCTGTTAGATGTATACATCACCATCGGTCATAAGTATATCAGGGTCAACGTGGAACTCAAATCAATCCAATATGTCAAGTGTCACTATGGTGATATAATAATCGGGTAAATTCGTTAAACATCGGACAATTCCGATGTGTTTTCGGGATTGTTACCACTGCGCCACCCAACCACCTATGAACGTGTATAAAACTAAGAGTGTTGTCATTAGATTTTAAGTAAGAAAAAAGTCATTATATAAGTTTATTCGTTTTTTTTTTTGCAAACACCGATTAAAAACACTATTCCAAATTTTCATTTTTTTACTTTGCCTTCAAGGTGTAGAAAATCTTGATATTCAGGTGTTCGAGACAATTAATCCCCTCCCATATCCATATGGTGCCTTCTTGCTGCCCTTTAAATAGTCCAATACTGGCTTATTTACGTGAATACAGTCAAATATGTCTTTTGGCCACCAGCATATAAAGGTCATAGGTCAATATGACTACATCCCTTTTCTGATCCGAAGCACGAATCAGATTGAAGAATTTCCGGGTCAATATTTACCGGGCGTCAAACTTACCTGACACCAGGAAATCCAAACATTGTTCATTTTTGTTTTGTTTTGTTTTTCCTTCCAATATGGCTGTAAATTGATGTATATATCTATTCCCATTTTTAAAATATCTAATGAAAGTTTGATCTCGAAATATATTTTTACGATTGTGGGTTATTGAGATAAGTAAGCATGCTACTACAGATATTTGCTATCGAATACTAAAGCATTTACCAAGAGGGGTTATTCGATTTGAAAAGACTTTTGTTTCAAACATATTGAACTGCTACAATTTGATTTTTTATCAGAGCATTCGTGTTCAAGCTAAAACTAGTCTCATTACCCGTTGTTTCTATGATACTAGAGCGACACGTAATCTTCTAGGATAGGCAAACAAAGTCAGAACTTGAAATTATATATGAATTTTAAATAGGAAGGTAGCTCTCCCTGGATTAATAAATTAGTAAATATTTTCTTTCTTATATCCACCACAGATTATCACTAACGTTGGAAAACAACATGTAATTGTTTATACAGCGAAACCGTAAATCATTGATTTCCTTTTTCGAACTGGAAGATTCCTAGCTCATAGCACTATTGAAATTATCAATAACAGTTCTAGCTAGGGAAATATAATCTCTCGAGGCAAAGCTGAAATCGATCAAATATGATAATTTCATTTCTGTTGATTAATTTTTTTCATCCAGAACGTTCATTAGAGGATGATATCATTCCCAAGGGCATTTCCACATGAAGATGAAAATCTATTTATGAAAATTTCTATTTTAATATTTCATTACCTCAAACTATGAATTTCCACTGAAAATGAAAAAAATTCACATAGTATATTCAGGTAATATTTCCATGCCTTTTGTTTTGAAGTCTTTGAACTGTAGTCGATATCCGTTTCTTTGTCACATGGAAAATTGTGTTTAAATACGAATGAAATCTGCGATCAGACTTAAGTGAGATCAACTTCTCGATTACAAAGATACAAGGAATGGTGATTGACATATGGAGCAGGCCATTGTTGTCAAAGATTGCCGGATATCAATGTTTGATTATTCACATACAGGATTAATGTGATACTTGAAAATACGAAAATATTATGGAAAAGAAAATTAATTGAATGCTGGTTTTTCTGACGAATAAAATAACATATAAACATAAAATCAATTTTCAAGATAATTAACAATAAAGTTTAGTTTTTTGAAAAAGTTATAGATATGTACACAATTCTACCTTTAAGAGCCTATACAATTGAAGGGTCAACCTTATAGTGACCATTAAATTCTTTAGAATACCCCTGTTTCTGCTATCAAACCGTATAACCTGAGAAATTTTAATTTATTAGGATTTAATAGGATAATAGTGAACGCAGGTATTTCTGCCTCTGTATTCACATCAGTACAATGTATTATTAATATAATCATAATATTAGACTAGATATAAGACGATGTATGATCGTACTTCAGTTCAAGATCTTTCCAGAAATCGTCTAGGTGTTTTTTTCAAAATCATGAACGTTAAGTGATGAAATTACCCATTAAGGGGGACTATTCCAAATATCAATTATTCTTTGAGTAAAATAATGTTTTCTGTTACTATGTCCACGAGTTTTTCCTTGCGCTGCAGGGTCGAACATTCCCTCCACCAGCTTTGGATCAAATATCCCATTCATGAACTTAAACACGTTTATCATATCTCCACGTAGACGCCTGTATATCAAGGTTGGGAGATTCAAACGGCGTAGCCTCTCATTGTAGCTTAAAGTTTTAAAAACTCTGATAGATTAATGCAGATGTCATTCCGATGAATTTAATGTCTTCGGATTTTAGCATTTACTGTAAACGTTAGACGCTTTTTTAAAAATCCACTTTTATCTTGTAAAATGCCGACATATTGGTAAAACTTGTTCTGTACCTATATCTGTTTCCTAATATCACTTAATTGCTATGGAAAACTTTTCCCCAGATGTCCACTACTAAGTAGTGACATTTTTTTTCATTAGAAATTGGGCGCAATGACGTCATAATCGATATGTTTTGTAAAATAAAAAATAAATAACTTTTCTCAGGAAACATCGTTTTCTTTAAAGTCAACTTCCGGTTTTCGGTAGAGGTCAAAGGTCAAAGATTTCCCTCAATTTCTCAAGGACTAGAGGCAAGATATTAAAAATTTGAGATGTTCAGATAATTTCTTGTCAAGCTTGTTAATATAAATGACCTTGACATAATTTTAGGTCACAGAGGTCAATTGTGTCACAATCTTAAAATAGTGCTTTCTCAATATTCAAGCGGCTCATGATACTGAAATTTTGCCTGTTACGTACTTTACAAATAAACAATCAGAAACTGTACAGTCTAGAGTCTAGGGTCGTAGATATGTGATATATTAATAGAAAGAACGTTTGGCTATCATATATATGGAAACCATAGACCTTAATATAAGATGTTGACCTAACAGTGCAGGACTGAAACATGAGAAGGAAATAAGCTGTAGTTTCGTCAGTTCTCTCCCTTTAATTAGAATGTACAATACTGAGGTGGACTAATTTTAAAATGTTCTAGTTTATCCGAGACAATTAATATAGATAGATACACATCAATGTTAAATAGTTTAGATTTCACTATGTACTGCAATGGAGAGAGGAGGATGTTCAGGGGAGACAAGTGCGTGTTATTCATAAATAAGAACAAAACATAAAAAAAAATAAATTTACAAATCATCACGTTAAAAGAATTAGAAACACATGTCTTCATTTATATCTACACACTTCAAATTACTGAATTATAGCATAAATAAATACTCTTATTATGCATGTGAGTTCTAATTATTCAAGATATGTAACATGTAATTAATCAGAAATGTTTTGTAGATATGCTATTTTAAAACAAAGGACAGTTCAAAGTTTTCTGCAAGAGACATCTTCAAATAATAGCATCTTTTCAGTCAAGGTTATAATGTATCTTTGGACGAACCTAGTTTTCTCCTCCATTCGGAAAATGCACGAGAGGTGTACAGTTTGAGGTGGCTATAGCAATTAACATAAAACTTCAGTTTTCCTGACTTTCAGGAGGATAAAATCTACCAGCCATCTATTTTACCAAGTGTGTATTCTGTAAGTGTATCTGCAACAATCACTGGTGAGCTTACAATTCTATACAAGGGCATACTGTCAGCAAATAGCTAAGTAGTCGTTCCTATATCATTTAAAGCGAAAGCGCCTAAAATAGATCCTTGCGGACAACAGCTGAAAGATCAAGTCAATTTGACGTTTAACCACCTTTTTTACTAAATTTATGTGGGTACGATGTCAAGATCAATATTTAAATGTTACCATCCGATAACACCCATGACACCGCAGCACTTAAAAGGAGGAGAGGAGACCGTTGTTCATCTTCGGAATTTTTAATGACGAAACTAAAGTTGGACCCCGAGTTTTAAGACTTGTTCCGAATCTTTAGGATAATATAGGAGTTATCTCCCTTCTAGTATAAAATAACTAGAATGAAGGTATGAAAATTATGAAATATAAGAATGAATGTGGGGTGTAACCAATTCCGAATTTTCTCTGGTAACATAAACCATTTCAATAAATTTCCACAAAGTCAAAGTTAGATAGTTTCAAGATCAGATCATGATGCCAAAATCCATTTCTGCTAATAACACAGAAAACCCTACTAATTTTTTTACCTGTATCTGATGCTGATGTTTTGTCAGTGTGATTGAAGGAAACTGTTTTCGAGGCGACTTTCCAGTCCTAAAGACCGACAGATTTGGAAGCAAGAGAGAATTTTTAAGTATTACTCTGCTTGCACACACATCGTTCAACAAGCATGCCAACTAGAGATTGTAAAAGAATAGATTTTTAATTTGGTTTTGGTTATTTTTTTCATATCCTTATAAACAGGTGAAGCATTTACCTGTTTCCAAAGTTTATGATCCATAGCAGATAGGAAATTAATAAATATCTCACTCAAGGGATCAATAATTATATATATAATCTGACATTTACAAGACCAGATCCACGGCTTTAGAACCGTCTAAATTATTCATGATGTCACGTCTATACGAGAAATTACAATGTCGGCTAAACGCCTGTTGATTTTGCTTGACATGTTGGCAGCATTAGAGTCCTAGATAGTAGCTTGGGACATATATATAGTTATCTTTAAATACATGGTATTGTTGTGAGAATAAAAACTCAAATATGTAAGGTTATCGAAAAGTTGACAGGTTTCAAACGAGTTAGAATTTTATTGTCGTTTCAGTATTTTGGCTTCGTTCCAAATAGTCTCAGTGTCTGGAGGCTAAATTTGGCTATATTGCTTGAGCTGTTCTTGGAGATCACACCTATATAAATTACTTCTATTTAAAATAATATTTTTTCGTTGTATTTAACCCATGCCGTAAACCCCCTGAGGATGGGGAACAGAATTTTTATTCCTTCAGGTATTGATGCTAGCGACCACATTTAGTTAGAATGGGTTCAGTGGTTCTTAAGAAGAACATAAAAGATGTGAAAAGTTACTGGACGTCACATGACGAACAAAAGGCTCAATTAACCCTGGTATTGTATTCAGACTATGATAAAGTGATAAGACTTCGGAAATAGAATGTTTCCATGTTATAGGAAAAGTTGATACAGGAACCAAACCAAAGGGTTTTCTCCCAGCGTTATCGATATTGAAACAAACTCGGAGACTGGATAGTATTAGGAAACATTTATTGAAAGTTGAAACAAAACATAAGCAATACATTATCAAGATGCGCATTTATATGGGAAATGACCATAGCTTCCTTAGAAATCATTAAATTCAATATATTCTTTATCTAGATATCATTATCTTAATTTAAATCGTGAATATCATATACATGTATAAGTATTAAAATTCAACAAATATCGAAACATCACATATCATGTCAATCTCCCTTTCCGTTTCGAGTTACGTAAACATTTTAATGTATGCAATTTCACCTCGACATACTGCCGCTCGCTAGCGGACGCGACAACTTCGATATAAGGACATTCATTGATCGTTGCTTGCTTCAATTGCCATCCTGTTTCTAGTCAAATATATCACGATTATCCATCCAAATATTTGTTGAAACTTTCTGTGTTATATCTGATTCCGAATCAGTATCGAAACATAATATTCACTTACAAGTATTTTGTATAATCGTATATGTCGTGGGAAGAATAGAACAGTGTAGTTTGTGTATGAAATAGACATATGATTGCAACAACAAAAAATCTTTGGAATTATGCTGTTTCTTAAGAAAACATCTTTGTGTCATATTAAATAGATAAATAAAGTTCAAGTATGAATCTTCACAAGAAATAAACTAAATACAAATACATGTAGTCAATTTTGTGGAAGTCAGATTAATTTTTACTGTTACTGTAAAATAATTAATTTTAGTTGGGATTATTTTTTGTGATTTCGCGGGTACTCTTAATCCGTGAATCATTTTGTCCATAAACTAGTATAAGCAGACATAAAAAGCTATAGATATCCACGAAATGAAGTGTCCATGAAATGGTACTTCTTTTTTAAAAAATGGACGAATATGGAACCCACGAAAAAATATAGTTTTACAGTATCATTAATTTTGTCAACGGCAGGAAACATTGTTACAGTTAAAACATAAAATTAGTCAACAATAACGACAAATAACAAAGTAATAATGATAACGATTATACAAAAATGTATTTACATAAACAATCTGATTTCATTTGGAATGTATTTATCTATGGAAATGATTCAGCTTTTTCACGATTATGCTTAATATTGGATCATGTATCTTTTTGTGATTAAGCTTGTTATGGTATAAATTGTTAGCTGATCTAGAATTATTCTTTTTTATCTTTTTTTATTTGGTAGTTTAATCTATCTTGTATAACCCACGAAACTCTTTCATTTGTAACAGTATTTAAAAACATCCCAATTTGTCACATAAATATACATTCTCTTTAAATTTACTGATTCTTACAAAAAGATATGAAAAGTTAACGTAAATAATGATATTCCAGAAGTAAATATGAGAGGGTTTCTTTCGACAAAAGAAAATATGTCGGTATGTATTTGTGACCTTGTCTTCATACAATAAACAAAGTTCTATATCAGCTGTAGTAATTCTGTTTTGACGCTGAATGTTGTAGGAGAGTCTGTGTTTCGGGAAGAATCTTGATGGAATAACATGTCACAGAGAATATTTACTGTGATTCCTTAAAGAAAACATATTTCATAAATCTTTTTCACATATGGTAGGTAGACTTTGTTAATCCTAGTCTCCGTACAAAGTGATTAATGGACACTTCCGGTTTTCGAAACAGGTACACCCGGTTTATTAAACAAATATTTACCTTCTTTTCTTACAAAACTGAAATTTTTTAGATGTATCAGTTTTTGATTTTATGGTGAATTACAGACTGGTTTTTACAAATGACCTCGATTTGAATGTCACCAATTTCTTTCCACAAATCAGCTCGAGGTCACTATTCAGATCATCCCGATGTCCGTTTCGTATAAACATTTCCCCTTTAATCCGGCTCTCTGACAATCCGGTCATTGTAACGGATATTGGCACTTGGTGATCAAAGTTTACTACTGGAAACGGTTGTTATTTTGAGGTCTAATTGGATTAAAGCTCCGAAAAAAATATCAAAATACAGAAATAATAAATAGAACAATTATCCATTTCATGACTCAGTAAAAAGTACATCCCTTAGTAAAACCGCGAAGATCAATCTATGAAAAATTTGTTTTAACATTATTTATACTCTGAATTGCACTTTCTCACTTTATCTCTGAACACTGCAATTTCCAAGCATAATTTGGGAAACATAAAGCATAATGAACGATATCATATTTTCATAGAAGTGAAGGAATAAAAATATGGACACATCTTTAGTCCAATTTCGCGGATTTCTCACACACGTAGTGTCTTAGAAACGTACACACTTCGTCATCCCATTGAAAACCGTGATGGACGAACAATTGGAGACAGTCTTGTTCACCTTGGAAACTGTTTGGCTCACTCTGGTGCCAGAACACCGGTCCAATTTCCTTCTGGGTTTCATGCCATTCCCACACACCCTCATTCCGGAGGTCCGATCCTCCCAGCCAATAACCATCGTAAGGTCCGCCATCTAGGAAATTGCAATTATTTTACTTTGTTACAAAGAGATAACTTAATAAATAGATATATGAAAAAAAAACCCAAAAAGATAAGAGCAAGTTGAAAAATATGAAACTTCATTTGATATTTGGAATCAAGTATTATTTTGATAATATTTTATTACATACCTACTCTGTTATTTATGTAATAACACTCTGCATGACCTAGCATTGCTTGCCTGAAGATTTATTTTGTTTCCTTAAATTTTGACGTACTTGTAATAACTTCATGACGTCATATGCATTGTGACGTCACCCAAAAATAGATTGAAGGATAATATCACCGATTAAGATTTAACACCCGTCCAATAATAGGAATATTTCACGATTTTTTGCAAAAAGTTCTAAGCAATATAACGAACAGGATATTTAAGTCGTTTCCATAACACAAGAGATTTATGCAAAAAATCTTCAGAATCACTCGAATCTCGGTGAATTGAAAAAAAATATATATCCGACAGGTTTCATAAATCTCATATGAATATGTGTGTGTGTGATGGTGTAGCGGTGTGTGTGTGTATGTGTTTGTTTGTGTTCGTTTGTGTGTGTGAACATAAAATTCATGAAAAGATCAAGTATATCTGCTATTTTTCATAAAAACAAAAGCGAACGTGAAGAGATTCGATATTGTATGTTGTTCTACTAATTTGTATCAGACATTTGTTTTTGCAGATCCTTAATTTCCCCATTTCAAAGTGAAGTTGACATGTCCTTTAAAGTTAATGATCAATAGTGTAAGGCGTGGGAGTGAAACCAAGTCACGCCGGACTAATCGATCACTGCAATTCATCTTCTATCTAAAACTAATGGTTAAAGAAATTTATAAACGAGATTGTAAGACCGGAACAATTGCCTTGAGACGAGAGCGATGACGTCTGAAGTTGATGGTGAAATTATTTGTGTCAATTATTTCGGGAGGTCGCTTGTTTAAACTTACACTTTTATTGCTTAAAAAGAAATAAAAGCACACCCTCTCGTGTTTGAGTTTATCAATCAAACACAATTTTTTGTTTTGTTTTTGTGAGGATAACACATCGAAATTGAGAAGTAATGCTTTAACTGATTACTGTTCGCTTGATCGGAGAAATCAGTCGACCAGAGGTTCATTTTGAATCTACTCCACCCATAGAATGTATGAGAACACAATTACAGTGTTTAAACTTAATTGACATCGAGCTGCTTAAATAAGAAAATAAATTGAACATCATACAGTAAGTACAGAAAGGTGAATCCCTTTCCGTGAAAGCATAGATCTCGCTTTACTTATATTGTAGGAAATGAAGTTTAAAACGTAATTTTTTTTATTCAATATTAACAAAATACTTTTTATGAAAAATCACACTTTTCTCGTAGAATTTCCTCAGTCACTTACTATGTTTCAACAATTTAGGCTATAAACTTCACTGACGCGACTTGGAATGACAAAACATCTCTATGAAAGTATAATTATTTGTTTTGCTACATGCAGTATCGCCTGTGTGTTTTGTTGTACAGTTCTAGTTTTGTTTCTATGAGCAAATATGCTAATTCGGTTTTAGTATACTATTTGGATATTGCAAAAGCCCACACTGAAGACATTCAAGTGAACAGCACCTTACAAGATTTTAAAGTTAGGTCAAGTAGAGCCACATAAGAAGTTAAACTGTAACATACAGTTGATTCGTCCTTCTAGGACTTGTCTGTAACTTCAGGAGTTGAAGCAATGAAATGTAGGAACGTACTGAGGAAATTTGGTCTAAAATGTTATAACATAGATTAGGAGGTGTACCAATCCCATAGTTCAATAAATGTCATACTTAACGATATGGGATGACTTTAAAAATATGTTGATCGAGAAATTGCATAACCTCGACATTTAGCTACAAGGTCTATATCGTGACATTTGTGATAAGCCTTACCTACATGAGTGAAATTCACCTAACTTATTAACAACCAGGTCGAAATGCTTATGAATACAGTAGGTATCGCAGGAATAATTCTGTGCATTTTTAATGCAAATATTCCAAAGTCATCGAATGGAGATGATTGTGAACATTCCTAGCTTTCCATTTATTTCCATTAGATTTTATTTTTCCGATATCACAAGACCATTCGAAATTCCAGTACTTAATTCACATAAATATTGATAGAGGTTTTCCTATCTTACAAGATAACGGTTTGGCACGCTTGATGCGTCCACCAGATAATACTAAATAATACAACGTTTGTTTGATGGATTCATCGCCACATAAACTGTACGAGTCATTTTAAGTGCTCTCCTTTAAGCAGCTGGTAGATTACGCATTGAAAATCGTGCGGGCGTACCATCGCATGCCATTCAGGAAAAATCAAGGTAAAATGTTTAGTCCAGACACAACCTAAGACCTGCAGGGTCTATGATCGCAGCTTCCCGAAAAACACTAACTTTCCTGAGTATGGATCGAACCACACAGCTCGGAGCTTTATTTGATGTTGCTATGTTCAAAGTTCAAATTTCAACCTACTGAACTATTTATAGTTGGTATTATTGCAATACAAGGCATGGTATTCATTATGTCATTACTCTGCAGGTGAGGTGTAATAATTGTAAATACCGTGCCCACCACTGCATGATCGTAAGAGGCGACTAATCTTGGAATCTATAATTTCTACAGTATATTTCGGTGTGGTAGTACTATAAAGTTGGTTTCAGTTCCGCACTGTCACAAGTATGCTGACAAGAATATATTGGAACCTTACAAAAACACACACATGCAACTCTCGCACTCACATCGCATACATCAGGAATCTGCCTTATATAACCATGGCTGCTGAGAGGTCGTTAAACAAAATACTTAGGAATCCTACCAATCATCGTATCTAGTTGTATATGTAGTTAAAGGACTGATTTAGAAACGGTCAGGCCATAATTGGAAAAACCCTGCCTCACTCTAGTGGAAAATAATAATATTTTCTTTAGAGCCACAGAAACGGTAGTAAGCTTGTTTAATCCCAGTGCCCAGTTGTGATTAATAAGAATCTGCAGACAAACTTTCAATTCTATTTCAGATTAATCTCTTGGAGCAATCAGCGTAAAACAGATCGTAACTTTACCTTGGGAGTGGACGGGGGTATTCGTGTCTCTGTTTTAAAAATTAGAAAACATACAGTAGAGCCAAACAATGAATTAACCTGCATCATGTAGATGTTTCTTCCTTCAAAGACTTGTCAGAGAGGGCATACATTTTAAAGCCTGGTTGGCGACTGAGGAAAATTCAAAGCGATCAAATGAAATGTTAAAACCTAGACGAAAATGTGGAAAATCTCCGTAATTCCATATATTTTTTTATATATCTCAAAACAAATAATAAATACATGTGTATATTCTGAACTGTGTCACTATTCTACACGTAGCATGCAGTTTACAGCAAACATCGAGAAATAAAAGCCCATCAGCATGTGTCTCACCTGCAATCTCGAAATTTGTACAAAAGACACATACGTGAATAAGTACCTACTAATACATTTAGAGTTTGGAACAAAGCAATGTTGGTTAAATATAGATTGAAAAGAAGACGTTTTGATTTTTAATATACAACTGTGTAACAAAAGGGGTTGGTGAACTTCTTGCTACAAAGATAATGTCAAGGACAAAAGACGGATACGACTAATTAATTATCTTAATCAAGCACTACATTACTAGGTCATAATACGGTCACTTACCTGTGCAATAAATCACAGGTAAATATACGGTCCTTAGCAACAAACGAATATGATATCTATCGGTTGATCAAACACGCCCTGCTTTGTCAGGCGATGCCTTTGTCAATGTGATATATATACGTCTAGTGTCATATTTGTCATTTTATCGAGTGATCTTTAAAGAATATGATAATTGTACATAAAAGAATTGTAAAACATAAGTATAAAATTACATACATGATAAAACCTGTATTTATTTAGTCACCGTAATTGTTTTTGTAGTAGAGAATCTTAATGTCATTTATGTCTGGTTGTATATATACATATATTCATAAATCACTCAAACCAGTGACAAATCATATAAATTTCCTTACAGACTTTTTTTTACACAAACCGTAAAACGATATCAGATATTGACCCACGAGGTTCATTTTGGTTATAGGTAAATATTTGTAGTTTTCCACGGCAAATTCCTCTATATTTTCGGCTCTAAACCCAAAATGTCGATTAATTTCATAATCATCGATGCTTAATGATTTAAAGAGAACGTTATGTGCCGAGTGACTAAATATTCTGAACCATGACTCTATTCAAATCTGTTACTGTGAAAACATTAATTTTCGTGTGTCAGTTTTATTGTTTAGTGTTAGCAATCTGAATCCACAAAAAAAATTTGTCCACTGTCAGAATTGGTAATAAGTAGATCCATTGAACTGTAATTATCCACAAAAAATAAAGTAACCGCGAAAGGTTTTTAAGCCAGGAAAATGAATTCCCACAATAACATATAATTTTACAGTAAGATAAAAGATGTGTTTACCGTTTCTATTCCTCGCTGTGTTTTCTACGAAGCGGTTTTCCTCTGTCGTATAAATCCTGGCTAAATGTCCACCCATGTTATGGCATTGTGTCTGTAACGTGAAGAATGACATTCAAAATCTTAAAAAGTATCAGCACCATATTTCATGTCAGTAAGCTACCATTCCGAAATGAACAGAAATAAAATAATTTTCCTTTTAAAGAATAATATTTAACATACATAGATTGTAACAAAATGATATATCATGCAGATATCATTTCCGTTTTTGTGGGTTTTTTTATATAAGGAAGCAATTATTCAATTTCAAGTCTTTGAAGATAGGCGGGGAATTAGCAATAGACATTTTCTTTTATTTCATACTAAAACTAATTGATGCATGTCGTTTTATTTGCGAAGAGGTTGCATTCTGTTCGTTTTGTTGAAGTATTGACACTTTTATCCCGTTATAGAGCTGAAGAGTCTTAGAAGGGAGATAACTGTGTAGTGTACCGTATCTATAACATGTCTCTCGGTACATGAAAACCTACACATGTAAATGTATAATCGATGGCTAGACATTTTCCTGGATTGTTTATAAATATATGTTGTTATAATGTTATAATAAAGAGAGCTACTGTAGTTTTAATTAATCAACCTTTATTAAACGATGTATTTTATAGTTGTGATGTTTTATAACCAATATGTGATGTTTCCCGAGTTATCTGTCGCAGTGATTAATATTATCATATATAGAGGCTCTTGCATGCTATATCTGTATGATAAATAGAATCTTATACTTGTGTATTTCTTTACATTACTTATACATCGATATATCCTTCCTACATTACCTTAAATTGTGTATAAATGTGTTCACGGTTACGATAAATCTAGTTTGTTTCATACTTGTGTATTTCATTTCTATTAGTTTATAAATTATCTGCTGTCACAGTAAGACGGGATTATAAAAATTCATTTTATGAATTGTTCCAGAGAGTGGTTACTTGCACAAAAACCTTTAGTAATATCTTTGCTGCTTTAATCTTAATGCAGACAGTTTCCATTTGAAACGAGTTTTATTTCTTTTTTCTAGCGACCCTCTGGCAAGCGAAAAGCGTGACGGATTCCATCAGTTACATGCCGTATGGAAACAAATTTAAGATCCTTTGTATCACATGATCGAGTTTGCAATCAAATATGCTAGCAAACGAATATTTCTACCTTAAAATTGAAGTCATGTTCATTTTATATGTATTGTCGTCATGCTTACGTCACAGTGTCATCTGTAAATGTGTGACACCATCCCATTTCTCAAGTGACGTCAAAAAAATCAATATCACACATGTGTAATACGCAAAAATATTGAATTGGCATATTCACTGAAAAACAAGGCAGTGATGTGATAACTTCACGTGTTTTTTTCCTGAAAGCTTAATAAGACTGTACAGTTTCTTGATTTACAAGAATTTGTATAATTATCATATTTTAATACTTGATAATTAATTAACTAATAATTAATACAATTATGATTTTTTTTTCATTGTTTATCGGGAATTCAAATTTTACTATGATTTTTTGTTGTATACTCACCAATGCGGACCGCCAGGTTCTTTTGTCGCTGCTAAAGTAATAACAGTCTCGTTGAAACCTAATCCATCCCATTTCACATGCTTCCGACGGTGGTGCTTCCACCGGTACGGGCGTTGGCGAAGTCTTCACTACTCCAGGGGTTGGACTGGCTGTACTTGTCGGGATATCCATATTGAAAGGTATATCAGCTGATGTAATTATCTTTGGACCTTTAAACAAAAAATTAGAATATTAAAGATAATTATAACGATGTTTGATGTAAGACAATTCATTATTTTTAAAACCAGAAACAAAAAATAGCTCTCGACTTGACATAGAAATTAGATTTCTAAATTTTAGATTCAATAATTCAACTATATAACTATACATTGTCTTCATTATTTTACGTTTTGAAATTTTCCTATTATCTACTGTTATCAGTATAGAAATCATATTGTATGTATAAATCATCGGCTTTTGATGAAACGAAACTTAAAAGACTCTTTTGATCCCCCCCCCCCCCCCCCCCCCCCCCCCCCCCCCCCCCCCCCCCCCCCCCCCCCCCCCCCCCCCCCCCCCCCCCCCCCCCCCCCCCCCCGCCCCCGCCCCCCCCCCCCCCCCCCCCCTCCTATTTTTCAAACCTTGGTAAGCAAACATAAAGATTAATAACATTTCAAATGAAATGAAAACAAATTTAAGATACTTTTTAACGCATAATTAAAAAAAAAGTAAAATTTTGACTGAATTTTAAGGAAAAACGTGGAGGACAAAATCAAACGGAGACAGTCATTTTTTGCACCATTTTGAATTCATGGCGAAGCGTTATTACACAAATCACATATAAGCCAAGTATGACATGGACGAATTCACTGGACAATATTTGGGTTATGTTATATACATACGTATAGTTACATGTTATATGCTCCACCTTCCAAAGCCATTTTTTAAAAAAAGTTTGATATATCAAACAACCAAATTTCACAAACATATCTATGGACATACAGATGACCTTAAACCACAGTTTGTCAACTTGCTCGGCAGCATGTCGACATAATAACCATAATAATTGCTTCTCTGTGCTTCTCGCTTTCTACCTAAAATGTTTCATTCTTAAATAAAGATTTGCATTATTATTTGTGTGTTTTTGGGGGGGGGGGGGGAGGGGGGCGCTAGGGAAGGGATGGGGGCTAGAGAAGGGAAGAGGGGCTCAGTTTTCAGATTTCTTTCTAAACGCACATGAGGGTCAATATTACATATAATATACATGACAGACAAGGTAAAAATAGACCAGGGATGAAAATTGATGTATATTGGTTGAAGACCTACTTTGGTATGATGAATCCAAATGTTTGGATTGTGTGTCGACATTAACTAACTGATCAGGACGACCTACATAAGCTTTATGTTTACGATGTCATCTGTCTCGTCCTTTCTTACATCTTCATCGCTTATAGTTTGTGGCATATGGCAAACTACATCGCACCTGTAGTAGTCTCAATCGATGATTGATCATTCACGGTGATAAAAATGTCTCGTTAGTTGATAAAGTGAACGTCGATGTCACAGCTGGATGACTCTCTTACTTTAAACAATAAAGATCACCATTGTTCCTGTACATTTGTCTTCCTCTTATCTCAAGCGATTTGGGAATAATTTTTTTCTAAACATGTTTATTATAAAAGTCTTATGCATAAAGTTTGATGTAAAACAATAGCTTGTCTTAGTCTGATATACAATGTATTTTCTTTATAGAATTGCTTATATCCATTAAAACGAAAAATAATTTTGTCTAGGTTTCATAAAATAGAGAAATGGTGTAAAGATATGTTAAGGATAATATATCGTATGTGATTAAGATACAGATGTGACCTGGCGAGTCGTTTTATATTATTTGTTTGCTGGAGTTATCGCCCAATATACAATCATGATCATTTCATTGCGTAGTCTCCTTGTGGTAACTGGTAGTTACCTCACTGAACAACATACAGGAGGCAGGCGATCAAAAACAGTCAGGATAAAGTGTATTGTCCAAGGGCACAACAACCAAAGCACAGACCACCAGGGGTTGTAAAAGTCAAACCACACCTCAGATCTTCATCCAAGATTTTGTAGGCTAACTTTGTACCGACTGAGTTTCCGAGAACCCCTTGTTTTTATGTGATAATGATACGGTAAAATGTCATATTTATTACAATAGCCGGAATTCGGTAGAATAACGTTGGTGAAGATCAAGAACAATGTTGGAGTATTTATTTGACATGCTAAATGACCTCTATAACAGCCGTCCTGCCTTTCGATAGACGAGAAAACACGCGAAAAAGTAGAACATGATAAATAAACCTTCTGGAAGAGTATCAGCGGTCTGGTAATATCTATTTTTTAAACCTACTGGAGGAGTATTAGTGGATTTCTTAATATAGTGTTAATCAAATAATAATAAAAAAAACCTACTGGAGAAAGATGGTTTTCGGGACATAGATTTATACTATTGAAACCTATTGGAAAAGCAAAAGCAACCCCCCCCCCCCCCCCCCCCCCAAAAAAAAAAAAAAAAAAAGAAAGAAAAAAAAAGAGAGAAAGAAATAACATAAAAAAAACATGTACACAGTTAGTTCCCATAGGTATGCTCAGTGGCGTAGCCAGGATCTAAAGTTGGGGTGGGGGGGGGGGCAAAATATTGTAACGCCGGCGAAGCCGTGCGTCGCGAGCGCCGAAGGCGCGAAGCTGTGGCGAGGGGTCTGGGGGCCCTACCCCAGAAAATTTTGAAAATTTTGGCTCCATTTCCTGCATTTTGAGCGTATTTTGAAGGAAAATAACGACACAATAATACTGGGATAAGTCGATATAATGTATTGAAATAAATCACTGAAATATAGATATGAAAAATACAGATGCAGAAAACTGAAAAATGGGACCCGCAACCCCATCCCCAATCCCAACCCCAACCCCAACTCCCCCTATAAAAAAACTCAACGGATTTGTACGTTTCACCTCTGGGACAATTGCGGGGTCAGTTGTCTACGCCAGTGAGTATGCTAATAGTCTGTTGGGAGATCTTACCGCCAAACTCGACGGAGATGTTGTCAACCAGAATCTCAATCATTTTCATGATTTCGTCCTCCTTGTAATTTTATCATCTTTGATTTGGATTTATTTTTATACGCTTCAATGTAGTTCTGATCACACACTAAACACGGGTAGATACATTTATAACAGAAGTATTATATAAATAAAGATATTCCAGGGGTGTCGGTGGATTTTGAAGATACACATTAGATATATACAGTATATATCATTTGAACTGCTTCATTCAAGTTCCTTATAGGAAATTCCATAAACGTAATTAAATTGAAACAAATATAGGAAACACAATAAAATGATTCGGTTGTAATACTGCTAATTAACGGGACAATACAAATGTCATCAGTTTTAGAAAAGATCGATGACCTTCGGCACTTTAACAGATGATGTCATTCTCCTGTACAGAATGTGACGAAGGCTCCCTGGACTTCAATCAGAAACCGTGAAGAAAGGAAACCAGCTGTGTTCTTATCGTGATTAGTTGATATTTATTAATTTATTTAAAAAAAACTTTTGGCAGCATGGGTTTCAAACCATTGATGAATATGTTTGTTATTTTATTTGAATTATTTAAAACTTTAAGTATGCTTTTATTTCTATATAAAAAACTGAAAAGACTTCGGTAAAGATGTTTTTCATCTGATCAACGAGTCGAACAATCACATCTTTTACTGCGATAAAAGTACCAGCGACCAGCTGTTTTCAATGCGATCTCACACGCATTCATATTCATACATCAAACCAGTAACTCGCTAATATACTGAAACCTAGCTAAGGAATAACGATTAGCTTTGTAATAGATGTGTTATAAATAAACCTACTGCGGGATGATAACGAAAGATAGGGGTTGTAATAGATTTATCATATTGGATTCTATTAATGAATAAAGCGGTGGTCTTTGTAATAAAATTACTATAGATAAACCTACAGGAGAATTAACGTTATATTTCGTTTCATATATATATTAAAACCTTTTAAAGAAGTCATTTTGAGGGTTTTTATAATATCTTTATTATATATAGAAATACTTGAAGAGTAATGCTGTGTAATAGATTTAGCATATTGAACCTGAATAGAGGAGTAATACTATTTTTTGTAATATGTTTATTATGGATAAACCTACTGATGGAGTAACTGATTTTGTAATAGATTTATCATAATGAACGCATCTGAAGGAGTAATGTTAGATGTTATCATCACAGATAAATCTACTGACGAAGATTTATCATAAATAATCATACAGAGGGAGTAACGGTCGATTTGTAATATACTGATTTTATCTGAAATCCATTAAAGGAGCACCATCCGGATTTATCATATTGAATCTTACTGGAGGAGAAATATTTGTTTTTGTAATAAATTCATTTTTTATAAACCCACTAATGGAGAAAGGTCGAATTTTGTGATATAGTATTTTGTTATTTTGCTTTTCTCAATGAAATTTTTATACAGTAATCTAGCAGAAAATTAACAAATGTCATAGTACGTTATAAATGGATTAAGGTTGCTCATTATAACGAGTATATTACATAAAAATACCAGTTGTATAATGTGGGTATTGAGGTCATTGTAAGATAATACTATTCTATAAGCTATCGGTAGATAAAAAAAAAATCACTGTAAAATAATACTATTATATACCCAATCGGTGGATTAAAGTAGGTCACTGTTACAAATTTATAATGTAAAGACCTACCAGTGATATGACAAAGGCGATTTTAATCCATCGAATAATAACGGACCAATGGATTAGAGTAGGTCATTGTTATTATTAATTATACAATAACCTATCAATGTTATAGAATAGGACGTTTAAGTAAAACTGGTATTATATTCGTGTTGATTGATTTGGACAATTATGATGCACGTGTTTACATTCATTTTTGACGATTTACCTTAAGAAATATTAAAGCAGATTTTGATATGGAGTTCCTAGAGTGTCATTAAAAGTTTCGTTCGCGAGCACATTTATCTCATAACACCAGAAAATGACCAATTAAAATATAAGCGTAACTAGTAAGTGTTCGTTTTAATTATAATTCATTATTGTCATTTGGAAAATTTTCTTTTTCGTGAATTGAGCTTTTCTTGTATATGCAGTTCTTCATTTTAAAGTGCCATACGAGGATTACAAACTTTGGAATACTCTCGGTTTTAATAGCAATTATCTGGCTTGATATGACACGTATACTCCATTATACATTGATACCCTCATCTGGCACATAATATTGTTATTGTATCAAAAAGAACAAAGCCAATACTGCTATATTAACAGAATCTGAATTGTGTCGTCGATGAAGTTGAAAACGCTTACTCTTCTGTAACACATGGTCTTATTCACCTTGTACTTTTTCAGGAATCTCATTGTAAGTGTCTTCTGCGTCATCGGCGACACCCACTATGAAAATTTTCGCCAATCTTATTAATTGATGTCATGTTCCCAAAGTGAGAACAAATCAAACAACAACGGGACCCTTAGGCATACTAATTAACATCAAACACGCTCAACTTCATATATTCCTGATGCAGGAGTAGGTGTGTATGTAATGGATTCAATAACTGATAAGTATGCACTTATCTCTTGGGGTTCAGGCTGGTCTTAAATAAGGGAATCAAATTAATAATCTACGCAACACTTTACATAGATAATGTATTTACAAAGCAATATTTACGATCTGCATAAAGCATAAGAAGTAAACTCGAAAAAAAATCTCTTTCACTTTCAATATTTATCACATAATAGCTGAAAAACGTGATTTTTTTCTGCTTTTTGAAGTTTTAACTCGGGTGAAAATAAATATAACACGACCACTCGTTGTACAATCTCTATTTAACTCCAAGAAATCGAAAACGAGAAACATTATCATAGACAGCTTTTGGTTTAATTCATCATTAAATCTAACTTGATATTTTGTTTTAATAATTGGATGTCATTAACTGTGGATTAATTATCTTTTTAGGTACTGTGGCTGCTGAAGGTCACAACAGGTGTTATATGATAAAACCTACGCTGCCGGGATCGTGACAACATATATTTTCAAATCAAGTTATGGAGTTACATTCCCGTGATAGTCAAATAATGTGTAACCTCCGAGACCGACCTCCTCATTTTATTATTAACCTTGCTTCATCGACTTCAATGTGCTCCTTGTTACTTTCTTTTACGAATGAAATGTTTTGGTTTAAAAATAAAACTTGTAACATTATGATACATGTAATTTTACTTGTCTGGACTTTTCTTGCTCTCTTTTTGATAACGTGACATCATCTGGACTTTACAAGAGAATAGAAACCGGACGTTGGTGATTTAGCATACTTTTACCCTAACCATTAACATTTATCTATTTGTATATTAAATTGTGCATTTTCTTTTTTGTTTGAGTTTGACACTGTGTTATTATAATTTAAGCATTTTTTATTCATGAGAAAACTATTGATTTAGTGTGTAATACTGATACATGACATTTTGATAAAATATTTACCGTCCCCATGTAGAATGAAGCCTCGTCTTGCTAAAATCAAATCGAGCATGCCATATATTATAAACGAAAGTCATTTTTAATCAATGTTTCATCTATAATTACTCTTTATGAATCAAACTATTGCGGAAAATAATATTTGCAAAAATAAATAATTTCCTTGTCTTTTAAACGTAGCAGCAGAATTGATTTTTCATGATAATCCTTCTTTGGTTATACGATATAAGCTTAATTCAAACGTATAATGATGAATTTTTGTGAAATGTTTCCATTATCGTCATATTTTATATACATAAGATATTAGAAGTGTCTCCGGTGTTTTTGCGGCACGTGATCAGTTATGCTTTATAGTGGTGCATTTTTTGCGTGGCTATCATATGAGCGCCATTTCAAAAGCGGCGAAAGCAATTATCAGTAAAAACAGAGCAAAGCAATACAATTTGAGTCACAATTTAATTAATAAATGCAACATATATAGCAACATATGGCTGTTGTCCACTTCAAGTTAGTTTTGTTCTATGATAATTTCTGAATGAATAATATAAGTATAAAAATGTGAAGATATATATGTAAGTTAAACTGTGTATAGTATTTTTCCCTTAAGGCATTAAGTATTTAATTACAGAAGGCAGAACGAACACTAAATGCAAATTGTGTACAATTCATGGCGTGACGAAAATATGAAACCATACAATATGTGAATAATGTGTTTTATACATGTGAATAAAAAGCATTGCTCTGTGTTTAGGGTTGTAGACCTGTATGTATATCCGGGAAATCGAGACCGGAAGGTGCAGCATCCGGGAATGTAAGTCCAGATTCTGAAGGAGGTGCCGGTAATAGACTCATTTCTACTGTAGCATGAACTCTTTCGAAAGGTGCATAATCTGGTGGAGATTCTGTAGTGGCTTCAGTGCTTGGTTGTGGGGTAGTCTCAATAACCACTTCTGCAGGATTGTTGTCATATACGACTGGAGCTTCCACAGTCGGTTCTCTTGGTAAGTCCTCCAATCCTGTCGCTGTTAACAGCACAATGTCGTATTAATATTTATTTTTCAATGGTTAATTATTATTGTGATAAACTTATCCATAATTAAGATTCAATCAACACTATAACATCTGTAACAGGAAGAAAGGATGCAAAGAAGGTCCAGTAGAATTTGTACTCAAATTAAGGAATAATAATAACAATTTACTTACAAACTATACCCTCGGTTTGTATAAAGGAGTGCCTACAAACTTACATGTTTTACAATGTGTGGAGTTTCGGACGCAGCTGTTGAACGTTGGATTCCAGAACATGAAAGGGTAGCACTTCATAACCTGTGGTCGGAGCTTTTCGCCATAGTCGGTGACACACTGAATGAACTTGTTACACATCTTCGGGTGTTCAAGATAGCAAGCCACTGTCCGATCCCGTGCCTCACACACCTTACAAATATCTATCAAAACATGAACAAGATCCCTTGTTAACAAGTTTACAGAAAACATTGACCAGAACCAATATTCCAAATAACTGACCACGTACTCTGTTTGATATCGCTGAGAATGGAACACAAAAGATAATTGGATACTTCAAATCGGTTAAAAGTGTAAGAGTTATGACAGAATAATCCGACTTTAAATAAAAGTAAAACATTTAAATCTATCACAGAGAGATACTTACAGACACTATGTTTTCTTCTGTACCTGAATAATGCTCTGATTTGGAATTAAAAGATAAAAGTCAAAATCTACCACAGAGAACGACCAACAGACAAGATTTTTTTTTCAAGTGAAAAGGCATGATTGTATAAGAATCATACCTTGCTGTAGATCTTCTGTGTCTTGTATAATATTATAATTTGGAATTATAACATCAGTCTGACTTTGGGTGTTGGTAGAGGTACTCTTAATGACAGTATTTTCGGTTTCTATAGTGGTAACAGTATTGGTGGAAGAAGATCCAGATGTTCCTGTTATAGCACCACCAGAAGACGGAGGAGGTGCATTGACTACTGTGTTGTCGATAACGAGGCTTCCGGAAGTGAGCTGTAAATCGGGTGATGGCGGATCAGGCACATTCTGGTTGCCGGTGTCAACTACGTTTCCCGAAGTGTCAATAGGAGAGATTCCAACTGGAATGACATAAAAACATAGATGCTAACGGTATACTAATTAATCAAAAAATTAATCGAAAATGTTATTTTTTAGATCTCTGTTACTAGATTTTAAGCTTGAAGATTACTGTAAAATCGTTCATTTTCGTGGAAATTGATAGTCGATGAATTCGTTAATAATCGTTGTCATATTCAGTTCATATGCACGAGAATTCATTTTGAATAACTATTACCTGTTGATGAATTTCGTGATAACTATTCATCTTTGAAATTCAGAGCCCGAGAAATAAGATTTTGTAGTGAAAATCCCGAAATTTGAGCCCCACTAGAATAAGTAATGTTACAGTAGACTGTAATTTATGTTCCAAAATCATTCTTCCCAAAAGAAGACGTTCTTTTGTTTAAGGCTAATGTTGGTTTTCAACATCAATGTTGTTACCTTCGACAATGTTGCCTTTATTTAACTGCGAATCACCCGGTTCTGTAGCGACAACATCATATAGGATCATCTTCTCCGCCCCACTATCTTTGTTAACAGGTGTTAACATACCTGTACCGGTAGCGGGCGCTGAACCCTCCCCGCCAATGCTATTGTCTCCAGTGATGTCAATCGTTCCGATTTCAGCAGCATTGGAACTGTCACTTCCGACAACTGTAATACCAGTGGAGCCTGGACTTGTCCCAATTACTGCAGTAGTATCCGGTTGTCTGAAGGGAAGACCTGTCTCTGTTGTTTTGTCACCATTAGATGTTGGTAAAAGACCATCTGGCAATTGTGACTTGTCACCATCCATGGCTGCAAGAACTGCTCCCAGGCGGCGAAGTTGTTCAGGCGATAACTGCATCATCTGGCGAGGAGTAAGCAAATTCTGGAAAGCTTGAAGACTTTCCTGGGATGTTTGAGTGGAAGTTAAACGGTCCCTCATCTGCGCAGTCAATTGAGGACGTAGCTGTTGCTTTTGAGCATCTGTTAAAATCTTCCACATTGCAACAAACTGATCTGCAGTCATCTCTCGTGAGACACTTAGTAGGTCAGCTATATTCAGGGACCTCACACTTTGAATAAGCTGTAATGGGTTCGCTTGACGAGAGAGAAGCTGTAGTTCTTGAAACTTTGTGATACGCCTATTAGCAGTAGGTGGGACATTTGGTACGCTCCTCATTGTAACTGGCCTTATAGGTGTAACAACTGGCAGACGGCCTGGAATGGCTGGGGGAAGGAGAGGTCTACCAATTCTATTGGCAATGACTCCTCTAACGGGACGAATGGGAGTGACTTGCGGAAGATTTCCACTCACGGGACTCGACAATACCCGTCGAAAAGGCCGGCTAGGTAACGCAGGAGGCAGTCGTCCACTTACGCGTAACGCCCTTATCTCAGAAGGTAAAAGGCCTCTGATTTGAAATGCATTAATCTGCTGAATGGGAACTCCTCTTGATCTCATATATGCAGCTTCTGTCAGTGTAAGCTTCCTTCTAGCCTGTAATTGCTCGAGTTCGGCTTCTGATAAACCAGTTGCCTGTATCCGAGCTATTTCTAAAGGACTAACCCCTCTTCTTCTCAGTAGGTCTGCCAAAGCCGTAGATATCCGGCTAGGTGCAGCCGTTTGGGGTACGGTACCACCTGACATTTCCGCTGTGCTATTAAAAACCTGCGTGCAGTTCATTTTAAATCCATTGAATTGTCCTCTTCGAATGCCATCTTTGATAAACATGAAATTCGAATCTGAAAAAAAAGTTATAATCTGTCATTTGAAAAGTCAGTGAAGCGACTTGAATGAAATCTCGAAATTAGTTTAACCATTAATGTGAATTGTGACACTGATGTATGAAATTTGTTTTTTTATAGGGCTATTGCACTTCCATGTTTAGATTTTGACTTTTCTTTAGATTAGTTTCGATTTTCCTCAGTCGCCTTCTAAGCCGCAAACTTTTACGCTTTATTATCACTGACAAGTCCTAAAAGGACGAAACAGCTTTATGATGAAGTTTAATTCATTATTTGGCTCTACTGTGTCTAATTCTAAATTTTTATCACAAGGTGTTATTTACTTGTGCGTCTTTTTTTATCGTTTTGACGTCACAATTTGTGATATTTAAAGTAATTAGTAAAAACAGGTAAATTTGTTCAATCATTACAATTCTTACAATCGACTGTGTGATAATAGTTGTAAAGAAATGCACGGACATAATAGAATCACATTTTAATACGAAATTCAAGGTCATAGTTTTGAGTTCATCGTATGATACCTTAAATTATATGCTTCACCAGTTGTTAGTGTTTCAAAACAATTTAACAACAAAAATTATAGTAGCAATTGAAAAATAAGAAAATAATATAAAAAAAATATATATCGTTAAAAAATTCAACACGGTTGCTTTTTTAAACTAACGTATACCACGCAAACGACATAATTTATTAGCATAAGCGTGGAGCGGATTATTGGAAAATGCTATCTCAGTGCCAACTAAAACATTGACACTGAGTTGTTTCCGTCGTAAATGTATATATGTACTTATTTACTTCTCTATTAATTCAGAAGGTAAAACATTCATACCATTATATAATCGGTAAGCTTAATACACCAGTAATTAACTTTCGATGACATTTGAGGTGACGTAATATAGATGTTTACATGATGAGTGATTAAATGCCATCAAGATGAAATCACATGTGTTTTCTCCAAAAGAAAAATTTTACTTTTCGAGTTCATTCAAAATATTGCTAGATATTATATATAAAATGCCCCTGTTGTTATCTTTGTACGAATCTAAAGAAGAAATGATGATCAATCAATCATGTAACGAGGTCAATTGCCAATCTATGGATATGATATTTACACATAGTTTGACAGATTTATACTTGTCAATGTTTCAAATGGAGTGTCATTCACCACAAATCAATTATGCATTGTAACAAATTAACGCTGACATTGATAGCTCGTCAAGAGTATGAGATACTGATATGTAAGGATGTAATTTATTTGCAAATATTTGGATATAATTAGTACAAATTACTGGCTCATAACCTGCCAAAGATTCCTTTAATTGTTAGTTAACACATAAACATGTTTGTATATTTACGGTCATTGCTATAACATATCAGATTGGTGAATTAAAGGCAGGCAAATCTTTAGCAAGCCACTTTTATCTTTGTGCTCCCGTCAAATACATTCATTTTGTTACATTTTGCAATATTCATTGAAAATGCAAGGCAGACCTTTCGAAAGTTCACAAGTATGTTGTTAAAACAACTATGTTTATCTGAAGTTGATGTTAAGCAAACTTAGGTCTAATGAAATAGGTCAAAATAATTGCTCCGCGTGGACACAGTTTCAAACTTGAACAAGTATCATGATTAATATTGACTTTTCAAAAACAAAATCGCTTATTTTAGATCTTAAATGAAATATTACAGTAATTCAGAAAGCTACTCCGGCGTAATACTTTTAACATATACATTTATTCTTCGTCACGTTGGAATGAAGTAAAAATATATGTGTCTGGTATTCCGACAATAACAGTGCCAGTTGCAAGCAGGATCAATTTATACATACATATATGTGTACATAAATATATGGTTTTAATTTTACTCGTTTACATAGTGATTACTCCCTAGAAAAGTACTATTATATAACGTCACAGGAAAAAGACGTCATATAATTGTTCGGAAATTTAAAAAAAAAAAAAAATGGAGGTCCGAAATTTGTTAGGTCTATAGCTACACAAGTTTAATCGTTGTCTTATTTCTTATGAATATGAATGACATGAATTAAAAAAATCATGCAATAGTGTATGTGCAAATTTAATGCATTCGCCATAACATTTGATATGGCACTCTTCTTAATTCTTTTATATGATATATAAAGTAACTGACCTCGTTTAAAAAATCAAATTATGTCTTAGACATAGCTCCGATTTTTTATTGCCGCATGTCATATTTAAACACCCATCTATCTTTATTACATTTAATTTAAACGTTTTGTTATCAAATCTTCACATTCATATTTCCGAATGTATGTCTTAATTCAAATATTAATGTTATTGTGAATTGAGATATTCAAATATCTATATCAATTTACCTTTCATGAATTATTTGGTCTTTTATATATATATAAATATAGTAACATAATCTTTTTATGAAAGAATTTTTTATGTATTTTTTTATCAGCTATTTGAATACCAACTATCATTCTCGCCTAGATAACCATTATTCGTCTGAATTACAAAATCAGGATTGTCTTTCTCAATTAATTTGTAAATCATGATATCAGTGTGTAACATCAAAAGGATCTTGATTTATATTTTCCAACATCATATAGAATAATGTCATTTACAAAAAGCAATGGTCATTAGACGTAACTGAATTCCCCGTATACTTCTTTTTTCCTTACAGTTGAATGTAAATTATAGCCTGTTATCTAATCGTCAAATCAGAGCTGATACAATATAATTCAATAATGGATATAACTGCATTATAGGGTGGAATGGTCTTTCTATGAGTCTATAAGTAACATTTGTTATAACATAAAGCAGAAAATCTGCCATTTCATTTAGGATTATCTAATAACAAGAGTTTTTCAAAAAGAATGTTTTGAGAACATGACTTAGAATGGGACAAAAAAGTGAAGCAAATTAAATCTTAATAAAACGTTAAAATGCCAATTTGATACTTACAAAATTTTTCAGGAACACATCGGCACACGTCATTGAGATAAACCTTTGGCAAAATTGCGGTGTCATTACAACGTTTGAACGCATACTGTCTATTGTTCCCAACAAGTGTACTCTCAATGTAGTGCTTCGGCGAAAAATAAGGAATTCTGTTGCACTGTAGTGAGGAATAACACAGGAATATATTTAAGAAAGTTTCGATCACCATTTTGGATCAGGTCTTAGTCCAGCTAGAAGTCACTATCTTAGAGATAGCTATTGTAGACGTGAACCAGTAAACACACTCTTCTCTCCTGAACACTACTTCTTCTAAACTATCACTTTATCTCAGGCTGAGAGCTGTGCTTGACATAAGACAGGATGGCTTAATAAATCCCCCAGCCAGGCCAAGCGAGACTGACACAACACGTCAGAAAAGAAAGCGTGGAAATGATTGACACTTTTCTATGCCTCATTACCACTGAAACAATCAATAAACATAGCCGACGCAAATTATATGAAGCTTTAGCGCGTTACCGATTTAAATACACTCACGTTTCAGTAATTCTGCAGATCTTTATATTATTTTAAATTAAATTTTTAGATGTCATACTTATTTTGTACAATACTTAATTGACATCTAGGTTGTATCGAAAGTGACAAGTTCCTTATTTTTTCCCTCTTTATTTTGGAAGAAAATGTTGACATGATGACGATGGTGTAACATATCAGCTAAATATCTTCATAGGAAGTGAAATATGTAACATTTATGTACAATCCACATAAAAAGTAATAAAACGATATTTTAAATCATTTGTAAAGTCGTAAAGATGGTTTTATTATTTTTTCTGAGATAAAGGACAGAGAATGAATGTCAGTCTGTGAGCAGAATTGTGAATGCTTGTGCATTTGATATTGATTTATGAACCACGTGACAGGAAAAACTACAAGATACCAACATAATCATAATCCAAACTCAAAAGCAAAACATGAATAAAGGAAAATGACCAGTTGTTCCACAAGAGTAAGCGTCCCCTGTCCCATCAACGAAACCAGCCATGTAGAGAATATAATGTGATGATAAAACCTTTTTGGTCATACACATCGGATACACCATACATAAAAAGGTATTTAACGGTCATTTTCATCAGCACCTTTGTTCAACCTTCGGCGAGTTAAAACATTAATACGTTCACATGTTGAACTATGGTGTTCAAATTTTGCAATAGACTCGATATTCTTGTTTTCTTTTTTCCCTTTTAAACGTTATCGTGATGAAATCTGCAAATAACAGTAACGCATACAGCACAAGATTTTGAAGACGAACGTTTAAAATCACCAAGGAACAATTTCGTCATTACTATTATGATCCAATCAATGATTCATTTATTTTCTTTATGCAACATGAAGTTCGACGTGTTCAAGTCAGTTAATATGCCTGGTAGTTCTCGTTTGTTATCAACCTGTTCTCATCTTGAGAACGTGAAAGGTTTCTGATCGCCCTGAATTTACATGCCAGATGTCGATGATAATGGCTACTGGTCCTGACCACATAGACAGATTCTTTATTTTTGAATCTGGGAATTTCTATAATTATAAGTATAATAATAATACATGTTGCCATAAAAACGTCTTTGACATACTTTGTTTTCCCCTGACATCATTCCATCCAATACATTTTTGTTTTAAAAACTGAATAGAAAGTTAGGTCTTATCATGATCTCTGTGTGATTCATTTCAGGAAGTAGTATTAGATACTGCGTGAGAGTTCCTGATGAAGATAGATTTCATTACTGTAAGGTAAACATTTTTTTTGGAAATTGAATACGGACTAATTCAGATGCGTTTTATTGGCTTATGTCATTGACGTAACTCCTGGATAAGGATATCAACATCAACATGATTTGACCACACGCAAACGGCATGCAGACTCACATCCGTCATGTGTTCGGAAGTTACGTTGATATGTGCAATATTTAAATTGCTTTAAAAAATGCATGTAATGAGAACAAAATTGTAGTAAAACATTACGTTTCTGTTATAGATGAGAAAGGAGAAAATTTTGAGAATGTGACCAAGAACATTTACTATCAATCTCCATTGGTTCTAATTCATCGTTCATGATCACCGAACCCCCGCTTTCCCTCGACTTACGTTATCGATAAGTACTTACTAACCTACATAAACATTTGTACAATGTTATGTCTTACTGAATTCATACTCAGACAAACATTTTGAAACTGCACTCACAAACTGATGTTTATAACATGATGTTCGCTATTTCGTCATAATATGTATTTGAGTTGTAATTTCCCAGGAATTGTATTCTTTGCTTTTTGTAAGGATCGACATAAATCCATGAAAACTAGAAACCACGACAATTAAATTTTAGATTTGTATCAACAACTGTTTATTTTTTTGTGTATCTTTTGTACATTCTTCAAGATTACAGGTGGAAGACACTGCTGGTGCATGTTTGGTTGCCGCGCTGTGCTACAGGGTATATACTAATCTTCATGTTGGTTTGAAAATGATGACTATTATATTTTGAAAATAGTGCACCTTCACATCCAGGTGGTAAAGATTTATTTCAACAGATGTGGATCTTTATGAAGACTGAAAAGCTGTATGATGCAATCTTATTTATTATTTTGGTCTACTGTAAGTAATTGTGAAATTCTATATGAAGGTGTTATTCACCTTTTTTGTTTTTGATTTTGTTTGTTTTTTTTTTTTTTTTTCGCGTGTTTTTTTTTTTTTTTTACAATCCTAATGTAGACAATTCACCGAGTGAAAGTTGTTTTAATTTAAAAGATTGCTTAAATACGTATAATAAATATAAAAATATGCAGCATACATTGCATAGAGAAAGATCCATATTGAATGAAATAAAACATTTTAAGCAAACCGTTGAACTGCGGTTTAGTCAACATATTTTGGCATGGAATATAAAAAACATCGTTTTGAAAAGATATGTATACATAAAACAATGCCTTTTTGCTTAATTTGTTTGATAAATTTAAAGTAAGCCAGATTTATTTTGATATTAAGCATCACGTAAAAACAAAATCAAAATTTATGCGACATTCAATGAAAGAAATGGCTATTTTCTATCTAGAAGATTTTCGAAAGCAGTAGAATTTACCGCCTTTTCTTCAAAATCGAAAAATTGATATCATTCTGAACTTATTCAAGCTTGAAAATTCATCATTATGAATTTTATAATTTTTTAACAATTCAAGCTCGATATAGGGTTGATATTTTCGCCGTTCGTCGGTCGAAACAAAACAACAAGACAAAAATACCTACATGTCAACATTACCTTTGTCCTAATAAAAATGCTCAATAAAACAAGGACAAAATATGAACAAGAGAAAGATTTACACAGAGACTCCTGAAAAAGTACAAGAAAAAGAAGATCAGGTGTTCCTAAAGAGTAAGCGTCTTCTGCGTCATCGACGACATCCGCTATGTAAACCTTGGTCAATCCAACTAAGTAATGTCACGTTCTCAAATGAGAACAAAGTATTCAACAAAGGAACCAACAGGCAAACTAACAAGCATCAAACATGTCCACCTTCATATCGCACAGAAACAGAAAATTTCTCAATGAGATCTCCATGACGAAAGTAAAACTTCCCAATTATTTTCATCAACCTACTTCTTTTGAAACCCTGTGCTACGAGTTTGTTCATCAGTAATAATGGGAACAGGCCATTGAATATCGAATCAGCTGCGACAGGTGAACATCATAGGTTGGGAATGCGGAGATAAGAGTATCCCGAGATGGAAATTCACAAGGAACAAGACGTAATCATTATATCTGAATGTGAAACTAGGTCTTTGTCACCAGTTTTCATAGGCTCTTCCTATGACAACGAGAACAAGTCAGCCAACAGAGAGGCACAATTAGTTGCCATAGGTCAGCCATTTGTTTGTCTGAATTTCTTACCACCATATCCGACGAAGAGAATGACTGTCGTTCACATTTCTTGGAAAAGAAAACTGTCAAAACAAGAGAATGTTTAGAATGGAGCATGGTGGTGTACAGAATGGACAAAACAAATGTTCTTATACTATAAATGATTTAGAAGAGGATATCCATCAACAAAAGTGTCACGGAGACAAAAAGCCCGCAATCAACTAATCAAAATGTGTGAAATGTTTGTTTTTCACATAAAGCTTAGTCTGTTGACTATTTTCTATAATGTTCGATTAAGTAGAAATATTTCTAAACGAATGCAAAAAACAGTCTGCCTCAAGTAGCTTTATGAAGTTGAAGTATGAACAAGGAAATGACGGTAACGATAACAGAAAACACAGGAATCTCAATACATATAAGAAGGTACCACGGTAAAATTGGACCAAAACAATAAATTAGGCTGTGCAGTACATTCCTTTCGTCGGTCTAGGACTCGTCAGCGATGTTAAGGGCCATGAAATTTAAAACCTACGAGGCGAATGAGTAAAATAAAAATTGGTCACGAGACATACACCATCAATACTTAATTAGAATTAGACATCAGTACAAAGTACTCTTTCACCCCCAAATAAGATTATACACAAGTATGTAGCGATTATCTGCGAGCAGGAAGGTTGTTTACATGTTGTTTACTTCCTTCAAATGTTTACGTTCTATTGACAACCGCCATTCTGTCATTTTTTGATTGAGCCTCTTTTTAAAAAAATGTAGGGAATAGGGAATATAGTTACCTTCTATATATGAATTCTCAAGGATCAATTAGTGCATACACAATGAATTTGTACGAACTTTATTACAGGTAAACAGTAAAAATAGATCACGCGAGGCATTGCGTCATTAGAAGCGATTACAAAATCAAAATTAAGGGTAAAGCTAAGTTCCGGTAAGGTATGTTCCGGAATGTCTGGTAGCTTAGATCCGATAGCGGTGAATGCTTCATTATACAGTACTAACTTGCTCCTTGTAGAGAACATACTGTGATGTTCTACAGAAAATAATTAAACAAATATTAAATATGGAAATGAATGGACTAAAATTCCGATGACAGGATAAAGAAAACAAAAATTCAAATCAGTTTAACTTCAGTATTCCAGTACTAAACATAATACTATAGAATTAATTTGTAATGTCAAGCAAACATGGACCATGATTTCATAAGAAAGATATTTGCGCTGTGTAAAAATGAATGCTTTGAAAAGAAAACAGGACAAAAATTACACCGACGCCTTTACATAATTGATTTAATTGTTCACTGAATCTGTAAGGCTGATGTTCTACTTTTCTAAAATTTATAGAAGGCGACATTCATTCTTCCATTCATAACAAATGTCGTCATAAACAAGCCAAGCTATCCCTGACAAGGTAGCATTGATGTATATAAATGTGCATATGCTTTGATATTACAGTTTTGTTTTTGCGGGCTGATTTGTCATTATGTAAATCCATCATGAATTTTACCGTCAGCGTATCTGCACGGTAAATTCAAAATGGTTTCCCGTCCTTATGCAGGCTACATGCGTGTCTTTTTCATTCGTGTGGTTTTGTAGTTTCCTTGAAAATCTAACATTATAATTTTCTTCTTTATAATTTTCTTTCTTGATTCATAAATGTTATAATCTTATTCACTTTATAGATATATTTCATATGTAATATGTGTCACTTGAATATTCTCTAAATTAAAACATACCAAACGTGTTTACTTTTTTTTATTCAAAAGACATATGTATTACTACGTGTTAACGCTTTATTGGTCATTCCAAATCCTCGTGTGACGTTGTCTTGGAATATACTTTTTTCCCGTTGTCACGCGCTGCTTTTTATCGTGATATGCTCTTACATAAATTGACGACAGTATGGTTACACGTAACACATAATAATTAAACACGAGGTCATCAATTTCTTTAGACGTCTCGAATCAGTCGATCTAACCTCAGACTTTTTATAGTTTACACACAAGCTGACACCACAAAAATGACAAAGTGTTCTTTCATTCTTTATACTGCGTGCAATATACATTCTAATTGCTTTTGATCATCGATGCTAGAATTCTGGAAGCGGTGTAAAAGTGTATAGTGAAATGGGTGTTACCTAATTCATAGAGAAAGCACAATTTTTTTTTGGAAGAAATTACTCCAGACAATTTTGTTTTTGCCAGTTTTGTTCACTCGTGCGATATACTACTATAAACCACCTGTTGGAAAATTTCCAGTATATTTTAATATTTTCCATCGAATTCCTGGTAAAGTAATATCATTATACGAGTAATGACTATGAACTTCTTATAAAAACAAAATTCAATTTATCATAATTCTTATATATTTATTTACTTAATTATTCATTTCTCATTATTTTTGTTGTTTTAATTATCATCATATCAGTATGTCCGAATACTTGATCCTGTGACACATTATACTGTAGGCGTGAGGAAAGAAACAAAAAAATCAAACCTGTGTGCCAGGAAACATTTTTGTTTGTAAGTGATTTGTTATTCTATGACAGGTATGGTGTTGTGCCTGCAGATAATGCACGTACAATAACTTCTAACAAATATAAGAACTGGACTTGCTTTATAACGATGGAAACCTAGCCTATACATTACGAAATCTTTAAAAAGACGAAATAATAGCTAATCATGCTTCAGTTTTACAATCATTTAGATTGCCTATTAATGATAAGGATACGGACCTCCTCCGTTTATATTGGATACCCAAACTTTACAGGAATTCATATCAACAACGTTTTATTGCTAGTTCGTCTAGATAACCAACATGCTAAATACTCACAAATATGAGTTACACTCTTATTGTGATACTGTTTACTCAAGGAGTTGAATTAATAGTATGTGGTTGTTAAAGAACTCAAAAGAGCTTTTGACCCATCTGCACTCTCTATAAGATTTTTAATTTTTTTTCTTTTTATGGGTTTGCTGACCTGTTTTAATTTTCATGCTGAATTTAGGCTGAATCTAACGAAGAGCTTATCAGAACTGGTCACATAGACCTTGCAAAATCGATTAATTTAGCTTTCCGATATATTTATGACGTTTTGTCTTTAAATCACAAGAAATCTACTGACCACGTCCGTCTAATATACCCACAAGAATAGGAAATCAAAGACACGACAGACCTGTGGTATTTACATGCAACTGTTTCGATATTCAAAGGCCTGTTCCCAATATCAAGAGTTTCGTGCAAAAAGTCATCAACTGACGAACAACTTTGAGCACGGGGTTTAAAAACTGCAGTGTGCTTAAAATTCAACTTGAAATCTACTGAAATATAGGGCATGCGAATCACCCCATCTGGATTTTTACATTATATTTCGAACAAACTGAATTTTCCCCAGGCACTAATTACTTTGAAAAGGTCCTAAACACCACTGACGAGTCTCAGAAGGACGAAACAACTGTATGATGCAGTTGAATTAAATACTTAGCTCTACTGTATCTAATTCTACATGTGTTTTGAGAGGTGTTATCCACTTGTGTGTCCTTAGTACACTCTTCCAGAGACGTGTCTAAAATTGAAAACATTGCCTTCAATTACAGTCTGAATCATTTTTAAAATGATTCATGACATATTTCAGAAAAGGCGCTAATACAGATACAAAGAATAATGAACCAGACCAAATAATACATCATCATAAAATATTTCATGTGAACAGACGTAGAGTTACATCACATGGGTTACAAACAGATGTATCATGTGGTATAGTACAATCTCCAGTCAGGTACATTGTGTTAGCTAGTGCGACTGGTTAGTTAGTATGTATTAGACAGACATCTACTGTCTGGTTATTTGGTATGTGTTTAACAGAGACCTATGTCTGTTTAGGTAGTATATGTTCGACAGGAACGCACTGTCTATTTAGTTAGTATGTGTTAGACAAAGACCTACTGTCTGTTTAGGTAGTGTGTGTTAGACAGAGACCTACTGTCTGTTTAGGTAGTGTGTGTTAGACAGAGACCTACTGTCTGTTTAAGAAGTATGTGTTAGACAGAGACCTACTGTCTGTTTAGGTAGTCTTTGTTAAACAAAGACCCACTGTCTGTTTAAGTAGTATGTGTTAGACAGAGACATACTGTCTGTTTAGTTAATATGTGTAAGACAAAGACCAACTGTCTGTTTAGGTAGTATGTGTTAGAAAGAGATCTACTGTCTGTTGATGTATTTTGTGTCGGACAAAGATCTGATGTCTGGTCAGATATATGCGTAAATATCTTAATTGGGCGTTCGGCGCATTTCCACTCATCTGTTTTGAAAACATATCGGACGAAAATTATCATCATATCTGTTATCATTAATCTAACTGCATGTAATTTTATTACAAATTGGATAAAAACACTTTACATTTGCTTCTATTTGACCAGAATTTTTCCGCTTATATTGTGTTTTAATGCTGATTGATCATTGTAAAGTCTTCTATCCTTATTTGTTGGTCATGTGTAAAATGCTATGTTACGGATTATAATGAAGAAAGATTATAAGGCCGGACGTTGTGGATAGACACTTTCATTAATCTTGTAGCACTTGATCACCATGTTTTTAGCTCACATGGTCCAAAGAACCGCTGTACTTATGCCATGGCAAGGCGTCCGTCGTCCGACGTCCTACTACTATTTTGTTTTCTAGAAACGATTGAATTGATTTCATTCGAATTTGGTCAGAAGCATCCTTGGAGATGGTGAACAAATTTTCTATATCTGAAATCCCATTTTCTTTAGTTTGGATGAAGAAATGTTTTCTTTCTCTGGCCAATCAATTGATAAAACATTTGCTGATTCAATCAACTGTAGTGGCTTCAGTTTGAGATAATTGACGATAGGCAAGAAACAAGACTCATTTTAAACTCATTTCTCTCAGAATAACAATCATAGCTCCATGAATGACACACAATATCAGAATATACCAGAGATCCAGCTTCGTTGCCGATCAAAATTTTAAAAATCGAAACAATGTTCCCTCAAATGTCAACTTACTACAATAATTTGAAAATCAAAAGATTCGTTGTGGAAAATTCCATAACACAATGATGTTGATGAAATGATATTAAATGTTTTCCGAATTAAGAATTGATCCTGATTAATGCGGACTTCGCAGGCTTGTCCTACCAACCCACCGAATCTGATGGGATAGATAAAGTGGTATTTGCATATAAATAAAACATGGAATATAACCTCAGTATCAAAATTTATTTTATTCCTTAAATTTTATTCCTTTAAACTGTTTTGACAACAATTTTGATTTTCATTCAATTCTGTTACATCATAAACTAAGGAGCACTATCGCTGATAAGGCACCATTCACCTATGTCCATATACCTTTTTTAGACATGATTATGTGCTCGTTACCCATGAGTGGGATATTTAATGAGGTGATCAGTCACAGATTGATAAGCATTGGGGTGGTCATATTTTGAATCCTGTTAAGAGTATCAGAAATAGCTATCTACTTTAAAAATATTAATATTTTCTATAATCACAAAATAAGTAAATACGTTCATGAATTAACAAAATGATAAACATTTAATTACTAGTTGAAAAACTTCCTATATGATTCCTACATACATTTACATCCTTATTCTATATATATCTTATTATATTAAGAATTCTGCTGCCGAAGAGCATAGCTTTTCGGAATATAAGTAAATTCATATCAATGTTTTTTCTTAATGTTGATACACAAATATCAATATATACTGCTATTTATTGTGTATTACTTTAGATAGTGCTCTTATTTGGGAACTACATTTATTTAAACACATATGTGTACGTCCCACCGTTCCACTGAACAGGGGCAATCTTATCTCTCTCTCTATTGCGTTTTTCTTGTGTCCTGTTTATGTACGTATAGACAATGACTGGACATTTTACTCTGTGACACCATTCCTGCAGAATTGGGATCGAAGATTACGTAGACAATGGGCATTCCAGATCCGTGAGAACGCCGACATCAGTTGTTTTGATCCGAAATGACATCATTTGTCATATACATTTCTGAAATTCGTCGGTTTCAAATTCCTATAAAAGCTTTGCTTGTGTTCAGGTGATATCATAAAGTCAAGAAGAAGAAAACAGCAATACGATGCGAGGAATTGTACGCGGTATAGTAGCGTTGATACTAGTTTCCATAGTAACGAGTTTCAGCTATGATCCAACCTGTATCTGCTATGTCAGTAATCCAACAGGAAAGTGTAAGTAATAAATCATTCTTTAACTTAAATTTCATTTTCCCAGACCAGATTTCGTCCATTTCCAACATTCAAAATAATTTACGAAGTTAAAAAATTCATTCTTGACTTTCCATCCCAACTTTGATAGAGAAATGCTATATAGTATATAAGGTGTATGTTATTATTTTTATAAGCATAAAGACTGTTTTCGCTTTGTTTACAGCTTCTCTGTTAGCTAACATGCAATGTCTTCACTCAAGCGGGCGTTTATTACACCGGAAGTTGGTATATAGATTATACCGGAAATTGGTATGTAGAAAACACAATACAATTATCATAAAAACAATAAAACAAAAAACATTCAAATTTTAAAAGCAAATTAACACGTTTTGTTACAATAAATCTAATACATATTCGGGAGGATAATATTCCATTTAAGAAAAAAAAAATAACAGAACGAGTATTCATACATTATTCATATCGAACATATCAATCTTTTATACAATGTGTACTGAGTCTGGAGTATATTACGATACATAAGTTTCCATAATAATTTGTTCTATTTTGAAAAATATTTTGAAGTATATTTTAGGCATTCTAAATGAAATAAATTAGTACATTTGATATTGATGCGTCCAGTAATGGGGGAAATTTGAAACAGTCGGTATTCATGGCAGTTAAGACCATGAGCACACAATGAGAAAGATAAGTCCTAAAGGGGGAATAGATACACTGTCATTTAGAAACATAGTTGAAAATAAGATATTTGACATTTATTGATATCTTACACACCATCAGTTGTAAAACAGCTGATAACCAGTCCATATTTTTATTTACATTCTACAATCAAATTGTTTTTTTAATAAAAGTTTGTTTAACCATAAACAATAGCCGTAAGACTACCGAGTTAGAACAGCTACATCTTTGCCAGAGAACTATCTGGATTTTATGTTGTCGGGGCAAATAAAAAAGATAACTAACAGTAAACAAAGTGGTTCAACAAAACTACAAAAATAATTATCCATTTCTTTATTTAGTCTCGAAAATGTTAAATTAGTACATGCATATGATAAAATGTCGTACAACAGATTTTCTCACAATTACCATGTTTTAACAACTATAATTAGGTTTTGCGTAATCTCAGCGATATAATCCTTACCACACGTGCTTTCTTCAACAGAATATCAAGATAGGTGAAGTCAAAGTCTTGTTCGGGTCAGAATGCTTGGAATTACTGGAAGGTAAAATCTGCTTTGAAAATGACAATGCATTTAACGTCAATTTCTATCAAATAATTCATAAAGTGTAATTAATTTATACAATTCATGAGATCACAGAGAAATATCGAACATCATTCACCACAATTAAATATTTCCGTTTAAGAAAATTTTCTTTTTTTCAAAAAACATTCCTACCAAAGACAGCTGGAATATATTCTATTTTTTAGAAAATAAAAACCTGCAGATTGGTTTTAGCAACTGACTGTTGTAGTTTTATGCATCAAAAGTGTGATGTGTGATAGACAATGTCATACCCATTTTGACTAATATTTCAGAGACAAATGCGCAACAGAGACGATTTTTCACCGACTCCTTCGGTGGAAGTTTCGATAGCGGAGCTAAAGGCGATGGTAGTTCGAGCGTTGGTGGAAGTGTACATACACCAGTAGGAAGTGTGTCCGGCCACGCCCACTTTTCTCATGGTGATCTATCTGGAGGTGATGTTGGTGTATCTGGCAATGTGGGAAAGTTCGGAACAGCTGGTGTCCATGCCAACTACGACAATGGACACCTAAGTGGAGGGGTCGATGCCGGAGTTGATTTTGGAGGCATTGCACATGCTCAAGGACATGTGGACATTGATCACAACCACGACGTTAGTGGAGGAGTAAACGCAGGAGTGGACCTCGGAGGGTTTAAGGAGACAGCCACACTAGATGTGGACCACAACGGACACACTACAGGAGGGATACAGGGAACATTCGGAAGGAGAGGTAAAGTTTAATTTTGATCATCACCTATATTTCAGAGAATTTGTGTAAACAACTATGGTTTCAATCACTGTACACGAAACCCTTTAATCAATTTCAAAACATGTCAAACATCGGGAAAGTAATCCTTTCTCCAACAGAACAAATGTTGATGTTGATTTTTTCATTGTCCTGTTTAATGTAAAGCTAGTATCAAGCATAAGTAGATTAATGCACAAATAAATAATGATATCTCTTTCTTATCTTATTCAAACAGAACTCACCGTTCGCAAATGAATCTTTTGGTAAATCACCGAAAATTAACCAATAAAACAACCTTCATGAGGATTGATATACGTCCAAAATTTCTGTTGTAATATGTTGTCTTGAAAACTACAACCAAACTTTCACTTCAATCGTTCAAACATTTAGAAATGATGATTTTACTGAAAACGACTATTAGACTAACAACAATTAGAAGTGACTATTAGCTTCCGAGGTTTGCCGTAAATTGCATGACACGTTTTATTTATTCGAATAATGGCATGGGTCAGAGAACTACACATGTTCTTATAAATTTTCAAAAACATTCAAATTTACTATATATATATTGAAATATGGTACTAGTGCACCTTTCCATCTAGATTTTGGCATTTTTTCAAATATAAAAACTAATTTTCTTATTGAAAGTTCTGTTTAAAGGTGCTATTCAAGTCCTGTCTTTTGTACAATGCTCTGAGAATATCCGAAAAGACGATTTTGTACAAATTAATAGGCAAGCGAATGAGTCTGAACTCTGATTAAAACACTGTTAATGATAATCGTCCATATGAACAATTTTTCAGAAGTAAACGAGCAACAGAGACGATTTTTCACCGACTCCTTCGGTGGCAGTATCGATAGCGGAGCTAAAGGCGATGGTAGTTCGAGCGTGGGTGGAAGTGTACATACACCAGTAGGAAGTGTGTCCGGCCACGCCCACTTTTCTCATGGTGATCTGTCCGGAGGTGATGTTGGTGTATCTGGCAATGTGGGAAAGTTCGGAACAGCTGGTGTCCATGCCAACTACGACAATGGACACCTAAGTGGAGGGGTCGATGCCGGAGTTGATTTTGGAGGCATTGCACATGCTCAAGGACATGTGGACATTGATCACAACCTCGACTTTAGTGGAGGAGTAAACGCAGGAGTGGACCTCGGAGGGTTTAAGGAGACAGCCACACTAGATGTGGACCACAACGGACACACTACAGGAGGGATACAGGGAACATTCGGAAGGAGAGGTAAAGCTTTATTTTGATCATCACCTATATTTCAGAGGATTTGTGTAAACAACTATGATTTGAATCAGAGTAGACGAAATCCTTAAATCAAATTCAAAACGTGTCAAACTTCGATAGTCATCCTTTCGCCAACAGAACAATTCTTCAAGTTGTTGTTTCATTGTCCTGTTTTATGTAAAGCTAGTACCAGGCATAACTAGATTAATACAAAGAAATTACATCTCTTTCCTATCTTCCTGCAAACAGAACCTGCTGTTCGCAAATGGATATTTTGGTAAATCACCGAATATTAGTCAATAAAACAATCTTCATGATAATTAATATACGTCCAAAATTTCTGTTGTAATATGTTGTCTTGAAAACTACAACCAAACCTTTCTATTCAATCGTTCAAACATTTTGAAATGATCATTTTAACGAAGACGGCTATTAGTCTAACAACAATCAGAAGTGACTATTAGCTTCCGAGGTTTACCGTCAACTGCATGACACGTTTTTATTTATTCGAATAATGGCACGGTTCAGAGAACTACACAGGTTCTTCCATATTTTCAAAAATATTCAAATGTACAATATATATTGAAATATGACACTACTGCACCTTTCCATCTAGGTTTTAGCATTTTTAAAATATAAAGACTACTTATCTTATTGAAAGTTCTATTATAATGTGTTATTCACTTCCTGACTTTTGAACATTGCTCTGAGAATATCCGAAAAGACGATTTTGTACAAAGTAATAGGCAAGCGAATGAGTCTTAACTCTTACTAAATTACCGTTGATGATAATCGTCCATATGAACATTTCAGAAGTAAACGAGCAACAGAGACGATTTTTCACCGACTCCTTCGGTGGCAGTATCGATAGCGGAGCTAAAGGCGATGGTAGTTCGAGTCTGGGTGGAAGTGTACATACACCAGTAGGAAGTGTGTCCGGCCACGCCCACTTTTCTCATGGTGATCTATCTGGAGGTGATGTTGGTGTATCTGGCAATGTGGGAAAGTTCGGAACAGCTGGTGTCCATGCCAACTACGACAATGGACACCTAAGTGGAGGGGTCGATGCCGGAGTTGATTTTGGAGGCATTGCACATGCTCAAGGACATGTGGACATTGATCACAACCACGACGTTAGTGGAGGAGTAAACGCAGGAGTGGACCTCGGAGGGTTTAAGGAGACAGCCACACTAGATGTGGACCACAACGGACACACTACAGGAGGGATACAGGGAACATTCGGAAGGAGAGGTAAAGTTTAATTTTGATCATCACCTATATTTCAGAGAATTTGTGTAAACAACTATGGTTTCAATCACTTGTACACGAAACCCTTTAATCAATTTCAAAACATGTCAAACATCGGGAAAGTAATCCTTTCTCCAACAGAACAAATGTTGATGTTGATTTTTTCATTGTCCTGTTTAATGTAAAGCTAGTATCAAGCATAAGTAGATTAATGCACAAATAAATAATGATATCTCTTTCTATCTTATTCAAACAGAACTCACCGTTCGCAAATGAATCTTTTGGTAAATCACCGAAAATTAACCAATAAAACAACCTTCATGAGGATTGATATACGTCCAAAATTTCTGTTGTAATATGTTGTCTTGAAAACTACAACCAAACTTTCACTTCAATCGTTCAAACATTTAGAAATGATGATTTTACTGAAAACGACTATTAGACTAACAACAATTAGAAGTGACTATTAGCTTCCGAGGTTTGCCGTAAATTGCATGACACGTTTTATTTATTCGAATAATGGCATGGGTCAGAGAACTACACATGTTCTTATAAATTTTCAAAAATATTCAAATTTACTATATATATATATATTGAAATATGGTACTAGTGCACCTTTCCATCTAGATTTTGGCATTTTTAAAATATAAAAACTACTTATCTTATTGAAAGTTCTATCAGAAGGTGCTATTCACTTCCTGTCTTTTGTACAATGCTCTGAGAATATCCGAAAAGACGATTTTGTACAAAGTAATAGGCAAGCGAATGAGTCTTAACTCTTATTAAATTACCGTTGATGATAATCGTCCATATGAACATTTCAGAAGTAAACGAGCAACAGAGACGATTTTTCACCGACTCCTTCGGTGGCAGTATCGATAGCGGAGCTAAAGGCGATGGTAGTTCGAGCGTGGGTGGAAGTGTACATACACCAGTAGGAAGTGTGTCCGGTCACGCCCACTTTTCTCATGGTGATCTGTCCGGAGGTGATGTTGGTGTATCTGGCAATGTGGGAAAGTTCGGAACAGCTGGTGTCCATGCCAACTACGACAATGGACACCTAAGTGGAGGGGTCGATGCCGGAGTTGATCTTGGAGGCATTGCACATGCTCAAGGACATGTGGACATTGATCACAACCTCGACGTTAGTGGAGGAGTAAACGCAGGAGTGGACCTCGGAGGGTTTAAGGAGACAGCCACACTAGATGTGGACCACAACGGACACACTACAGGAGGGATACAGGGAACATTCGGAAGGAGAGGTAAAGCTTTATTTTGATCATCACCTATATTTCAGAGGATTTGTGTAAACAACTATGATTTGAATCAGAGTAGACGAAATCCTTAAATCAAATTCAAAACGTGTCAAACTTCGATAGTCATCCTTTCGCCAACAGAACAATTCTTCAAGTTGTTGTTTCATTGTCCTGTTTTATGTAAAGCTAGTACCAGGCATAACTAGATTAATACAAAGAAATTACATCTCTTTCCTATCTTCCTGCAAACAGAACCTGCTGTTCGCAAATGGATATTTTGGTAAATCACCGAATATTAGCCAATAAAACAATCTTCATGATAATTAATATACGTCCAAAATTTCTGTTGTAATATGTTGTCTTGAAAACTACAACCAAACCTTTCTATTCAATCGTTCAAACATTTTGAAATGATCATTTTAACGAAAACGGCCATTAGTCTAACAACAATCAGAAGTGACTATTAGCTTCCGAGGTTTACCGTCAACTGCATGACACGTTTTTATTTATTCGAATAATGGCACGGTTCAGAGAACTACACAGGTTCTTCCATATTTTCAAAAATATTCAAATGTACAATATATATTGAAATATGACACTACTGCACCTTTCCATCTAGGTTTTAGCATTTTTAAAATATAAAGACTACTTATCTTATTGAAAGTTCTATTATAATGTGTTATTCACTTCCTGACTTTTGAACATTGCTCTGAGAATATCCGAAAAGACGATTTTGTACAAAGTAATAGGCAAGCGAATGAGTCTTAACTCTTACTAAATTACCGTTGATGATAATCGTCCATATGAACATTTCAGAAGTAAACGAGCAACAGAGACGATTTTTCACCGACTCCTTCGGTGGCAGTATCGATAGCGGAGCTAAAGGCGATGGTAGTTCGAGTCTGGGTGGAAGTGTACATACACCAGTAGGAAGTGTGTCCGGCCACGCCCACTTTTCTCATGGTGATCTATCTGGAGGTGATGTTGGTGTATCTGGCAATGTGGGAAAGTTCGGAACAGCTGGTGTCCATGCCAACTACGACAATGGACACCTAAGTGGAGGGGTCGATGCCGGAGTTGATTTTGGAGGCATTGCACATGCTCAAGGACATGTGGACATTGATCACAACCTCGACTTTAGTGGAGGAGTAAACGCAGGAGTGGACCTCGGAGGGTTTAAGGAGACAGCCACACTAGATGTGGACCACAACGGACACACTACAGGAGGGATACAGGGAACATTCGGAAGGAGAGGTAAAGTTTAATTTTGATCATCACCTATATTTCAGAGAATTTGTGTAAACAACTATGGTTTCAATCACTGTACACGAAACCCTTTAATCAATTTCAAAACATGTCAAACATCGGGAAAGTAATCCTTTCTCCAACAGAACAAATGTTTATGTTGATTTTTTCATTGTCCTGTTTAATGTAAAGCTAGTATCAAGCATAAGTAGATTAATGCACAAATAAATAATGATATCTCTTTCCTATCTTATTCAAACAGAACTCACCGTTCGCAAATGAATCTTTTGGTAAATCACCGAAAATTAACCAATAAAACAACCTTCATGAGGATTGATATACGTCCAAAATTTCTGTTGTAATATGTTGTCTTGAAAACTACAACCAAACTTTCACTTCAATCGTTCAAACATTTAGAAATGATGATTTTACTGAAAACGACTATTAGACTAACAACAATTAGAAGTGACTATTAGCTTCCGAGGTTTGCCGTAAATTGCATGACACGTTTTATTTATTCGAATAATGGCATGGGTCAGAGAACTACACATGTTCTTATAAATTTTCAAAAATATTCAAATTTACTATATATATATATATTGAAATATGGTACTAGTGCACCTTTCCATCTAGATTTTGGCATTTTTAAAATATAAAAACTACTTATCTTATTGAAAGTTCTATCAGAAGGTGCTATTCACTTCCTGTCTTTTGTACAATGCTCTGAGAATATCCGAAAAGACGATTTTGTACAAAGTAATAGGCAAGCGAATGAGTCTTAACTCTTACTAAATTACCGTTGATGATAATCGTCCATATGAACATTTCAGAAGTAAACGAGCAACAGAGACGATTTTTCACCGACTCCTTCGGTGGCAGTATCGATAGCGGAGCTAAAGGCGATGGTAGTTCGAGCGTGGGTGGAAGTGTACATACACCAGTAGGAAGTGTGTCCGGTCACGCCCACTTTTCTCATGGTGATCTGTCCGGAGGTGATGTTGGTGTATCTGGCAATGTGGGAAAGTTCGGAACAGCTGGTGTCCATGCCAACTACGACAATGGACACCTAAGTGGAGGGGTCGATGCCGGAGTTGATTTTGGAGGCATTGCACATGCTCAAGGACATGTGGACATTGATCACAACCTCGACTTTAGTGGAGGAGTAAACGCAGGAGTGGACCTCGGAGGGTTTAAGGAGACAGCCACACTAGATGTGGACCACAACGGACACACTACAGGAGGGATACAGGGAACATTCGGAAGGAGAGGTAAAGCTTTATTTTGATCATCACCTATATTTCAGAGGATTTGTGTAAACAACTATGATTTGAATCAGAGTAGACGAAATCCTTAAATCAAATTCAAAACGTGTCAAACTTCGATAGTCATCCTTTCGCCAACAGAACAATTCTTCAAGTTGTTGTTTCATTGTCCTGTTTTATGTAAAGCTAGTACCAGGCATAACTAGATTAATACAAAGAAATTACATCTCTTTCCTATCTTCCTGCAAACAGAACCTGCTGTTCGCAAATGGATATTTTGGTAAATCACCGAATATTAGCCAATAAAACAATCTTCATGATAATTAATATACGTCCAAAATTTCTGTTGTAATATGTTGTCTTGAAAACTACAACCAAACCTTTCTATTCAATCGTTCAAACATTTTGAAATGATCATTTTAACGAAAACGGCTATTAGTCTAACAACAATCAGAAGTGACTATTAGCTTCCGAGGTTTACCGTCAACTGCATGACACGTTTTTATTTATTCGAATAATGGCACGGTTCAGAGAACTACACAGGTTCTTCCATATTTTCAAAAATATTCAAATGTACAATATATATTGAAATATGACACTACTGCACCTTTCCATCTAGGTTTTAGCATTTTTAAAATATAAAGACTACTTATCTTATTGAAAGTTCTATTATAATGTGTTATTCACTTCCTGACTTTTGAACATTGCTCTGAGAATATCCGAAAAGACGATTTTGTACAAAGTAATAGGCAAGCGAATGAGTCTTAACTCTTACTAAATTACCGTTGATGATAATCGTCCATATGAACATTTCAGAAGTAAACGAGCAACAGAGACGATTTTTCACCGACTCCTTCGGTGGCAGTATCGATAGCGGAGCTAAAGGCGATGGTAGTTCGAGTCTGGGTGGAAGTGTACATACACCAGTAGGAAGTGTGTCCGGCCACGCCCACTTTTCTCATGGTGATCTATCTGGAGGTGATGTTGGTGTATCTGGCAATGTGGGAAAGTTCGGAACAGCTGGTGTCCATGCCAACTACGACAATGGACACCTAAGTGGAGGGGTCGATGCCGGAGTTGATTTTGGAGGCATTGCACATGCTCAAGGACATGTGGACATTGATCACAACCTCGACTTTAGTGGAGGAGTAAACGCAGGAGTGGACCTCGGAGGGTTTAAGGAGACAGCCACACTAGATGTGGACCACAACGGACACACTACAGGAGGGATACAGGGAACATTCGGAAGGAGAGGTAAAGTTTAATTTTGATCATCACCTATATTTCAGAGAATTTGTGTAAACAACTATGGTTTCAATCACTGTACACGAAACCCTTTAATCAATTTCAAAACATGTCAAACATCGGGAAAGTAATCCTTTCTCCAACAGAACAAATGTTTATGTTGATTTTTTCATTGTCCTGTTTAATGTAAAGCTAGTATCAAGCATAAGTAGATTAATGCACAAATAAATAATGATATCTCTTTCCTATCTTATTCAAACAGAACTCACCGTTCGCAAATGAATCTTTTGGTAAATCACCGAAAATTAACCAATAAAACAACCTTCATGAGGATTGATATACGTCCAAAATTTCTGTTGTAATATGTTGTCTTGAAAACTACAACCAAACTTTCACTTCAATCGTTCAAACATTTAGAAATGATGATTTTACTGAAAACGACTATTAGACTAACAACAATTAGAAGTGACTATTAGCTTCCGAGGTTTGCCGTAAATTGCATGACACGTTTTATTTATTCGAATAATGGCATGGGTCAGAGAACTACACATGTTCTTATAAATTTTCAAAAATATTCAAATTTACTATATATATATATATTGAAATATGGTACTAGTGCACCTTTCCATCTAGATTTTGGCATTTTTTAAAATATAAAAACTAATTTTCTTATTGAAAGTTCTATCAAAGGTGCTATTCACTTCCTGTCTTTTGTACAATGCTCTGAGAATATCCGAAAAGACGATTTTGTACAAAGTAATAGGCAAGCGAATGAGTCTTAACTCTTATTAAAACCTGTTGATGATAATCGTCCATATGAACAATTTCAGAAGTAAACGAGCAACAGAGACGATTTTTCACCGACTCCTTCGGTGGCAGTATCGATAGCGGAGCTAAAGGCGATGGTAGTTCGAGCGTGGGTGGAAGTGTACATACACCAGTAGGAAGTGTGTCCGGCCACGCCCACTTTTCTCATGGTGATCTGTCCGGAGGTGATGTTGGTGTATCTGGCAATGTGGGAAAGTTCGGAACAGCTGGTGTCCATGCCAACTACGACAATGGACACCTAAGTGGAGGGGTCGATGCCGGAGTTGATTTTGGAGGCATTGCACATGCTCAAGGACATGTGGACATTGATCACAACCTCGACTTTAGTGGAGGAGTAAACGCAGGAGTGGACCTCGGAGGGTTTAAGGAGACAGCCACACTAGATGTGGACCACAACGGACACACTACAGGAGGGATACAGGGAACATTCGGAAGGAGAGGTAAAGCTTTATTTTGATCATCACCTATATTTCAGAGGATTTGTGTAAACAACTATGATTTGAATCAGAGTAGACGAAATCCTTAAATCAAATTCAAAACGTGTCAAACTTCGATAGTCATCCTTTCGCCAACAGAACAATTCTTCAAGTTGTTGTTTCATTGTCCTGTTTTATGTAAAGCTAGTACCAGGCATAACTAGATTAATACAAAGAAATTACATCTCTTTCCTATCTTCCTGCAAACAGAACCTGCTGTTCGCAAATGGATATTTTGGTAAATCACCGAATATTAGCCAATAAAACAATCTTCATGATAATTAATATACGTCCAAAATTTCTGTTGTAATATGTTGTCTTGAAAACTACAACCAAACCTTTCTATTCAATCGTTCAAACATTTTGAAATGATCATTTTAACGAAAACGGCTATTAGTCTAACAACAATCAGAAGTGACTATTAGCTTCCGAGGTTTACCGTCAACTGCATGACACGTTTTTATTTATTCGAATAATGGCACGGTTCAGAGAACTACACAGGTTCTTCCATATTTTCAAAAATATTCAAATGTACAATATATATTGAAATATGACACTACTGCACCTTTCCATCTAGGTTTTAGCATTTTTAAAATATAAAGACTACTTATCTTATTGAAAGTTCTATTATAATGTGTTATTCACTTCCTGACTTTTGAACATTGCTCTGAGAATATCCGAAAAGACGATTTTGTACAAAGTAATAGGCAAGCGAATGAGTCTTAACTCTTACTAAATTACCGTTGATGATAATCGTCCATATGAACATTTCAGAAGTAAACGAGCAACAGAGACGATTTTTCACCGACTCCTTCGGTGGCAGTATCGATAGCGGAGCTAAAGGCGATGGTAGTTCGAGTCTGGGTGGAAGTGTACATACACCAGTAGGAAGTGTGTCCGGCCACGCCCACTTTTCTCATGGTGATCTATCTGGAGGTGATGTTGGTGTATCTGGCAATGTGGGAAAGTTCGGAACAGCTGGTGTCCATGCCAACTACGACAATGGACACCTAAGTGGAGGGGTCGATGCCGGAGTTGATTTTGGAGGCATTGCACATGCTCAAGGACATGTGGACATTGATCACAACCTCGACTTTAGTGGAGGAGTAAACGCAGGAGTGGACCTCGGAGGGTTTAAGGAGACAGCCACACTAGATGTGGACCACAACGGACACACTACAGGAGGGATACAGGGAACATTCGGAAGGAGAGGTAAAGTTTAATTTTGATCATCACCTATATTTCAGAGAATTTGTGTAAACAACTATGGTTTCAATCACTGTACACGAAACCCTTTAATCAATTTCAAAACATGTCAAACATCGGGAAAGTAATCCTTTCTCCAACAGAACAAATGTTTATGTTGATTTTTTCATTGTCCTGTTTAATGTAAAGCTAGTATCAAGCATAAGTAGATTAATGCACAAATAAATAATGATATCTCTTTCCTATCTTATTCAAACAGAACTCACCGTTCGCAAATGAATCTTTTGGTAAATCACCGAAAATTAACCAATAAAACAACCTTCATGAGGATTGATATACGTCCAAATTTTCTGTTGTAAAATGTTGTCTTGAAAACTACAACTGAACCTTTCTATTCAATCGTTCAAACATTTTGAAATGATGATTTTACTGAAAACGACTATTAGTCTAACAACAATCAGAAGTGACTATTAGCTTCCGAGGTTTACCGTCAACTGCATGACACGTTTTTATTTATTCGAATAATGGCATGGGTCAGAGAACTACACATGTTCTTATAAATTTTCAAAAATATTCAAATTTACTATATATATATATATTGAAATATGGTACTAGTGCACCTTTCCATCTAGATTTTGGCATTTTTAAAATATAAAAACTACTTATCTTATTGAAAGTTCTATCAGAAGGTGCTATTCACTTCCTGTCTTTTGTACAATGCTCTGAGAATATCCGAAAAGACGATTTTGTACAAAGTAATAGGCAAGCGAATGAGTCTTAACTCTTACTAAATTACCGTTGATGATAATCGTCCATATGAACATTTCAGAAGTAAACGAGCAACAGAGACGATTTTTCACCGACTCCTTCGGTGGCAGTATCGATAGCGGAGCTAAAGGCGATGGTAGTTCGAGCGTGGGTGGAAGTGTACATACACCAGTAGGAAGTGTGTCCGGTCACGCCCACTTTTCTCATGGTGATCTGTCCGGAGGTGATGTTGGTGTATCTGGCAATGTGGGAAAGTTCGGAACAGCTGGTGTCCATGCCAACTACGACAATGGACACCTAAGTGGAGGGGTCGATGCCGGAGTTGATCTTGGAGGCATTGCACATGCTCAAGGACATGTGGACATTGATCACAACCTCGACGTTAGTGGAGGAGTAAACGCAGGAGTGGACCTCGGAGGGTTTAAGGAGACAGCCACACTAGATGTGGACCACAACGGACACACTACAGGAGGGATACAGGGAACATTCGGAAGGAGAGGTAAAGCTTTATTTTGATCATCACCTATATTTCAGAGGATTTGTGTAAACAACTATGATTTGAATCAGAGTAGACGAAATCCTTAAATCAAATTCAAAACGTGTCAAACTTCGATAGTCATCCTTTCGCCAACAGAACAATTCTTCAAGTTGTTGTTTCATTGTCCTGTTTTATGTAAAGCTAGTACCAGGCATAACTAGATTAATACAAAGAAATTACATCTCTTTCCTATCTTCCTGCAAACAGAACCTGCTGTTCGCAAATGGATATTTTGGTAAATCACCGAATATTAGCCAATAAAACAATCTTCATGATAATTAATATACGTCCAAAATTTCTGTTGTAATATGTTGTCTTGAAAACTACAACCAAACCTTTCTATTCAATCGTTCAAACATTTTGAAATGATCATTTTAACGAAAACGGCCATTAGTCTAACAACAATCAGAAGTGACTATTAGCTTCCGAGGTTTACCGTCAACTGCATGACACGTTTTTATTTATTCGAATAATGGCACGGTTCAGAGAACTACACAGGTTCTTCCATATTTTCAAAAATATTCAAATGTACAATATATATTGAAATATGACACTACTGCACCTTTCCATCTAGGTTTTAGCATTTTTAAAATATAAAGACTACTTATCTTATTGAAAGTTCTATTATAATGTGTTATTCACTTCCTGACTTTTGAACATTGCTCTGAGAATATCCGAAAAGACGATTTTGTACAAAGTAATAGGCAAGCGAATGAGTCTTAACTCTTACTAAATTACCGTTGATGATAATCGTCCATATGAACATTTCAGAAGTAAACGAGCAACAGAGACGATTTTTCACCGACTCCTTCGGTGGCAGTATCGATAGCGGAGCTAAAGGCGATGGTAGTTCGAGTCTGGGTGGAAGTGTACATACACCAGTAGGAAGTGTGTCCGGCCACGCCCACTTTTCTCATGGTGATCTATCTGGAGGTGATGTTGGTGTATCTGGCAATGTGGGAAAGTTCGGAACAGCTGGTGTCCATGCCAACTACGACAATGGACACCTAAGTGGAGGGGTCGATGCCGGAGTTGATTTTGGAGGCATTGCACATGCTCAAGGACATGTGGACATTGATCACAACCTCGACTTTAGTGGAGGAGTAAACGCAGGAGTGGACCTCGGAGGGTTTAAGGAGACAGCCACACTAGATGTGGACCACAACGGACACACTACAGGAGGGATACAGGGAACATTCGGAAGGAGAGGTAATAATTTTGATCATCACCTATATTTCAGAGAATTTGTGTAAACAACTATGGTTTCAATCACTGTACACGAAACCCTTTAATCAATTTCAAAACATATTCTCCAACAGAACAAATGTTTATGTTGATTTTTTCATTGTCCTGTTTAATGTAAACCTCAGGCATAATAGATTAATACAAAGAAATACAGATCTTCCTGCAAACAGAACCTGCTGTTCGCAAATGGATATTTTGGTAAATCACCGAAAATTAGCCAATAAAACAATCTTCATGATAATTAATATACGTCCAAAATTTCTGTTGTAATATGTTGTCTTGAAAACTACAACCAAACCTTTCTATTCAATCGTTCAAACATTTTGAAATGATCACGAAAACGGCCATTAGTCTAACAACAATCAGAAGTGACTATTAGCTTCCGAGGTTTACCGTCAACTGCAACAGCCATTCGAATAATGGCACGGTTCAGAGAACTACACAGGTTCTTCCATATTTTCAAAAATATTCAAATGTACAATATATATTGAAATATGACACTACTGCACCTTTCCATCTAGGTTTTAGCATTTTTAAAATATAAAGACTACTTATCTTATTGAAAGTTCTATTATAATGTGTTATTCACTTCCTGACTTTTGAACATTGCTCTGAGAATATCCGAAAAGACGATTTTGTACAAAGTAATAGGCAAGCATGAGTCTTAACTCTTACTAAATTACCGTTGATGATAATCGTCCATATGAACATTTCAGAAGTAAACGAGCAACAGAGACGATTTTTCAACTCCTTCGGTGGCAGTATCGATAGCGGAGCTAAAGGCGATGGTAGTTCGAGTCTGGGTGGAAGTGTACATACACCAGTAGGAAGTGTGTCCGGCCACGCCCACTTTTCTCATGGTGATCTATCTGGAGGTGATGTTGGTGTATCTGGCAATGTGGGAAAGTTCGGAACAGCTGGTGTCCATGCCAACTACGACAATGGACACCTAAGCGGAGGGGTCGATGCCGGAGTTGATTTTGGAGGCATTGCACATGCTCAAGGACATGTGGACATTGATCACAACCTCGACTTTAGTGGAGGAGTAAACGCAGGAGTGGACCTCGGAGGGTTTAAGGAGACAGCCACACTAGATGTGGACCACAACGGACACACTACAGGAGGGATACAGGGAACATTCGGAAGGAGAGGTAAAGTTTAATTTTGATCATCACCTATATTTCAGAGAATTTGTGTAAACAACTATGGTTTCAATCACTGTACACGAAACCCTTTAATCAATTTCAAAACATGTCAAACATCGGGAAAGTAATCCTTTCTCCAACAGAACAAATGTTTATGTTGATTTTTTCATTGTCCTGTTTAATGTAAAGCTAGTACCAGGCATAACTAGATTAATACAAAGAAATTACATCTCTTTCCTATCTTCCTGCAAACAGAACCTGCTGTTCGCAAATGGATATTTTGGTAAATCACCGAAAATTAGCCAATAAAACAATCTTCATGATAATTAATATACGTCCAAAATTTCTGTTGTAATATGTTGTCTTGAAAACTACAACCAAACCTTTCTATTCAATCGTTCAAACATTTTGAAATGATCATTTTAACGAAAACGGCCATTAGTCTAACAACAATCAGAAGTGACTATTAGCTTCCGAGGTTTACCGTCAACTGCATGACACGTTTTTATTTATTCGAATAATGGCACGGTTCAGAGAACTACACAGGTTCTTCCATATTTTCAAAAATATTCAAATGTACAATATATATTGAAATATGACACTACTGCACCTTTCCATCTAGGTTTTAGCATTTTTAAAATATAAAGACTACTTATCTTATTGAAAGTTCTATTATAATGTGTTATTCACTTCCTGACTTTTGAACATTGCTCTGAGAATATCCGAAAAGACGATTTTGTACAAAGTAATAGGCAAGCGAATGAGTCTTAACTCTTACTAAATTACCGTTGATGATAATCGTCCATATGAACATTTCAGAAGTAAACGAGCAACAGAGACGATTTTTCACCGACTCCTTCGGTGGCAGTATCGATAGCGGAGCTAAAGGCGATGGTAGTTCGAGTCTGGGTGGAAGTGTACATACACCAGTAGGAAGTGTGTCCGGCCACGCCCACTTTTCTCATGGTGATCTATCTGGAGGTGATGTTGGTGTATCTGGCAATGTGGGAAAGTTCGGAACAGCTGGTGTCCATGCCAACTACGACAATGGACACCTAAGTGGAGGGGTCGATGCCGGAGTTGATTTTGGAGGCATTGCACATGCTCAAGGACATGTGGACATTGATCACAACCTCGACGTTAGTGGAGGAGTAAACGCAGGAGTGGACCTCGGAGGGTTTAAGGAGACAGCCACACTAGATGTGGACCACAACGGACACACTACAGGAGGGATACAGGGAACATTCGGAAGGAGAGGTAAAGTTTAATTTTGATCATCACCTATATTTCAGAGAATTTGTGTAAACAACTATGGTTTCAATCACTGTACACGAAACCCTTTAATCAATTTCAAAACATGTCAAACATCGGGAAAGTAATCCTTTCTCCAACAGAACAAATGTTTATGTTGATTTTTTCATTGTCCTGTTTAATGTAAAGCTAGTATCAAGCATAAGTAGATTAATGCACAAATAAATAATGATATCTCTTTCCTATCTTATTCAAACAGAACTCACCGTTCGCAAATGAATCTTTTGGTAAATCACCGAAAATTAACCAATAAAACAACCTTCATGAGGATTGATATACGTCCAAAATTTCTGTTGTAATATGTTGTCTTGAAAACTACAACCAAACTTTCACTTCAATCGTTCAAACATTTAGAAATGATGATTTTACTGAAAACGACTATTAGACTAACAACAATTAGAAGTGACTATTAGCTTCCGAGGTTTGCCGTAAATTGCATGACACGTTTTATTTATTCGAATAATGGCATGGGTCAGAGAACTACACATGTTCTTATAAATTTTCAAAAATATTCAAATTTACTATATATATATTGAAATATGGTACTAGTGCACCTTTCCATCTAGATTTTGGCATTTTTAAAATATAAAAACTAATTTTCTTATTGAAAGTTCTATCAAAGGTGCTATTCACTTCCTGTCTTTTGTACAATGCTCTGAGAATATCCGAAAAGACGATTTTGTACAAAGTAATAGGCAAGCGAATGAGTCTTAACTCTTACTAAAACCGTTGATGATAATCGTCCATATGAACATTTCAGAAGTAAACGAGCAACAGAGACGATTTTTCACCGACTCCTTCGGTGGCAGTATCGATAGCGGAGCTAAAGGCGATGGTAGTTCGAGCGTGGGTGGAAGTGTACATACACCAGTAGGAAGTGTGTCCGGCCACGCCCACTTTTCTCATGGTGATCTGTCCGGAGGTGATGTTGGTGTATCTGGCAATGTGGGAAAGTTCGGAACAGCTGGTGTCCATGCCAACTACGACAATGGACACCTAAGCGGAGGGGTCGATGCCGGAGTTGATTTTGGAGGCATTGCACATGCTCAAGGACATGTGGACATTGATCACAACCTCGACGTTAGTGGAGGAGTAAACGCAGGAGTGGACCTCGGAGGGTTTAAGGAGACAGCCACACTAGATGTGGACCACAACGGACACACTACAGGAGGGATACAGGGAACATTCGGAAGGAGAGGTAAAGCTTTATTTTGATCATCACCTATATTTCAGAGGATTTGTGTAAACAACTATGATTTGAATCAGAGTAGACGAAATCCTTAAATCAAATTCAAAACGTGTCAAACTTCGATAGTCATCCTTTCGCCAACAGAACAATTCTTCAAGTTGTTGTTTCATTGTCCTGTTTTATGTAAAGCTAGTACCAGGCATAACTAGATTAATACAAAGAAATTACATCTCTTTCCTATCTTCCTGCAAACAGAACCTGCTGTTCGCAAATGGATATTTTGGTAAATCACCGAATATTAGCCAATAAAACAATCTTCATGATAATTAATATACGTCCAAAATTTCTGTTGTAATATGTTGTCTTGAAAACTACAACCAAACCTTTCTATTCAATCGTTCAAACATTTTGAAATGATCATTTTAACGAAAACGGCCATTAGTCTAACAACAATCAGAAGTGACTATTAGCTTCCGAGGTTTACCGTCAACTGCATGACACGTTTTTATTTATTCGAATAATGGCACGGTTCAGAGAACTACACAGGTTCTTCCATATTTTCAAAAATATTCAAATGTACAATATATATTGAAATATGACACTACTGCACCTTTCCATCTAGGTTTTAGCATTTTTAAAATATAAAGACTACTTATCTTATTGAAAGTTCTATTATAATGTGTTATTCACTTCCTGACTTTTGAACATTGCTCTGAGAATATCCGAAAAGACGATTTTGTACAAAGTAATAGGCAAGCGAATGAGTCTTAACTCTTACTAAATTACCGTTGATGATAATCGTCCATATGAACATTTCAGAAGTAAACGAGCAACAGAGACGATTTTTCACCGACTCCTTCGGTGGCAGTATCGATAGCGGAGCTAAAGGCGATGGTAGTTCGAGTCTGGGTGGAAGTGTACATACACCAGTAGGAAGTGTGTCCGGCCACGCCCACTTTTCTCATGGTGATCTATCTGGAGGTGATGTTGGTGTATCTGGCAATGTGGGAAAGTTCGGAACAGCTGGTGTCCATGCCAACTACGACAATGGACACCTAAGTGGAGGGGTCGATGCCGGAGTTGATTTTGGAGGCATTGCACATGCTCAAGGACATGTGGACATTGATCACAACCTCGACTTTAGTGGAGGAGTAAACGCAGGAGTGGACCTCGGAGGGTTTAAGGAGACAGCCACACTAGATGTGGACCACAACGGACACACTACAGGAGGGATACAGGGAACATTCGGAAGGAGAGGTAAAGTTTAATTTTGATCATCACCTATATTTCAGAGAATTTGTGTAAACAACTATGGTTTCAATCACTGTACACGAAACCCTTTAATCAATTTCAAAACATGTCAAACATCGGGAAAGTAATCCTTTCTCCAACAGAACAAATGTTTATGTTGATTTTTTCATTGTCCTGTTTAATGTAAAGCTAGTATCAAGCATAAGTAGATTAATGCACAAATAAATAATGATATCTCTTTCCTATCTTATTCAAACAGAACTCACCGTTCGCAAATGAATCTTTTGGTAAATCACCGAAAATTAACCAATAAAACAACCTTCATGAGGATTGATATACGTCCAAAATTTCTGTTGTAATATGTTGTCTTGAAAACTACAACCAAACTTTCACTTCAATCGTTCAAACATTTAGAAATGATGATTTTACTGAAAACGACTATTAGACTAACAACAATTAGAAGTGACTATTAGCTTCCGAGGTTTGCCGTAAATTGCATGACACGTTTTATTTATTCGAATAATGGCATGGGTCAGAGAACTACACATGTTCTTCTATCTTTTTAAAAAATATTCAAATGTACAATATATATTGAAATATGGCACTTCTGCACCTTTCCATCTAGATTTTGGCATTTTTAAAATATAAAAACTACTGATCTTATCGAAAGTTCTATCAGAAGGTGCTATTCACTTCCTGTCTTTTGTACAATGCTCTGAGAATATCCGAAAAGACGATTTTGTACAAAGTAATAGGCAAGCGAATGAGTCTTAACTCTTACTAAATTACCGTTGATGATAATCGTCCATATGAACATTTCAGAAGTAAACGAGCAACAGAGACGATTTTTCACCGACTCCTTCGGTGGCAGTATCGATAGCGGAGCTAAAGGCGATGGTAGTTCGAGCGTTGGTGGAAGTGTACATACACCAGTAGGAAGTGTGTCCGGCCACGCCCACTTTTCTCATGGTGATCTGTCCGGAGGTGATTTTGGTGTATCTGGCAATGTGGGAAAGTTCGGAACAGCTGGTGTCCATGCCAACTACGACAATGGACACCTAAGTGGAGGGGTCGATGCCGGAGTTGATTTTGGAGGCATTGCACATGCTCAAGGACATGTGGACATTGATCACAACCTCGACGTTAGTGGAGGAGTGAACGCAGGAGTGGACCTCGGAGGGTTTAAGGAGACAGCCACACTAGATGTGGACCACAACGGACACACTACAGGAGGGATACAGGGAACATTCGGAAGGAGAGGTAAAGATTTATTTTGATCAACATCTATATTTCAGAGGATTTGTGTAAACAACTATGATTTTAATTACAGTACACGAAATCCTTTAATCAAATTCAAAACATGTCAAACGTCGATAATTATCCTTTCGCCAACAGAACAAATGTTTATGTTGTTTTTTCATTGTCCTGTTTTATTTAAAGCTAGTACCAAACATAACTAGATTAATGCAAAAACATATCTCTTTCCTATCTTCTTCAAACAGAGCCCACCGTTCACAAATGAATCTTTTGGTAAATCACCGAAAATTAGCAAATAAAACAACCTTTATGAGGATTGGTATACGTCCAAAATTTCTGTTGTAATATGATCTCTTGAAAACTACAACCAAACCTTTCAATTTAATCCTTCAAACATTTTAAATGATAATTTTTACGAAAACGACTATTCGTCTATAACAATTAGAAGTGACTATTAGCTTCCGAGGTTTGCCGTCAATTGCATGACACGTTTTTATTTATTCGAATAATGGCATGGTTCAGAGAACTACACGTTCTTCTAAAATTTTCAAAAATATTCAAATGTACAATATATATTGAAATATGGTACTACTGCACCTTTCCATCTAGATTTTGGCATTTTTAAAATATAAAAACTACTTATCTTATTGAAAGTTCTATTATAAGGTGCTATTCACTTCCTGTCTTTTGTACATTGCTCTGAGAATATCCGAAAAGACGATTTTGTACAAATTAATAGGCAAGCGAATGAGTCTTAACTCTTATTAAAATACCTTCCATATGAACAACATTTCAGAAGTAAACGAGCGACAGAGACGATATTTCACCGACTCCTTCGGTGGCAGTATCGATAGCGGAGCTAAAGGCGATGGTAGTTCGAGCGTTGGTGGAAGTGTACATACACCAGTAGGAAGTGTGTCCGGCCACGCCCACTTTTCTCATGGTGATCTGTCTGGAGGTGATGTTGGTGTATCTGGCAATGTGGGAAAGTTCGGAACAGCTGGTGTCCATGCCAACTACGACAATGGACACTTTAGTGGAGGGGGCGATGTCGGGGTTGATCTTGGAGGCATTGCACATGCTCAAGGACATGTGGACATTGATCACAACCTCGACTTTAGTGGAGGAGTGAACGCAGGAGTGGACCTCGGAGGGTTTAAGGAGACAGCCACACTAGATGTGGACCACAACGGACACACTACAGGAGGGATACAGGGAACATTCGGAAGGAGAGGTAAAGCTTTATTTTGATCATCACCTATATTTCAGAGGATTTGCAAGTTATTTTTTCATTGTCTTCTTGTATGTACAGATAGCACCGAGCAAAATTTAATTAACAACTATGATTTTAATCACAATACACGAAATCCTTTAATCAAATTAAGTATATATATATATATATATATATATATATATATATATATATATATATATATATATATCAATCTTAGATAGTAATCCTTTCTCCGGGAAGACAAATGTATAAGTTTTATTTTTCATTGGAACTGTTTTGTGCACAACTATCATCATTCAACTAGATTAATGTAGAAAATTATTATTTATTTGCTATGTTCTTCACGCGATCGAGTCTTAATCCTTATTAGAACAAAGTTAACGATAATCGACGTTATGACCATTAGAGAAAAACAAATTTTGTGTAATTCAATAACTATCAATGACAGTCCTCATTTTTGAGTGTATTTTGAAAAAGTAAGTCATGATTCTGGAAGAGAATTTTTCACAAATTTTATATAGAACTGATTTAAATGGACTATTTCTAAAATTGATAATATAATTAACGACAGGTTTGCGTTGTTTGGCTATTGTCAGTTCCTTTTTCGTGGATTTTTTTATGATTAAATTCCGACCTAATTAGCATAGCCAGGCCCGTATCTATGATACACATGTTGCGACAAAATTTCTATCTCGAGAAAAAGAAAACGTATGTCTTAATTTGAACCTCGTTTGAAAAATCGTCTTGCTCATGATTCATTGATTTCATTGTAACTAAAACATGGTTTGACTTGAATGAAGGTAGACCATATACGAATGAATGCCTCCACTATAGGTTACAGGGACATGTTAATAATTCGTCGAATGGAGATATCTCCTAGGTGCATGTTGCAAAATTCTGAAAACTGATTCAGACATATCAATGTTTTCACTCATTCAGAATAAACAGCTTGCGTAGCATAAAAAATATTCGTGAAATTCCATCTTGCGTCATTGTCTGTGGGTTACAATGTCTAGCTACTGTTTGCAAACATGGCGTAATAGTAAAACTAAACAGGCAGTGAAAATCCTTCGTTATCACTCCACGATGATTTAGTCAATGAGAGTAATAGACTAGATTTTATGAAGGAATTTGTAATATGATAAAATCTAATTTAAACTTTATAAAATTATAAATGAATCAGTTTTTAATATGCTATGGTATTTATATGCATGTTCTTTTTTCAGAAACGCGTGACTACTAAACAAGAACAAATCTACAAACTTTATAATCTTTATTGTTTTAACAAAATAATAAATATTTTTTGTTATTCCGTGTGCGTGTTTGTTTCATTCATAACTGTTTACAATCTCCAAGAATGATAAAAGCAGATGAAAAGACCGAAGTGTACGAGAACGCTATACGTATATGATAATCAGTCTGCAGAACACAAGCGGCAGTGTTCAAATTAAGACTTTGTATACTCCAGGGATAAAAAAGCAGGGTGACATTATCTACACTATCATGTGAACGCGTTGTTCAAAAACGATAAAAATCGGTCAAGCAACTTGTATTGTATTGTGTGACGATGACTTACGGAGAAAGCACGAAACGGGAACATCTCGAGCACAGCAGTGTTGTGACATTGAGTTACACTGCTCGTCATACTATTAGGTAGTCTTCTTAGAAACACATTATTTTCCGATATTTCGATTAATTTCTCATAGCATTAAATAATGGCACGGCTAACGGAAGTTCCGAGGGGTCAGGCCATTGCGATGATTATGGAAGGTCAAAGGCAAATACAGATTGCCAGACATTTCTGTGTCCATATCACCACAACAGATACCTTGTTAGACGTCTAAGGGAAACTGGGTGGGTTGCTGACGGACCTAGGTCTGGGCGACCGCGCGTGACGTCACAACGTCAGGACAGGTTTACTCGTCTTGCGCAATCAGCACCTTATTGCCCTTCATAGCATAGGTAGTCATAACCGTCCAATCCATGAAAAAACTGTAAGGAAACGAGTATTGGATGTTGGTCTGCGGGCACGTCATCCGTTTGTAGGTCTGCCCCTTACCGCTGCTCGTCGCCAGCGTCGTTTGTCTTGAGTGGCGGCACATGCCCCCAGAATAATCCCATTGAGGCGGTGTAGGCGGGTCTTGTTTACTGATGAGTCCCAGTTCACTTTTTTTCGAGCAGACGTTCGACGTTGCGGAGAACGTTTTGCCTGCTGCTGCGTAGTAAAGACGAAAAGGTTTGGGGGTGCAACGGTTATGGTGTGGGAAAGAAACTCACATGGAGTTAAAATCACCACTGGTTGTGGTAGCGTGTAATTAAACTGATGTTTGGTATAGAGATGAGATCCTCCGACCCCATGTTGCCCCGTTATTGCAGCAAAACAACCTCACATTCCAGCAGGATAATGCTCGGCCCCATGTAGAGGATCTGTCGCGACTTTCTCACGAACAATATCCATCCACTGGACAGGCCGCCATGCAGTCCCGATCTATCTTCTATTGAACACTTGTGGGACCAGCTGGATAGACAGGTTCGAGGACGCCAGCCTTCCCCTGTGACCTAGGAATATTGCAAATGATGCAAACAGCTTGAAGTTTCCTTCCCTTATGACAAAACAAAAATAAATGCATTGAACTGCTTCAAGTTGGTACTCATGGGCAAATCAATGCCAACAGGATAAAGGCAATTCCAACATTGTGCATTAAAACATTTTATAACACAATTTATAACAGTGATACTAACTCCTTTTGGTCCAAAACTTATGGACAAATTGATAAAAATTGATCCTTTAATTACAAATTGTATTTAATAATCCACAATCTCTTGTCATAGGTCATCCAGTAGTGCTTGAAAAAACATTTCAAGAAGAAACGCCACCATTATCACACTGGTGGAACTTTATGGATCATGGACCACAGGCAATGACTGAAAATGCAAGTAGCAATTACCATGTCCATTTCTTTTCAGCCATATCAGTAAATGAGTGAAAGATTGGTCTCTATGGACAGTTAAATCAGGCCCAGCAGAAGTTATCCGTGCACCTGTCACTGGGAGCCTGTCCCCTTATCAAAAATATGTATACAATAAACATGATGATGTTGGTCTGTTTCAGGATAATATCTGAAGCCAGATTTTGAATGACAACAAAAAAAAACACACATATTTATTTTTATAAAGATATATTTCTTCCTTAAATTATTGGTTCATCATTACTACTTAAAAAAAAACAGAAAAAAAGTTAAAGAGTAATGCATTTTGCAAATTCACATGCTTTTTATGCAGTATTCAAAATGTGTTGAGAAACATGGTCTTCCAGCATATCTTTAAAAAACAGCGTCGGTCTGTAGAAACTTCATTCAAATCAGTCTCAATTCATTGCTAATAGGTACCACCAATACTTTTGCTTGCAGAAGTTATATTTATGCTAAGGTTATCACAGATTGATAGAAATGGTGAGATTGTTCTGTTAAAAGTGACTGGAAACTTTAAAGAGTTTCCAGACTGACTTGTCCCTTGTTTATCTTGCAAAAAGTCCTGAGGACTATTACATACAAAGTCTGACTCAAAGTCAGGGGGTGTGATTATTGTAGAACAAAATAACTAGGTGGACTTATTACCAGACAAGGGCTTTTTTCAGGAAAAATTCGGTAACTGGTTGTTGTAAATTTGAATACAGCAGAATAGACTTGACAAGTAAGTGAAGGATGTATACGTATACTGTGGCCTTCCAGATCGACCTATAGGCCGACACATCTATGTGACAGTAGGTAAACAATAGAGGAATATGATTAGGTTATCATAGTTAAAGCATTAGTACCCATATATTGAGAAACGGACAATGAGCATGACATATACAATGCTTGATGACATATATACCCAGGTATTTTTCTGTTACACAAAGTCGGTCCAGGTTCCTCACAGATGAATCCTAACGGATTTACTGACACTGTGTTATCTGATTTAAAGAAACAGGTTTCATAGTACAATATAATTTTTCAAATCAGATGACTACAGTGTGGGATAATAATTAATAAAGACATCAAGATTACTTTACGCTTGGGGGAAGATTGATTCCTTATGGACTAATTTAACACTAGATGAAAAGGAAAAGTTTTATAACCCGTTTCCCTATATAAAGAGTATACCTCAAGCTCTTATAATGTTTTCTATGATGTCAGAACTAATAACGTTAGACACAACATCAAGTCAATAAATAAAAAAAAAAAAAAATCTGTCCTCTCTAAAATGTTACATGTTACAAGTAATTCCTAAATTAAAGTCTCATATGCATTGTTGCCGACCTGAAGTCATCTAATACCTGGTCATTGGTCTTTTAAATCAAAACAAACACAGTTTTTATGAGGGTTATAAAGACCTTATAATCAATTCAAGTATATACTTATCACATTTACATATATTTAGATAAGGATGTTTGAACATTATTTTGATAGTATAAGATTAAAAATTTAATTTTCAATTTTTTAACAAGTTGAAGGAAAGATGATAGTTACTACAATGAAGCTTTGGCTGGCATCACTGAGTACATCTCATGCTGATTACTATCATATATCAATCCTCATACAAACTTTAATGTCTTTCATAAATTTCTCCCTCTTTCACACAATATTTCACTTTTGAAAATCAATATATGAAGATTTCAGTGACTGTCGTGTTGGCTTTTCTTCATCCTTGTTTCATCAAATTTTGTCACATTATTGAATGTAAATGTTATACTGCACATATTTGTGGTTGCAATCATTTTAAATTGTTTCACAAGTCAAACTTTTCGTGCTTTTCACTTGTATATCCAGAAAATTAAAATTAAAATTTAGAAATTTGTTAATAAGAGGATATTTAATTTTCCTGAGTATTGCTCTCCATGTCAAGTTTTAAATACACGATTGTTGACTCTAGATAAAACATCTGTGAAATTCATACTAATGACATAATTTAAGCATTGAAATGCAACGATTCCGTACTATGTAACAAATAATCCATATGTACTGTTCAAAAACAATTGTACTTGTCAAAATAACCTTGGACAATTAGAGAAGCTTGGCCAAGTTGGCTTGTTACATGGCCAACAGTCTCCAGTTGTAGTTTAATTCTATCATGGATAATATTCACATGTCTTATTATTTCACAGATCAAACTTATCTAATCCAGTTAATGCCTTACGAAATAGTGAAAATATCATCCCTTAAAAAAAAAGTATACTTCCAGGATGGTACACATTTCTTTTAAAAACACTTCTTTAACATGCAGATGTAAATCTAATAGATTTACAATCTTAATATCACATTTAGAAAATATATCTGTAACAGTTTATGACGCAACAGACTTTTTATGGCGTCCACTTTTCCGTATAGCCGGCTTTTTATTCCCTCTAGACGAAGGTTTTTCTTTTGTTAGATTGATGATGCTGTCTTCAGGAGGGTTTTCCTGGTTTCCTTCCTCAACATGCGACAACCTACTTTTCTGTGAAACCACTGGAGCCTGGTAGAACATAAAATATATTCACATATTAGGAATTCAATCTACAAGATTGACAATACAAAATAAATTGTAAAACTTTAAATAGAAAAAAAATGTTGAAATTTGATGTTGTGATTGATAGCCAGCAATCACAGGAAACCCCCCTGGCACTCCCCGCTCCTCTCAACCAATCAGAATCAGAAGCCGCTTAAAGAACTTTATTTACAAGTACATGGAAACTAAAGCAACATTAAAATACTATAGTTAGTACCAACTCCATCAAACAAGAGACCGGCTTAACTGATATGTCATATCATCAAATAAGAACAGAAACTATTGCATAGAGGAGATAGAGGAGATAGAGGAGGAGGAGGAGGAGGAGATCATTAAGATATGATAAGTGTCTTTTGGTTTAAGTCCTTACCGGTGAGTGTACATTCCACTTTCTTGGTTTTGGGAGTCTGAAAAAAAACAAGATACAGTTTGAATCAAAAGATGATTATCCTATTGTTTCTGTTGGCACTTTACTTAACTTGTGTAAATTGCTGCATAAAAACACAGTAAAACTCTCATATAAAAAGTGATTTATGATATCTAGATTGATTCAGGTAGATTAAATATTTGTGTTGTGCAAAACTGATCCAACACAGTTATAGGTATTCAAATAACTTACGGCTTGTCCGGTGAAAACATAAAAATGATGTCCTCGGGTATTTTTTCTTTGTTACGACCTTTGGTAGGAGTTAGAGGAGTGACTAAAATAAAAAAAAATTGAAAAAATATTTATAAACTTTTCACATGAAAAACCAAATTCAAAGATATAACTGTATGGAAACTATGGAAATAGAACAATAACCATCCATATAATTGTCAAATCAAACTGCAATTATGACATTCTAATAAATCTTACTAGGGATGTAGGACAGGAGGTGTAAACTTGCATTGTCATCACTGTATACGTCTATGGATAAAGATGAAGGGATAAGAGTGTGAAGACTTTACTTGTCCCATCAATGTATACTTGTATAGGTAAATATGTTGGAATGGAGTATTGAAGACTTACATGTCTCAGTATTGTATACGTGTATCAGTTAAGGTGAAGGGATGGAGGTGTGAAGACTTACCTGTATCATCATCACTGTATACTCGTATCGGTAAGGAGGTTGGTATAGGAGATGGGGGTACCATCGTCATGTTTTGGTCCATATTATGGAAAGTAATGTTGTTCAGCACACCTGTAAACATCCAGATAAAAAATCTTACTCTGAAGAGGCAGAACTAACTTCTTTTTTTTTTCTTTGTAACAAAGATGCCTAGGATAGGAAAATATCTCTAATAAATAAAAAAGGCACAACTCATATGAAAATGCAGCACTGTAAATTTGACATCAGGAAACATTCTTTAGCTTTGCGTGTGGTCAGAATATGGACAGTCTTCCGGAGTATATTGTATCGGCACCAACTGTTAACTCTTTCAAAAATAGATTAGATGAACACTGGGCAAATCAAGAACTGGTATATAATTATAAATCAGAAATTCTGTAGTTCCTGCATCTGACGTCTCAAATGACAATAATTATAAACATTATTATTGTATCACTGAGACCGGTATAGAGGATCGTAACGATCCTGCACTGGTAATAAACTAAACTAAACTAAAATATTTGAAACTGAAAATATATATCAAGGAAAAGGGGCATAACTGTTGTATATATGCAATGCAACATTAAAAAAACCAAACAAAAAAAAGTGAAATACATAGATGAATCATAAATATACCTTCGATGAAGCATTTCAAATTATTCATTAAAAGTTTTAACAACAAACAAATACACTTCAGTTCCAGGGTATTACTTGTAGCAACCAGGAAGAGGAGAGGCATAAACTATAATATTTGTTTAGGGGAAGTGATAATGGTGTAACCATCAACAGCACTAATAAACAGCAAGTTTGCAGGTCTAAGTGCAATGTTATATAAAAAAAAGAAAATCCACTACATCAGTGAGCAGACTAATCTACTGTGAAACAAAAATTGTGAAAAAAAAAACAAAACAAAAACAAAATAATAAAAAAAGTGACTCCTCCCTCCAATTTAATATTTGACAGAAATTGCAGCAGGAGGTACGCCAACAATTTTAAAAGCGAATAACCAATAGCATAATGATTATGGGATGAAATGGCAAAATTGTTCATGGTATATTACCAAACTAAACAGTCCTGTTTTCCCAAACATATTTGGCAAAAAATAATGTTTGTTGAGTAATGATGTAGAGCATAAACACATAAACAAATAAATTAATAAATATTCTATATTTGGTTCCACAGGTAAATTACTGACAGTACTGTCTCATCATTGTAGGACACGGTACAAATGCCTCAAGTAAATGAGAACTTATTTACACCAATGTAAATTCAAGGGATGCTGAAAAAATGTAACATGAAAGTCCAGCAGATCCTGTAATACAATACTTCAATGTGAAATATCACAGAAATTGAATCGTATGTGTTAGTCATTATTCTGAATATAACAGAAAGGTGTCCATAAAGCTGAAGCACAAATTATAAATTTGCAAAGGGCAATAACTGCACTTAACTTTATTTTTTTTCTACTCTGATTTGAATTTAATCTGTAACCTGTATTTTGAAGCTACCAGCAAGATATACAGCCTTTATCTCCAAATAATGGAAAAAACTGGAAAACAGCAACTTACACAATAATCAAAGTGCAAAAGGCAATAAAATAAAATTTGGATTTTTTTACCAAGATCGAAATTTGATCGGTAACCCCATAGTTTGAAGCTACAAATCAGATTTAGTCATTTTCTCCAAACAAAAAAGAATATATAAAAAAAATTTAAAATAGCAAGGGCACAAAGTAAGAGGAGAAATGGACAAAAACAGAGAGAAAGAATAGTTAGCTTTAAAACTTAATGCCTCCATATAAAAGCTTGTGATATATTATAAAAACTTTTTGAAGATCTCTGCACAACAATCTGTAGGTTATAAAGTGTTTAAAGCTTTACATATGTATAACATGAATGTCTTACCTTTAGGAGAATTGTCTGAATTTGATAAATGTTAGACAAAAATGAAGATGGTTATCCATCAGAAAAAGCATTTAAATTTACAAAATTGTACAATTTAATTATGATGATAAATCATGCTAAATAGCATGGTGTATTTGGATCAAAGTAAACATGTATTTACTAATATTGTGAAATAAAGATATGAGCTTACTGGTCAACCACTGAAGAGGTTAAGTCATTTTATCACAATACTGTTAAAAATAGCCTTTTCTTGACCTTAAAAGAAGATAAAATTTACAGGTAACTTGTAACCTAATGTCTATATACCTGAAGGGGAAATCTTTAATTTTTGTGGGATTTTATTTTTGTTCGTTTCATGGGTACTCTACACATCCACATATTCATACGGCAATGAATTTCAAAAATAAGTAGATTTACCGATCTATATCTATCCATGATATCACGAAGAAGTACTTTTTTTGAAAACCATGAAAAATAAGTCCCACATAAATATACAATTTTACTGAATATAACTTTAAATTTGTACCCACCAGATGGCGTACTAATAGCTCTGTTTGTGCGATTAGGGTAGCGTGGCGTCAGCCTTGTGTTTCTCTCTCCCATCACCTGTTAAACAAAAAATGTTCAATATTTCTATTACCAATGTCAATTTTAGATAATCTGAGATATGAAATAGCCAATATGTTTTCTTGCAGATTTTTCTTACTTACATAAGGTAGGGTTATTCCAGCAAAACATCCAGACTAATAATTTTCCCCTGGCTATTGCATTCAAGCAAGTTATCAAACAACTAAACTCTGGATATTTACTGTTTAAAGGGGTGTGCACATACGCACAGGACACTCAGTTTCTGACCTCTGGGCTCTCGTCTTCATCCTCTTCCGGTGGATGACATATGATTTGAACTCGTCGAATTCTGCTGTCAGACTGGCCAGCTTCCTGGTCTTTAGTGTTGTTGCCAGTTGGGGACTTTGTGTTGAGGGTTAAGGATTTTCTGCCATGGTCTGGAGACGCAGATAGACTCTTCCTATGTTGGTTCATAACCTGAGCCATTTTCCTAGCAGAATTCATGATAGCAATGGTTGATAGAGAGGTTTCTTTTCTAGGAAAAAAACAAAAGTGCCGTGATTTGAAGTTGTGCGGTAGAACTCATAGCGAAGTTTATAATGTATTGATTTTGCAATAAGCCCAGTAAGCCATCACAGAACTCCTGGCTAAAAGTCAAGGGGTGGGCTTATTACAGGACACTGACTTGCATCTGTTGGTACTCAACTAAAAATGCTATTGAAGTGTAAGCACTATTCCAATAAAACATCTATCTAAACCCAGTACATTGTACCTAACAATGAATAACTTCCATCCATGATTTGGTTTCTTGCTTATCATTTTAAAGCAAATTGGCAATCAAATTTTATGGGTGGTACTCCTATATGAGTCCTGTCCTGGAGTACGGTAGATGTTTTACTGGAATAGCAATATGAGGACTTCTGACCTATATTATATGTATTGTAAGAGGAATACTGTACCGAGACTGTCTCAGAGAAAAAATATGTGTATTTTTTGAATAGGCAAACAGAAAATTACCAAATGCAGTGTATGCTAACCTGTTTGTAGTAGGCCTCTGGACAGGTCCTGGAGGTGTTGTAGTGGGTGACAACCTTGGTGTAGTCTGCTTAGGAGGGGGTCCTACCCTGGGGGTGGAAGGATTAGCTGTGCCTGGGGTCTTGGGGTGAGGAGAAGCAGCCACTTGCTGAGGTGTGACTGGGGTAGAGCCTTGTGCAGTCCTGGCAGGAGTGGCTCCTTTAGACGGCGAACCAAGTCGTGCAACTGGAGTACCCTGTGACCATTCATAAAAGTTTGTATTGCCAAATAAATCTAAATTAAAGAGATATTCCTCACTGTACAAACTTTAATGATTACTTAAACAATTTGCCTCTAAAAAAGTCAGAAACTAGAAAATGTCTGCAAAACATAATTACACCTACTCTCATGTATACAAGTATAAATGATTAATTAAGTTGTTATATGGTTTATTGAAGGAGTGTATCAAATTATAAATACGGAAAAGTTCTCCAAATCATCAGAATCCTATGTTTTCCAACCTTAGAAATAATAAAGGGAATAAACTCAAATTTCTATTTTTTCCCGATTTGAGATGTTCATCTAGATATTATATTTGTTAATATAGTACTAATACTTAGCTGAAATAAAACAAAAAACAAACAAAATGAAATTCCAGCCCGAGTCCCTCTAGACCATTTCTCTGAATGAGCTAAAACTGCTTTATACGAGATACTTTTTTATGGTGAGTGTAATTCTTTTTGTACATAAAGAAACTGTCACTATCTCTGCTCCTCATATGTTTCTAACTATGTGATCCTGACCTGTAACATGTAGATATTAAATCAATACCTGTACACTAGGAGCAGCATTTAGTTTCTTCTGTGCCTGATCCTCCTGATGTTCCTCAAATTTCCGAAGATCAAACTCAATTTCACTGGCCAACTGCTTGTCAGCTGACAAAATTTCTGTAAATATACATTTGTCATGAAAATATATTTCACCAATGCCATAAACACTCATTTATGAACAAAAAACACAAGAGTAAATATAAGTTTCAGCTACACAGTTATTGAACATCAACATAACTGGGCTATGAGGCTATAACAGCTGTGGTAATTGACAAGACTTCAGTTAGACCTAGTTGCCCTAAGTAAGCTTAGCAGGAGAAAATGTTGTCTGAGTCCATGTAACTGAAGGGAACAAATTTGATTAAAGAATTCTTGGGGGACTTACAAATTACATAATGAAGATTTGGGGGTATTTCAATTGTGGTACAGCTTCCATTTGGGCATCATACTTCATTATGTAATGTTATTTAACTTCTCTGACATCTCGGAGTCTAGCATATATATTAAGTAATCATGTTAGATTTTTACTGGTGTTTATCGAATGAATAGCCCCAGACATGCCGAATTTTTTACATATTTTTTATTGCTTTGTTTTATGTTCCTTGTGCCTTTCTTTGTACATATGTTTCTTACTCTGGTGATAAACAGGTAAACTGTTCCTCTTGCGAAGTAGTTATATACAAATTCATTATTAGGGGAACATTGAATGCTTGAGGGAATTAAAAAGAACAGAAAATTATCACAGCAATATAAATGTTCAATTTTTTACAGGAATGTGGATATAGAGGACAAAACAACAGATGATATAGTCAAAACAAGAGTTCCTCGGAACTGTATGTGTCGCTTGCATAAAGTGTCACGGTCACCCAGAAATTGAACTGGATGTGCAACGTTCAACCATAAAGTTGTAATACCAAATTTCATTTCTATAACTTGAAGCATAACCAAAGAAAGTCAAAAAAACAATATTCCCAGAGAATTTTCTGAGTTCAAAGGGGCATAACTCTGCCAAAAAAGGGTCACAGACAGCCAGGAATTAAACTTAATCTGTACCCTTGCAACAAGAAGCCATATACCAAATTTCATTTTGATAACTCAAAGCCTAAGCCAAAAAAGTCCAGAAAAGTATATTGTAACACAATGGCCTTATTACGTAATGATTACATGATCATTACATGATCCCGTTTCATTACTATTTCAAGATATGAATTTTATATTATATATATTAGTGCGACATAATCATGTTTTCCTGTGGTAGCATGTTTTCCTGTAGTAGCGTAAACAATGTTAATACTGTGTGTATCGTACATTAAGGGTAATGGGTTAACTGGACGATAATGGACCATGGAGATGACACAGGCTGATAAAATAAATGGGTAGGAAGAATGAACGTACGTGGCCGTTGGTCAAGAGCCAAATAGAGTACCATTTCAAGATGGTCAAAGTATCAATTAATACAAATCCATTAAGTTCAATTTACACAATTTGATTGTATGGATACAGGTCAGCCGACCTGGGGTAGAACAGGTATGCTAAGATGGTCAAAATATCAATTAATACAAATCCATTAAGTTCAATTTACACAATTTGATTGTATGGATACAGGTCAGCCGACCTGGGGCAAAACAGGTGTGTTGACTCCCGCTGGGATGTTGTGGGCAGGGGAGTTGACCAATCGCTGACATTCATATGTCACAGGTATTATAAAAGCAGCCCTGGAGACTTGCGGGGGCAGTCAGCTCGGAGAACCTTTACTGACGCCAACCTGCGGTCTCCGGCTACTCACATTCGGCCATATGAAACCTAAAATGTTATAGGAACTTTCGAACTTTTCGCCAAGAAGATTACTTAGTTATACACCAGTGTGACGGGTCGTCGGTCCACTGTTTTACTCTAGTTGTAACGTATCCTGTTGTTATTCTCGTGGAGCCATACCTGGTGAATTATGTTAAATAAAACTGCGAACCTTTGGAACCTGGGTTGTTGAACTTTTGTCATTTCAATACGCATATGAACACCTGAAGTGTTATAATATTCCCAGGAAATTTTCTAAGTTGAAAGGGGCATAACTCTGCCAAACGATGCGGACGATGACGCGTGACAACGGACAAAGTGATCCCTAAGTGTCCGCCAGCTCTGCAGGAGACACAACAATCAAATTGACTAATAACAATTAATGATAATGTGCCAAACCGAGCTTCATTAAAAACACAACTTTCAAACAAACCTTCATAAACAAAAAATTTGAAACATTCCAAGTATGCCATACTGACCTTTCACTTCATTTTTGTAGTCCTTCATGAGTTCCATCAGGTAGGAAAGTAGATCCTTCTGAAGCGGTGATCTTTGCTGCTCCAGCTGAAAAACAGGGGAGATTGTAAATGATTAATAAAAAACAAGGGAGGTAACAAACTATCTGTATTGCTTGTCAAAGTTCAATATTTTCACAATAGCCAGTCATATCAGAGGGAATGTCATGAGGGACACCAATCATGGAAAATAAAGCACAGAGAGAAATGAGGAATGAAGGAAAATATCAAGATTCAGAGTGCTGCTATGTGGCAGCAGATCTATTTTGGTCTCTTCAGCATACCCTTAATAAAAGACATGGAAGAAAACACTTGATTCTGCAGGGTGTCCAAATTTACAGCAGGTCCTATTCTTGGACTCTCTGATGTCCCCTATACAGAGAAGACTTCGGAGAAACCACATTTTGATCTACAAGGAGAGCCCCCCATTATGTCACCTCTTATAATATGCTGTGAGAGTCAACAGGTATATTCTTCCCATGTCACCTGCAGGGGTCCAAATGGTAACTTTTGTGGGAAATTTATTTTTATTGATTTTGTGGATCCATTAATTCTTCAAGTTAGTATAAGCAGATTTAATGAAATATGTCTGCCCATGAAATCAAGTTTTCATATAAAAAGTATTTTTAATGAAAAACCACAAAAAAATGAGTCTCATGAAAATTGATGATTTTACAATATAAGAAACAGGAAGGAAGCAAATGTTGTGTTTACAATGAATTACCATATCACGAACTGTGTCACTTACCATGTGTTTGAGGGATACAACTACAGGAACAATATTCTCAATAACATTCTTCTTCAACACCTACAAAGAAAACATATTTACAAAGATAATTAACTGATTTTTTAAAGTACGTTATTTTAATTCCTTACACAATAAGACCCCTCTCACTCTTCTACCTCAGCCAACACAAGTGATTAATATAAGCTGATAGCTTGTTTCACAATTGTTTAATAATTAATTAAGTTTATATTTATGTATTAAGCTCTTGTGAAAAGAAAAAGAGGTGTTAAATGGTTTTAAAATAAAGTAAAATGACAAAGTCTGAAAAATTTGATATGTCATCGTCCCAGTTCCAACTCACTCAAATGTTAAAGTCTATTACAAAGTTTACTACAGCTGTTGTACTCTCTGAGAAATTTAACATAGATGCCAGCAACTATGGCAAATTATCACCTTCATCTCCGCTTTGCTAACTCTGTCATAAGTTGAAGCATTACTTTTTCTTCTTATTTACCTGGGTTATTAAGGTCTTCTTAGCAGTCGCCATAACAACAGCAGCCATTTCTTGTTCATCAGCAACAACATCTTCAGAATTCTTAACCTTCAGCGAGGATAGTTTGATTTCCTGAAACAAAAACACAAATAGGACAACTCAAATGTTCTTGTGATAAGAATATTCTTGCTCCAATGCAAATTTCCTTAAAATTGGCATCAGGTATTGTTGAGAAGTCGAAATGTTTACGGGTTATGGTATAGATGGACCTAGGATATTGCACATCCAATATACGAAGATCGCTTTCCAATAAGCAGTAGAAATGGTTGAACCCTGAAAGAACTAGAAACATTCTGAGGATGACTAACTAATATCCACAACCCCCAATAAGCAGTGGAAGTGGTGCTACCTTGACTATTTCACCCAAGGTTATGTGAAAATGACCATAGTTCATCATCATTATAATGATGGGACACTTTTGTGTAACCTGCTTCAAACAGTTCAGGGGTTACAGAATTATTCATTGGGAAACGACCACACCTGTGCCGTATGTTTGAAATGTTACATGTAAAGCTGAAAATGCAGTTTGTGAATTTTCTGTCAAATACAAGTCAATGGACCAATAATTCTTTTAAAAAATCCATTTTAACCCATAATGAGAGTCATAACATCCCAAGAAATATGTGTGTGCAATGACCCTGTTTTATGCAGAAATTCTGAAACAAAATTAAGCCAAATATTCCAAAGTCTAGCCTGGGTGTCAATCTATATCTAGCGTTTCTCTTACAAGTTCAAACATTTACAACTGAAATTTAAACTCTGATGAATGAATTAAATAATGAGAACTATAGCATAGCAAGCATGATTGGAATCAAAATAATTATTATAAAGTCAAACACCTAGCCATACAGACTATCCCAGAAGTTATAATAACACTGCATTCTCATGAATAAAAGAGACTAAAGCTGAAACCTCGTGACAGTAAACCAACTGACCAAATGTTAATGTTCCTTACCTTACTGGCCAGGATCGCCAGTGAATCTTGAAGCAAACAGGCACTCTCTTCATTCAACGGAATTATCCCGTCCACTACTCCTCCTAGTATCTACAAACAAAACAATTCATCAAAAGTATCCTTTAAAGATCATATACAAATTCCATATACTATATATAGATACCACAACAGAACAAATTGCATTGCTCTGATAACTGCATGATATGCAACACTTTATACATTCAGGTACATTGAAATTTCACCTTATTGACCTCCAAAGTAGAGGTATATTGTCAGGTTAATTTGCTTGTTTGTTTATCAGTGTTTATGGCCCCATGAACAATGAGGATCATTCTGAGGTGAGATGGCTACCTCAGAGAACATCATACCAGAGACCCGTCAAGGCCGTCACATGCTATCTGGAACGACTTAGATAGTCATGCACAAAGACAACCATAACAGCACAAGACATTTCAGTATTCCATCTTTCTGAGAAACACAAACTGTCCAATAAGGGATGGAACCATACATGATGCTGTGCAGTCTGATGACCATGCTCTCTACCGAGTAAGATATTCCAGTCTGTCATGTAATACTATCACAGCTCTGATGCCTAGATATATCACCTGCAACATAACTGCTATAGGCAAACATTTGCTAGTCATGACATTGTGTTGAGTAGAAACCCTCAATTATATTATCAATATCTAACCTCTTGTACAATCTTTGCCGTCAGCTGGAACCTGTGAGGGTCAGTCATGTGCTCTAACATAAAGAGGTACAGCTTCTGTCGTTTCCTGTAAGACAGTTTTATTTGATGGTTATTTAAAGTATTTGATGGTAACTAGTGATAACAAAAGATATCAGATGGTAACTAAAGGTAACAGATAGTAACTAAAGGTAACTGGAGGTAATTTAAGGTAATTGCTGGTACCACTAGTGGTAAATAACAGTAACAATTGGTAACTAAGAGTAACAAATTGTAATTAGTGGTAATTAATTATAATTGATTGTAATTAGTGGTATTTGATGGTAATCAAAGGTAACTAGAGTTAACTAATTATAATTGATGTTAATTAGTGGTATTTGATGATAATCATTGGTAACTAAAAACAACTTACTGTAATTAATGGCATCTACAAGTAACTGATTATAAATGGTGGTAAGTGATGGTTAGTAGTGGTTACTAAAGATAACTAATGGAAACTAATAGAAACACATTTTAAAACATAATAAAAGCATTATTTCACTGTTTTACTGACTCCCTAGTATGCATGCAATCCAAACCATAAGAATATAATTACATACCTGAAGTTGTCCTTGCCAGAAAGTGAAAACTTTACTTTGTCTCTCTCACTTTGATGAAATTTGTTGTAAGCTATGAAACATCAATACACAGAATCTCTTAATTTGAATTTATTCTCAAACAGATATACAATAAAATTATAATTTTAAAAAGTTACAACATGAGTCTAAAAAAATCTACAAGTAGTTGTCTTTTACTTTTTTTTTCATAAATTCTGGACAGTTCTACATGATTGTAAAATTTCTGTTAATATCTAGAGTTATCATTACCATTATCAACCTAATGACCAAATTTTAAACTCCTTCATAAATTGCACAGTATAACAGGTTATTCACACATGGATAAAGCCCATTTTGTGACTGATCGAATTCTGATGATATGAAAAAGGAATTCCTGTTCATTAAAGTGTAAAATTTAAGGGTGTATATGCTTATTAAAAACACTACAGAACATTTCAATGGCCATTAAAGAAATCTAAAAACTGTGGCAGAGAACTTGAAAATAAATGAAAGTACAGTATTGTTTCTACAATTTTAGATTTAATTCCTATTTTGTATATAGTTTTTGGAAACACAGGCTTCAGACCTATTTTATGCTCATCTCATCAAGTAGCACTATAAATGAATTTTCATATACTTGAACACTGGGATATTTTGAAATAATTTTGATGAGAGTCTTCCTCAGGAAAGCAAGAAACATTTTATTCCTTGGAGGAAAATTAGAGCTGTTTAACTTCAACTATTCATGGGTCACTTATTTTTGGATTCAATTGAGATTTTACAAATTTCTTTATGAGCAGCTGTTTTGGCTTTTAATTTGCCAATGCACTTGTCTAATTGGTGTCATACAATGAGTCATAGTAGGCTTTGGTCCACATGAAGTCATCCTTTTTGTGTGACGTGGTTTGTAAAGATGTGAAAGGTTTTAGGACTTAACACGTCAACAACCAATTTTTTTTTTATTTTTTTTTTTTCAATTGTGATTTTTTTAAAGAGGAATGCTAGATTAAAAAAAAAATCTGGTCAACAACGAAAACTATATTCAACATTTGCATGAAGCAATTAGTGTTGCCTTTCAGAAATAATTAGGTGAACAGCAATATTTTGAGTGAATATTCCTTTTCTGTATATATATTTTTTTAAAAGATGAACGTTACATTTAAAGAATTATTAAGACATGTTCAAGTTAAGTCTTCATTTCTTTAAAAGGATGTTATTTACTATACAATCCAACCACAAACCTCCATGGCCCTGGTAGGCATTGAAGTGAAAAATGCATTCCATGAAATGGTGGAAGAACATGGATGGGTACCTCTGGAACAGCATATGGATAAGGCAGAACTCAGCTGTAATACAAAACATAAAAATACCAAAATAAGTTCATGGGGTCAACACATGCTTGATTAATAAATCACTAATCACATACATGAAACTCCTCTCATATTCAGAAAATGAAACTTTCATTCTTAAAAATTAAATTCTATTGTTTTAAATGAAAATAATTCAAATCCTGACCTGCGACAATAACTGACTATACTGTACATAGCCGCCAGAAGAATAAGGATATAAACTAAACTATGAACATTGATCATTTCACTATAACCTGTACCATACAAAACATTCAGTAATGAAATAAGAAATTTTCTGAGTCACTAAAAATCATGACTCTTCATGGGGTTTATGTCAATAAATTTTTTGACAATTATGAAGCAGTCCTATTTATCCATGAAAAAAAATAAAGTACCTACAAAAATGTAATTTTGGAAGAAAAAAAAAAATTTCTCAAAATTAGAGCCCCCCCCCAAAAAATTTATAATTTTACAGTAAGGATTTTTGATAAGAAACCTCATGGATGAAACTTGCTTGTGGAAGTGAAATGTACACTATAAAATCATTCATTTTCTTGAGAGGAGTTATTTTCATTTAACTTGTGGGTACTCCAAATTCAGGTATTTATAGGACTATGAAATGATAAAAGGAAAAAAAGTTGAAATGGATTAGAGTACAAGCAGATCAGGATTTATCCTCGAAATCAAGTGCCACCGATAATGTGTCTTTTTTGGAAAACAGTGACATCTGAGTCCCACCAAAATATATGATTATATAGTGTTATCGTGATGAAATGATAAAAGGAAAAAAATTCATTTGAACAAACTTGGCATCTTACAGCCCAATATCAGCACTCATGGACTTTTGCAGAATTTGTATATTTTAACATATTTGACCCCTGTGACCTTGAAAGTTCTTTTTTTTAGGTCATTCATTTAAATAAACTTGGTAGCCTTTCCTCCCAGCATGCTACAGACCCAATATCGGCACTCATAGACTTTTGCTTATTGAGATGAAGTCCTTTGTATATTTTAACATATTTGACCCCTGTGACCTTGAAAGTGGGTCAAGGTCATTCATTTGAACAAACTTGGTAGTCCTTCATCCCAGCATGTCACAGGCCCAATATCAGCACTCTGAGCCTTTTGGTTAATGAGAAGAAGTTGTTTAAAGATTTTAACATATTTGACCCCTGTGACCTTTAAAGTGGGTCAAGGTCATTCATTTGAACAAACTTGGTAGAGCTCCATGCCAGTATCCTCTTGTGCCAAGTATTTGAGAAGAAGTCGTTTGAATGAAAATTTGAAGCATGATGACTATGTCATTTTCAGATGACCTAAAAAACTCTTCTCATGCCGACAAAAGGATTTGAAGCAGAATTGTTTTCTACAATGGAATGGACTAGTTCTGTTCTTACCAAACTCTGTGATTTTATCACACTCGTCCAGCAAAGTGGTGATAAAGCGAAAAAATAAAATCCCCTTCCATTTCATGAAGTCTTCCTGGAAACAAATTCAATTGAAGTTATTCAATACTCTACCAATGTTCCACAATCATGATATAAACTCAACTTCGACAAGAATTATTTCAGATATTTTTTTTTTCTTTTCAAGATGCATTAATGATGACCAAGAAAAAATCTGCACTCCAACATTAAAATGTTCTGAAAACTTAATTTTTGTAACTCCAGGCAATTCCAGTAAAAAATCAATCCAACCCCAGGACTGCAGATTTTATTTGGGGGGACAATCCATGGATTCTGTTGATGATTTCCCTATATGTAATAGGTAGAAAACCAAACCTTGGACAGAAGTGATTTATTTTGAAGTCCTGGGATTAAGTACAAAGTGTACATGATTTACTAAAATAGTCCTCACAGATAAATTTTGACATTTTCTTTTTTCTCTTTTACAGAAGTTTTCTTTTATACAAATAGGTAATCAGTGAATGCATAATTGAATGTGGACATTAAATAATTTCACATTAACAAGATAAATTGTATATACAAAAACAAGACATATGCATTCTATTACATCGCGTACAAGTCCCAATTGTTGTCCAAGATGATAGAATACATGAAAGAAAATTTCTCTGCCTACGAGTTATTCTAAAACCACTAATTTTCATAGAGATTTATTTCCAATGACTTTGTGTTTACTTATTATCCATGAATTCATACGTCCATGAACTGTTGAAATCGATGTCAGCAGACATCTGGAGCTATTTTATCCACAAAGTCATTGTCAATTTTCAAACATCAAGAAAATTGAGCTCTAAATGTATATCTGATTTCACAGTAGTCTGTGTTCAAAGTTTGTAAACTAACCAGATGAGAAAGTTAATGGAAGGTAGCGAAATTGGTCAATATTTCAGATATATTGTCAGTGCTAGATGTTACACAGGAAATTAATTTCATTTTTATTTCATCTATTTTAACAGGTTTTTACATACACTATTACGACCTTTCAGTCTTTTAGCGGACGAGAAAAAATAGGAAAAAGAGTAGGAGGTGAAAAGTAAGATTGATAGGAGAGAGAGGGATATAGAGATGAGGTAGAGAGAGGCCATCTATGCTACTTGACCTGATCTAAAACTATAATTTAGAAGGCGAGCCCCGTTCTTAATTGTACACCTAGCCTAATATTCAGCACGACCCAGCAAGAAGAACGTTGACAGGACTGAGAGAGAGAAGAAGGGGTTTCTACACCAGGTAAATTCCGATATGTTGATTGTATTTTTGAGGTCCAGTCAAAATTACTTAATAAATATTCCCTAATGTTAATCTAACTCTAGATCTAAGGAAATTAAGTTTAACCAGACCATTTATACATACCTGAAGGAGGCGAGTAATGAGGGTCAGAGTTTGTTTTCTAACCAATGGCGAATCGTCTTTTAGACATGAAGCAATATTTGATATATAACGATCAGCAGTTGTTGTGTATCTGCAGGAAATAAAAGTAATTTTAACAATATATCAGTAAACACTAGTACACTCAATCAGAAACCATCAGTAAATTTGATAGTACTTTGGGTCAAACACCAGGATCTTACAGCTATGGGATTTTACAGCATTACAAGATGTGTACACAATTTCTTCAACAGAGGTACATCGTGTGAAACTTGCTTTCCAGCTTCTGTACATAAAATGTGCAGTTTTATCACACAGATGTACAATTCTATCTTGGTTCATATAAATTTAGACATGACATAGGAATATGTGTGGGATAAGGTTAATTTAATTTTCCAATATATAAGAGTGCTGCTACTCTAAAATATAATTCCTTATTAAGCCATAAGTTTATGGTTCAGGCAAATGTAGATCTAACAGATACACACTCATAATTTAAAGTGTTTCATTTACAAAATGCCACACGTAACCAGTCTTAGTTCACAGACACTCATATATACATTATGGAAACAATAAATTGACATCTCTTTTTTTTGTCTCAACAATGAATCATCTAGAATCTTATTACTTCTGTATTACTCTTAATTTTTCTATCATTTTGTAGAGAATCAATATACACTTGAGTAAATTCGGAGTATTGTGTTTGTTACACTGGAGACATAGCCGGTATGGACACGCCAAATACATACCCGTATAAAAGTAATTTTTGTTGCCTGTGACACCACTTGCCACTCTCTGAGGTGTTTGCATTTTGATAAATGTTAAATTAACAATGGCCTTTATAATTACAGATATACATTTGATATACATATGGTTACTATTTATTCATCACTGCACAAGTTTTCCTTTTCTTATTAATTTCCTTTCAAAAAAAATTAATCGACCATTTTTACCACACCACACAAAATGTTATCCTATTACACAGTTTTGACTTGGATACTTATCGCATATATGGATGATGTATGCACGATGTGCACACAAACATTTCAGTGTATTATATGATCTCACATCTGTGATAACATTTGTCTTCCTAAATACAAAAGCACATGTGAGGAACAGGAAACCTGGTAACATGACATAAATGAAACTTGTAAAATAGCTTTCCTGCTTACCATAACCCAATAAGTAACAAAACCATTTTGATTAAGATATTGTTTTGCACGGCCATACAGCATCATGTGAGATAGTGACTATTTCTATCTACACAAAATCATAGAAGATGATAATGATATTAGATAGGGATGACCATAATATCATACAATATGATATGACCGAAAACAGAGGGTGTGACCTTGCAATCATTCATATCAAATGATGACAGTTATAGATGGCTGTGACTGAGGAATCATTTGTACCTTACACACAGGTCACACATGATGATAACGACATTGTTACGAATGGCTGTATCTGTTGAGGTTTCCAGTTCACGAGCCAAAGCTGCCACACACTTCTTAGCAAGGTTTGGGTTCTGCAGGCAGATCTTCCCTATAACAAGAGAGATGAAGATATTGCAATAACAACAATAATAAGAGGTTTTAAGGACAGGGGCACTGACAAGCTGTAGGCTGATTATAGTCAATCATTTGATTTAGTCAGCAAATTCAGAGAAACTAGTATGTAAATATCTTCAATTAAAGCCAAAATGTATGTTTCCAGATCATTCTTCTGTCAACAGACTGCAACAAGAGTGAGGGTTTACCTGTATAATGGTCACAACTATATTGGGGAAAAAACAAAACACAAAGCATATTGGAGTACATTTCATCGTTAATCTTTTCAATCATCATCAACAGCAGCTTGGCTTTTTTTATTTTCTTTGTCATTAGTTGATCCAGTATTTGACTACAAGGCTACAAGAACATCTGTGTGATCAGGTTCCTTTTTACAGGTGTCATATCATCTTTTTCTTGGTACATAGTAACAAAAGATTTTACTTTTCCCAAGCAAGGACAGAAATGCATCCATGAATCTGAGCTTGGTGCACTGTAAAGTTACTGAACTGACTCAACCACACCATTTCTACAACAGTACATGTAACATACCTAATGTAATGAAGGCGAAGGCACGGATCCTGTTTGACATCTTTGAGCCACGGAACTGGGTGAAGATCTGTGTACCCTGGGTAAAAGCTTGAGTGTTGAGCTCTTGCTGGGATGATGGGGCCTGTGTAAGTTGTGTAGCCAGGAGACCATCAGAGTCAGGATTTGAGCTACCACTGTTTTCTGATTCTTTGCTCTGCCAGAGATCTGAGGGGGAGTTTACAAACATACCTTAACAGAGGTCACTTGCTCAGTGAAAAAACAAAATTTTCTTATAAATACATATCAAATTTATCCAGGATTTTCCCCGTTCTATTCACCCCGGTGGTTGCTACATGGACTTGTTAGTTTTATTGGTGGTCATATAAGGGAAATAAACCTTGGTAATCAGAGATAAGCATCATCTCTGTTATGCTTTAACTCTGAATGTCGCTGTCTGTCAAATTTAACGACTGTGTCTGGAATTGTTGACACATCTTTATCAGAAATACTATCATTTCCTAGAAATTTGTGACATCACTATTACTTATTCTTCTGCCTCATTTCCAACATAAACAAATGAAATAGGACAACCACATCAAAAACAGAGTATTTACTATCAATTTTCAATCAAAATTTTACTGTTTTTTTGGTGTTGTACGATATGAAATGAAATGTTACAGGTCACTTTATGTCAAACTGAGAAGAATTAAATACAATGAATAAGCTGTGAATATGAAATAAAAATTGTGAATTATAGTGACTCAGTTTAAAAGGAGATAACTATTATCCAGCATTATGAGTGATCAATTATCTTATAATGTATAATTTAGTGTTTGATTTACCTGTGTGGGCATTTGTATTCTGTGACGAGGTCGGCATTGACGATAAACATGGTGCTGCAATAAAGCTTTCTATGATGAGCGAGATGCGTTTGGAGACTCGGGCAGGACAGATCTGTACAACCTCTCCCAACGTAAACAAGTGTCGCACAACCAAGTCCTCATCTTCTATGCCGCCTGAAGAATAAAGCACAGGTATGGAATTATGTAAAATGTAATGAACACAGGAGTATTTTTTTGACAACACAACACATACCGATACAATTAAACCCTGTGCTGTGTTGTATAGCTTTTGCTTTGCATTAGTAGTTGCAGAAAAAATGCAAAATCTCGCTAAGTATTTAGCTTTAGAGAATCTCATCCTCGATACTCCATGAGTTACAATCACTTTTGCTCTTTGCAACCTGGAACGTTGTCATGAAAAAATTGAAGGTACAAGCAAAGTAATTTGATTGGTCTAGAACCTGTATCAGGAGAAAAAACCTGACAAATTACTAAAGATTACAAAAAAGCAACACACATATTCAAAGCTAGTACAAAATACTTTTATGCAACCATAAGGTTTGTTTGATGTACATCAAAGGATCAAACTAGCCTTCTGGTCTTATCCACAAGGTGTTGTACACCTAACCTACATTTCTTTTAATGAAATGTTCCAAGGCATGCACAGCATGCAAGTGATCATAACCCCTGGAGTATCTAGGAGGAGAAAATCTGTACACCACATATCTAGAGCTAATAAACTAGACAATGACCAATAGTGGGTACAAAATTAATGGAAAAAGCTTTTCTTCCAACATGAAGTTAGCACTGTGGATATTGGAGCAATGACAATCAGCACAATTAAAAGGAAATATTACCTTTCAGCGAGAGAGACGAGATTTTATTCTAAACATCTAAAATTGTGGAAGTACATTTGAAAATCCCATTCCATATTTGTTTTAGCTTTACATCTTCGAAAAATATCAATACCAATGATTTGAAATCTGGAGAAAATTTCCAAAAATGGATAGTTATTACCTACATAACTTGTAGTTAATTATTTTCTAGAACGACATAAGTTAGTTTGAGTACTCACTAGAGATTTCCAGTATGACAGGAGGAAGGTAGAGTACTCACAAGTGTTTTTTTAATATGACATAAGAAAGGTCAAAACCTCACAAACGTTTTCTAATATGACGCAAGAAAGGTAGAGAACTAATAAGGGTTTTCTACTAGGACATGAGAAAGGTAGATAACTCATGATTTTTCAGCTATGATAAAAGAAAGCAAGAGAACTCAGATTTTGAGTGACATGAGAAAAGAAGAGAACTCACAGCTGTCTTCTAGTATGACATGAGAAAGGTACTTGTCACAGACGTTCAGCAGTTCTTCACACCATGCATCTTGTCCCTTCTTGTCACTGGCATCCTCTGACTCTGCCTTGCATAGCTGTGGGTTTTAATTTATATACAAGATTAGTCAAGAATAAAGATGTTATAATTATCTGATTTAAGTCTGGCAATTTTACAAAAAAATACAAAGCCAAACTAATGCAATGTAATTGATGTGATAAGCTGCTTTCTTTACTTAATATATCTATTTCAAACATATATATAATTTGAAGTTTTATTCCCTCTTCAAAAATAGCTAAAATTAGAGCCATTTGAGAATAACAACCTTGACAGTATCTATCATAATTATTTTCACAAAATTCATTTTCTGCCATTTTTACAGGACAGTCAGATCACCGAGAACAATTGAGCAATGATATGAATTAAACATTCTGAAATAATCTTCTTTCTCAACGAATTTTCAAAAAATTTTTAAAAGGAAATGATAGACCATTTTTGGCAACTAAAGCAGATTTAAGAAATTACTTTTCACATATCAGAAGAAAAAAATTAATTTTTCTTAATACCCTGAAATTTAAATGATGGCTGTTCAATTATACAAAGTTTACCTTAGACAATGTTTTAATGGTAATGGCTATGAGTTCTGTGGGAGAATCAAACCGCAGCAGACGTGCTTTCAAATCACCTAGAAACAGAAATTAATTTTTCCTGTCAACAATAGTTGATATACAGAAATAGGCAGATGAAACCATCACAATTAACAAAAGGTGACATAGATGCTCTCTCTTCCATGGGAAAAAGTATTCTTGTTTGGCAAAATTCTGAATATAAGTAGTAGCGATCTTGACATTGAAACCTAAAGTAAAGTCATTGTCAGAACTGAACTTTGAAGACTATTTAGAAGCCGTTAGCTAGCCATGTGTTTTATCTATCCTCAATAAAAAAAAGTATATCATAATCATGTATCCACTTTGGTCAAAATCTCTTACAAATGAGGTCACTGGAGTGATATTGACCTTTCGACTCTATAAGAGTGCAACGGTCCGTGGAGATCAGTAATGTGACTTACCTATGAGAGTGGTACGGTCCACAGTTGGGATGTTCTTAGCTGTACAGCTCATAACAGTGAGAACTCTCTGCAGAGTCACATAGTCAGCCTCTGTAACAAATCAGGGATTCTATCAGTTAATGGTATACAATTACTGACCTCAAATCTGTGTGAAAAAAGGGATTTATCAAACCCGAAATATGAACAGCAATTTTGTCACATTAATATAGCACTTACTTGAATTGTGTGAATTGTTTACATCAAGTAAGATTAAACAAACAATTTCATATTTATGTCTAAACAATATTTAACCTAAGCAGGATTTACAAATACAATGAAACCCTCTTATATATCATAAATCTATGATAAAGTAAGAGGCCATTTTACAGTTAACATCAAAATTATTAAACAGAGTGTTGACCATAAACATATTAAACTTCGATCATTGGTGATACTCAAAAACAATTTCTAACTCAAAGTGCTTTTGAAAAAAAAAAATGCAGTTAATAATTAAGAAATATATAAATGAATATAATCAAAATTAACTGTTTTAATCTTTGTAAAATTTTCAGCAATTATTAAAAACCAATAATAAATTTTTGCATTATATTGAGTATTACTTTCAAAATTCAAAAAAATTAGTTTTGAATGCAAAATAAATCTTTCGACTGGTAGACTATACCGACCCTTGTTGGCACATTATAGTTCTTCTAAATAGCTTGATAATTAATAACTATCCTTGGTGATATGGCATGATTTAGTGGCATATAGCTATAATAGCAGGCTTAATTCACTGTGGCCTGTATTTACCCAGAATGGCACCACCTACCGTCTGAAGCTGCTGGTTGTTTCTGCCAGTATTCCAGAACAAACTTATGGCCAAGTTTTGGGGCAGCTGGGGCTATTTCCGAGAGCAGCATCCAAGCATTCTACCATCATAAACACCAAATCAATTTTACATTGACTTATTTCGTGAAATTACATACAGACAATTAAGTAATATTCTTTGAATATAAAAATCAACCCTTTCCAATGACCAAACAAGCCTTTGTATGATTTCATACTAACAACTGATTTTTTTTCATTCTCAAAAATCACTCAAATGAGCTGTTAATTCAACATTAAGAGAAAAACATTAGACCCTATATGTCAATGAAATAATAAAAAAACATTTATTTGATTCTTTTTTTTCTTAAAATCATATATTTTTGATAGTATAGTGAATTTTTCTCCCTTTCTTTTTCTTTTCTGACTATCGTCAGATTTGGAAATACTTTCTGCACCAGACTGATATGACAATAAATCTCTGAGTGTTGGTAAATACCTGATTGTTGTCAGTGTTTATGTGTGTCTCCAAGGCAGAAATCAAGCTTGGTTTTATCTTTCCTTGTCTATTCCACTGTATACACGCCTTCTGGAGGTAACGCCTGAAACAAATGGCAAATATTATCACTCTTTATAAACTTACCTCCAGATTCTAATACTGACAAACAACAAATAGGAAAATGTGTTAGTAGGTCAAAAATAATGAAAATTCTTTTCAATAATTAAATAATTATCATTAATTAATATTTTTTGTATAGAATATAAAGGTGAAAATAAATATCATATTTTACAACCAATCAGATCACAGTATTTGCAGAGAAACTATAATCTTTGATGGAAGGGAGGAAACTCACTTTTTAGAAATTTATTTTTCAAAGCTATTCTGGATTAAATTTACGTAGCGTTTACTTTATACTACACGTAAATTATTTAAAGATGTGAACCATATGATCTAGCAGAGTGATAATTGACCAGCATGCAAACAGACAGTGGCAATTCATTTCATTTTCATTTCAACTCCTGGAGTGGAAATTTTGATAATTCTTTTTTAAATGTCAAAGTTTAAAATCTACTCAATGAAATGTAAATTTCTTCAAGGAATATCATGATTGTATTTATATAAATAGCTACAGGAAATAGTTATTTCATTGTGTGGACTCCTCAAAGATTAAAATGTGACAGAAATGCAAGTCTGTGAAAATGTGAACTCTTAATTTCTACCAAGGGCAAAGGTAGGAAAAAGGAAAGGTGTGGAGTGATATACAAGACTGTAATCTGGCCTGCTTTCTACACCAGTGAACCTGAGAGATCATGAGGCACTCACATTAAAGAAATTTTTCAGGGAAACAGAAAAAAGGATCACTAAATCCAAGACCTCTTTCTGTAGCTGAGCATGCCATAAACCTGTCTGGCCAAAAGTTTACCTCACTGACAATGACAAGGACTGGATGTATCATGGAAAAAGGAGGCTATTCACATTAGGCTCCACCACAACATCCTGACAAGAACGGTAGGACATACAATCTATCCCCATTTACCATAGACTTTTGCGTCCTTTGAATGATGTAGCAGTGCTACCTGATGTGAGCCACTATAGAGAATGCTCTCCGTAAGATCAGCAATAAGTTGAGTCATAACTCATCCCTTAATAAGAAAGATGTGCCCGCATTCTTCGTAAGTCGTCTGGAAGTTTTGAAAACATTTTACTTTTAGAGCTGACAGCATTTTCTTGCTCTGTCCTCAAAATGTTGGAAAGATTCAATAAAACCGCACCATATCTCAAGCCTCACTTTCATTATTACCTCAGCTCAACATTTTCTGACTGCTCCATGATGCTGAGAAGGTCCCAGGCAAGAATATGAGCGGAGCTCCTTGACTTGGAAACAGGAACAATACTGTGTAGTAACATGTCCTCCAGGGTCTCCATGCACTTATCCTGGAGTGTTGACTCGCGGTCGATTGTTAGCGGCATTACGCCCTCTAGCCAAGCCCTGCCAATCATATCAACAATTGAGTTATTGTAATATACATTTTTGCCGGACTTCAATTTAATGGTTTTCATAAAATATTCGAATTCACATATAAACCTTGCACACAAAACAATGACTAAATCCAAATCAACTTTTACCACTTCATTGACATATAAATTTGTTAGTCTAGAGTACCCGCTAATTAAACAAAAATTAATCCACAATTGATTTTACAGTAACTAAATCAATCCTGCAGCACCACCTCAAAATAGTGTACCTTGTTCACATTGTCCATTATACACCATACATAAGTAGCTACATTCAGCTATATTCTACAGTATAATGACATTGTACCATGTAGGCAGTTAATCTGATAGGGATATTTTCACTATATCAAGGTACATTGACATAATATGAGAATTTAATTCATGAAATGAATTACGTGTTTTTTAACATTCTGATAATTTTTTTAAAATTGTTAAAATATCATTCAGTTGATTTGAAAGAAAATTCCAAAAATTACCACCTATATCCTATTTTCCATTGCTAATTATACAGGAAACCCTTCATATTTGTATCTTGTTTGCTACATTTGTCTTGACTGCCAGGACATTGAAAATGAGGGGAAGAATTTGCAATGATACCTGTCCCTTTCCCAAGAGAACTATATCACCCCCATTCACATCACCATCACCTGCTATCCCCATCTGCAGCTTAAATTGTTGCTATGCTTTTTGGTTGCCAGAAGTGAAATCCAAAGTAATTATCCAATTGTTTAACTTCATCTGATGTCATGATCAATTGTAATTTTCATAATCAATCATTGATCATTTAATATTTTCTGTTTTAGCAAAAGCAGAATTCATATTATGCATTATAAAGATGCCAATTGCTAATAATATCCATTCTCATGTAAATTCTAGGTAAGTGAGGTATTTTCTTAAAAGTTACAAAATATATGATATCACCGCCACAGAAAATGCTTTCACTTTCTATGAATACTGAACACAGTCAGCCAATTAAGCAAATTATTTACTATATCAGAAAGGCCAATCTGATTTTGACAAAGCACTACTAAGCACCATGTAGTTTTGATTCTACTTCTAGGTACAGTGCCTTTAAAACTTCAGTAATATCTATTCTGAAAACAACTTGTGTATGAACATTAAAACCTCTTTGAAATGCCCATTTTCAATTTTAAACACCAAAACCTCTTTACAATGACCATTTTTGTCAATATCTCCTTACCCAAAAATCTTGTTTTAATCTTGCTTACTGGTGACAAATTTTACAAGGACTTACTGTTGTAATGTTTTCTCTGTAGGCATCTCAAGTAGAAGAGAAGTAAGGGACTGCATCGCCTGTTTCCGTGCAGATAAGGCAGGATCTCGACATCTCTCCACTAACAATTCTAGATTCTGAAAAAAACACCAGTCAAATGAAACTATCGATTTATGAATACATGCTTTTGTAATTTTTGTTTTTTGAAAGACAGGAAATTAAAAAAAAAAATCAATTACAAAACAGCTAACACAACTTAATGATACAATAAGTTGATCATAAATGTATTCTGACCTTGAAATGTTTGAAACAACACAATGTTCCATTGATGTCAGTCATAAAGCTCATAACAGTAAACCTTTTAAAACTTACAAAGAGGTTTCTAAAAAATATCTTATTTCCTTTATATTTCACTTTTCTGTATCTTGGTTATTTTCAGTTAAAATTTTATACCAATGGATAATGATTATATGCAATTACAGCCAAACCATAATCTGAAAACTTTCTACTAGTGTTTTAAATTTAATGCAGAAATAAAAACTGACTTCAGAATAATCTCAATAATACATTTTACCATAAACTGCCTCAAAATGGTATTTCTGAGCAACAGCATAACTTGTTATCTAAAAAGATATCAACTGTCTTTTTTCCATTTTGGTAGATTATTTACATGGTGAAATCCTTCAAGTTTATGACTGACTAATTATCAATTACTAATCGATTGAGGAGGGGTGTTGCAGATTAGTTTCTGTATAACGATTCTCAACACTACATACATACCTGTCTCCTGTAGTCTGGGGCCTCAAACCGGATGATATTCTCCACGGCCAAAAGTGCTGACTTTCTCACATTCACCTTCTCGTCTCGAGACCTCCTCCTTAACATAGAAATTACACCATCCTCATCGGGTAAATCTGAAAATAGAAGTTAAGTTGTCATTATACAGGTATATCTGTAATATAAATATAAGTCTGAAAGAGAAAAATTTGGTGAATTACCCAACACACATCTAACACCAGTGAATCTACCTATCAAGTAGCAAATTTCTGAGATTTGAAGTGTAGAAGAGTGGGTCTGGACAAGGTAGTTGAAGAACATACGGAAGGACAGACGGACAGTGCAAAAAAGTCTCCTCTTGTTCTCAGTTGGGACTTATATAGAAGTATATCTGAAATCAACAGGTAAGTACAAGAAAGTCTAAAATATACAGGTTTAAAAAAGTCAGCTTTTGAGAAAAGGAACTGCAACAAATTATAACTTGAAGACTTTAGAGGAAAGAATCATATGTAAGAAAGTTTTTTCTCCATTAATAATGTCTCTGGTTTAAAACACGAAAGAAATTACAACACACTTCACATTTCCTGTGTTATAATATAATACTGTAGTTACTATTTCTCATGAGAGATTTTGTTTAAATCATTAATTATGAAAAAAATTATCATAAAATCATATATTTCTGTGGGGCTCAATTTTCTCATACTTTTTTAAGATTGCTAATACTTTAACAATGACCTGTATTTTTTAATGCCATGCTCCAATTGAATATTCCAGCAGGAATTGAGCAGTTTTGAGACAAGGAAATAATAAAGAACAGCTGTGCGTTAACCTTAACTAGGAAAGTAAAACAAACCACTTACTTGGATTGAAAGGAGTCAGCAAAACTCCACCAAAAGGCGTTTTAGGGTTAAGTCTGGATCGAGTATTGGAGACTGTATTATCAGGAGTTTTCTCCCCTGCTTCCTGATCAGATTCTACAAGGACAGCAATGTCATACATTAAACTGCATTACAGATCCTTCAGCCCTTGCATGCAAGCAAACATGCAAACTTGTTGGTGAGTTTTGTTTGTTAACTGAGCTTATTGCCAATACATAATGGTAGTCATTTTGAAATGGGTCTCATTGTAGTAGCCAGTGGCTACCACCCTGAACAACATAAGAAAGGTCGATCAATCAATACAATTACATAGACTTTCTGTGAAACGCGCACCATTATGGGTAGGGAAGGGAACATTGAACCATGCACCTCAGATCTTTATCTGAGGTTATCGAGGATAACTGTCTAAATAGCCATCGCAGCACCAACAAAATTTCTGGGGCAAAAAGGGATTTTTTTATATCTAATTATCAATAATTATTCTCTTTCTTAATTCATTAATCATTCTATTTTTTGTTTTAAGAAACATGTCCCCCATAATGGCTTGATGAAAACAGAACTTTACACAAAGGACAATTGGTATTGGTTCCAATAAAGCATACATAAATAGATCAGTGACCTACCATAGGTATATACATGTAGTTAGGTTTTTTTTTTACAATACATCGGGGTGACCTTTTTCCCAGAAAACAGGACCATTGCTGAAAAAACAGGGTATATATGTGCAAGGAATTTGGTAATACCATCAGCTGTGAGCTGCTGAGCACGGTTGTCCATTGCTGGTGTAGGGATGATATGGGGAGCATGTGCAGGACGGGGCCCGACCATCGGGGTAACAATCTCTCGAAGGGCTCCTCTGATATTGTTGTCAGATGACACAAAACACTGTGCAAATGCTGTTATTGCTCGGGCTCGAACACTGTAAAAGATGAAGATACACATGTCCATTAAATGAATGTTTCATTTCTTAAAACAAAGAATTCCACAAGATGCGGATGTCAGCCTGATTTTATCAGCAACAACAGTAAAAACTGACTAATACCTTAGTTTTGCAATTACTTATTTGTCATCACCACAAGACAAAGGTTTTGAACTTTCTGACTAGAGTATTGGATGATATCTAGTTTCGGAGATAAGGAAAGATTAGATGGAAAATTAAAAAAATGTTGGTATGATATGAATGCCTTCAAAATATACAAAGGTATTACTATATGATAATTTGCAAAAGTTACAAAACGTGATTTTTGACCTTTAGACCTTGACCACTGACAACCTTAATAAAAAAATTTATAAAACTTCATGCTATGACACTATGGGTAAATATGAATGAAATCTTAACAAAGGTCCTCTCAGAACACAGAATTGACTGGAGATAGTACAGGGACATGACATGAAAGATGAACATGGGTTACATGATATTATGCTCCCACTCTCCCCATAACATGTTGGGGACAAAAAAAAGACGAATAGTCATCTGAAATTGGCTTATATCACTAAGAATTACTCACGTAGGAGCACTGTCAGAACATCTAGCTAAAAGGAGCCCCATTAACGATCGGTGTTTCACATAGTCTGCTAGTCCTTCACCAAAGGTTTCTGCAACAACATCACAAATTGCTTCAAGACTACAGATGAGAATGTTTGTTTCTTTTTTTTCTTGTTATTTTTCTACATCTTGTTTTTTTTGGTTTTTTGCTTTGTTTATACTTTTAAAGGAAACTATACCAATAATACCATTCCCATTGGCACACTGATAATGATTCAAATCTGATGTAATATCAAGATATTTACTACATCTTAGTACTTTTTAAGGTAAGATGATGAAAACAAAGCACATCAGTTAAGACCTTTTTTACATATAGAACTCCATGTCTACATATTTCACTAATGAATTGGCATGATTGGGTCAAAATTTTCTTTGTGTGAGATAAGTAAAACAGACTCAGTGACAAAATAACTAAAATTGATCAGAAAAATTGATATGCTTCATAAACATTGTTTTTTCTTAAAAGTTCACTATTGAAAACAATAATTTTAAAGATTTATGAAAATAGTTATATCTTTATGTAGCATTTAATTAGCAAATAAAAAACAAAAAACACACACAAAGAAATACTGACAGTTTCTTATAAAGTTTGTCTCTCTTACCATCCACATCTCTTTCTGGGGTCACCAGTAACAGTGAAGCTATCTCAATAGTAAAAGCACGATTATTGATCTGGAAAAAATTTAAAAGACACATTAAAAGAATAAAGAGTATTTTCAAATTCAACTTATCATGAATAATGATAGCTTTCTGAATGTATTTACAAATCAAGCTCATTAATGCAGCAAAATTTTCATAAAGGGATATGGCTTGCCTTTCCTGCTTTGACTCACTAATATGAGAGTTCCAAAAACATGTGAAAAAAAAAAAAACCCAGCCATTTCAGCCAAAAATCTGTTTTACATATTGGAAGTATATTGCCTATTGAAGGTTTTTCCAACGGTGTAAGACATTTTTGAAATTTTGAAGGTCTTGCCAATTCTCAAAATTTTTCTTTCTTATTTTTTTCCACAGAATATGTAAACATCATAATTCCTAAGACTTCGTGTCCTGATTTTACAAATTTTCAGGCTTGCAAAAACATGTGATTTTACATTCACGATATTACAAATTTAGGCGTAGTCTCACTTACATTTTTATAGGGAATGGTATAAATACAAGTTTGCTCATTTGTTGCCATGAGAAAAGAACATGGTTGATAATTATGATGCTGTGATGTGGACCAACAATTATCAATAGGTTTTGCTACAAGCTGTACTAACAATGGGGACTGATTAGCATCAAGCGAGAATTAAAACAGAATTTGTTAAATTTTCACACTTTGCAAATAATATACATGGTTTGAAAATCATATGATACGACATTGGATACACATAGTTTGCAAATAGTAGTAACTTAAAGAGAAAGTGTGCATTTTTCACGAAAGTCTTGAAGCAGACTCGTTTTCTGTACTGATTTGATTTCAAGGAAATTTTGTTTTCGCAATTTCATTGCATTCCTGAAAACAAGGAAAAACAGAATCCCTAAATTAAATAGCTTTTTAATTTTGTGCTAAAGTACGGTATTTCAGCATCCACAAAAAAACTACTTACTATGTGTGATACCAAACAATTCTACAAGAGAAAATTTTAATAAACAGTTCCCATTTCAATGGTTTATAAAAAGTATGTTATTCATTTTTCTAGCCTTCTTAAGAATGTATACCTTTGAATGCTTTGATAGACGATAAAACCATTCCACCATTTTTCCATAAGCTTCATTCGGTAGCTCATTCAGAATCTTTATCACAGACTGAAAGGAAAATACAAAAAAAATTATTTTGTGACCTTATAAAGTGAAGTTTGCCTAATCTTTCATACAAATCTATTAAAAAGACAAAAAAATTGATTTCCGACCCAGCTTTCATTTCATTTTACAGTGTTGCACTACAAATTCATGAAAAAATGAGAAATGAAAACATCTGAAACATCACTATCATCTGATCTTACGTTCCTGCTATAATTCCTGACTTTCCAGTGACGTTAATATCTAGGACCTCTGAGTTTCCTGTGGTATGATCTATATGACCCTGAGTTGTCCTTCATACTGACCTCTGACTTGCATTCTACTTTGACCTCAATGACACCTTATTTGTGCAACATACTAACCTGTGTGACCCTTGACCTGTACTCAGTCTTATCTGGGACCTTGGTACACATGTGCTGTAGAAGGGTCCGTACACTTGTGTGGACACACTCCCCACACTGCTTCATCATATGACTGTCAACAAATAAAGAAAGCACATTTAGTGATTTTCTTATGTAGACAAAGTGCAAGAATTGTATAATTATCGATTGTAAAAATAAACTGCTTTCACTCAAATTAAGACTCTCATAATAAGGAGATTGCCTTTCTTTTTAAATATATTCAAAAGATGTTTGTATCTTTACCAAAACATTATTTACTTCTGAGTAATATGCTGGATTATCTATTTGAAAAACAACTTTTGACTTGCAACATTTCAGCTATGTATTTCCATAGAGACATGGTCTTTTGATAAATCACTGTCCTGCAGTGCTAAACTGTAACAACAATTCTATAACCACAAGTCTCACCACATAAACTCTGCTGCATGTTCTGCGGCGATCTGGACAGGCTTAGGAATTGTGGTAGCAGCCACTGCCTTATTTTCCCCAATCAACATCAGTAGATTAGGCATAAGGTTCTTACAAAGCTGAAGTGGATGAAATAAATAACTCAGTGAGCAGGAAATGCTTAAATGAAACACTTTCAATTATTCTGCATTTTTTATTTTTAACTTTTGTCTTCCAATGATCATTTTAAATGCATGAATGTGCAAGGTAGTAACATATGTAAGAATCAGCTTTATTTTTTTTACATTATACTTTTTCTTCCGATTTGATGCAATGAATTTGTCGTTATAATCTGTCCTTACATAAATACGATTGTACATCAGTCATTATTAACCTTTGAATCATTACACTTTGAAATAGCTAAGGTTCATGACTAGCTTCCAGAAACTTTCTAGCTCCCTCGTAACATCTATATTATGGTAAAATATTTTGTGTTTTCATATTATCAGAAGACAGCTGTTATTTTGACTATACTTACTGCATGGAAGGAGGACACAACATGATTATGTAGTGGAAGGCACAAGAAACTGAGACCCTGAAGCAAAAAACGGACAGTATTTTTATCAAAGTTTATTACATTTCACTTTCAATTTGGCGTGATTTGTTAGTTTGTTTGCTGGCTTTATCACCCCATAAACATAAGGGGTCATTTTGAGGAGGGGTCTCTTAATAGTAGCTGGTGACTACCTAACTGAACAACATACAGGAGGCCTGTAGCTTGCCTAGTGCAGACCAGTCCATTTCTTGTCAGCTTCCTGAAAATCACAAATCACCATGGGTAGGGTTTATTGAACCACCAACCTTGGTTCTTCACTTTATCCACTAAACTATCACAATCCCTTCTTGCATAGATAATTTAAGTCTGGATGGTACTTTGGGTTACTCAAATGCATAATAGTTGATTCTATGAAGCAAGTATGTGTTTTTATTGGTGAAAAGTGTACATGACTAAATGATCAAATGCAATGACCTTTTCCTCTTTTGTTGTAAGTATACAATCTATTAGGACACTGGTGATTCATAATACCTACCTTGTAAGCAAGACCGGCAATGGGCAATCTTGAGTTGGGACTGAAAAAGAGAAATTCAAATTACACTAAGAGTTTCTGCAGAATTATCTGATCAGTAAAAGAATTTTCTTACTTCTATGATCCATTTTGCATCTAAATATCTATTGAAATAGCCCCTACAGATGTTTGAAACTTATATTAATATTTTGTTATTATCTTTTAAAAGATTCTTTGATAAAGTATGCATGAACTGATAATTAACCAACCATCTCTCATTGAAGTTTCCATTGAAAGCTTCTGTATCGTGGCGTGTGAGATCAGCCAGGATCTGTACAGTGTGATACAGAGATGCCTCAGACTGACGTAAAGGTGTCGTCTCCAGTAGAAATACAAGATCCTGTAACAGATCCAACAAAACTTACAGCCAATCAGATTCAAGTATCAACGTGACCAACTCATTTCAGAGAACTTAATTTTAGGATTAGGTACACCAGCAAAGTTTAATATGATATAACACAAAAATATCATACAAAGATATCAACAAAAGGGGTATTGACCTCTGTGACATTGAGGCCCATGTAAGGACTCAGAAATAATACTTATCCATGCCTTACTAGCATCACTGTAACCCCTGAAAACTTGAGGAAGAGTTCTATCCTGGAGGGCGAGTAAAGTAAAAACTAGCTGCAATATAACGGTTTGTTAGAGATATCTTCTCTTTAGTTTTATTGGTTGAGCATATGACTAGCAAACCAGATCCCCAGTTCAAATCTTAGCAGAGGCATTGAAATAAATAGTGACATCTGTTACATATATATATATATCAGACATTAATCACAGGAGCTCTTTGATACTTTCATGTCTAGTAGTGCTAGCAAAATCTGTAATATCTATGATTTTGATTACTTATATAGTAAGTAAATACCCTTAATAGCCCCATTAGGAGCTTCTTAATAGCATTCACTTCCTGTGGAGCCATTTCCTCTCCATCTTCCTCCTCATCATCACTGAAGTCCTGTGTACAAAAGAAACATTAACATAACATCTTTTAATTCTCAGCTTCAGCAGCAGTGTATCTCAAAAGATCAAGAAATTTTGTTTTGATAAAGGGTTTACTTTACTAAAAATTTGCTAAATACTTCAAACTACTTAATGCATTTAAATATGGAAAAATTTAATTAATTACTAACAGTAATTTCATCATTTAAAACAAAATACAGAAACATGAAAAAGTATTGTGTTGCAAAAGCAGAATTTGGCTGGCTTAATCTTGAATGCATGACGTACATATCTATTTGACTTACCAGTCTGTCTTTTAAGTGCCCACTGAACATCAAAAGGTCAGGTGGGTGTGGCCACTAATAGATGTAGGTATATGTGTATACTATTTTGTCCATTTACTTGTTGAAACTTCTATATTTTCTTGTTCAGTTAAAATTTTTTTCAAAATTTTCTACAAAAGCTATGGTATTTAACATTTCAAGAACTTAAAAGAGATATTTTCAGTATTTTTCAAAGTCATAAAGATCTTTATTGTATATGCTAGAATATCTATCTTTTCATGTATATTTGATCAGCTTAACAACAAAGCCTTACCACATTAATGTCAACTGTGGGATCAGTCTGTCTGTTGTCCCGACTCTTCTTTCCTTTGGGTTTCCTTGTAGTGGTAATACTTTTTTTTCTTTTACTGGAACCTGATACCAAAGAAATCAGAATCAGCATCATTTTTATCTTATCTTTAATATGGCCTATTTGTTTAGTTTTCAACTGATTTTCTAAAATTATTTCTGACTCCTAATCTTTAAGAGAGGGTGTCTGTATAATATTTGTTTTGACCATCCCCATTTAGAAAGGGTATCTGAATCTTGAAAGTTAAGGATCACATGGAAATTCAACTCAGTGCTTCACCAATACACTATGATCATGTCTAAAAGACAGTTTGAATAGAACACAAGAGTTATAAAATAATTTCATAAATAGGAAATGATTTAAACATAATATAATGATATGTTACAATAATTTTGTTGCATAGAAATGTTAATATCTTAAACCAGATGTCCATATATTGTTTTTCGATTCCTAGATTTTTTTTACAGAAAATTTTCAGTTTCCAAAATGTGAGTCTGCTTTGCTATTTTCCAACTAAGACCATTTATATTAAGTGTTTACATGAAGCAAGCCTACATCATTTGGTAGAATTAAATTTTGCATTCTGTACTGTTTCTCAAGAGTCCTTTTTGCTAAAATTGTTTATGATAACCTTGTAGTCATCGAAACGTCACACTTTCTACTGATTGGTTGTGGTATAAGAACTTCTATTCGTTGACATTAACAACCTGAAGAAAATGTTAAAAAAAAAAAAAAAAAACATTGTATGATAAGCATTCAGATTGTGCCTAACTTGACCACAATGGTTTGCGATTTATTCCATACCGACAGACATCCATTGTTTCAATGTGTCTATGGCCTTTTCATACAGGACTGGGTGGAAAACATGGAAGGCACTGCTCCCTGTAATCAAATTGGTGAAAACACTATAGAATACATGTATAAAGTGTTGTAAAACACAAAGAGGTTTTCTGTGAAGATTGCAAGTCAACAGAAGTATGACAAGAATGAAGCATAGTTGTAATATATAGATAAATAAAAATGGATGTTGAACACTTACTTTAAACAAGAAATATTAAATTCAAAAGTTAATTAAACCAGTCTTACCTGGCACCGTTAGTAACTTAAGGTACCCAGAACAAGATAAAATGGCGGACTCTTTTTTCACAATGTCTGCAGTTTTCTGAGAAAAAAAATAATCATAAATGAAAAATGCCTCTGTTCTAATGCAAAGAGACAGTGAAGCAACAATAAGTTTTATGAGCTAAAGAGTTATTTCCCCTGTTGATGTTTACTTCTTAGGAAATACATTCATTTTATACATGCACAGAATGACAGACCACATACAAACATTGGATTGTAACCAACACACAATGGTAATCTAATGAAGGATTTATATTTATAAAAAAAAAAAGCTAAAAAAAAAAATAAACAAGAGATTTGAAGTTCTAGGATTATGGAAGGATATCTAATACCTATATAATAATTTCAGACCCTTCTTAGTGTTGAGAGGTACAATGAAACCTGTCGAAAACTATGCACCCTAGAACTAAAGCTATTCCAGTAAAAAGTACATCCCACTGGAAGACGTCAGTTATGGTAGGTATTAGAGAAAACTCATGGAACTGTCTGATTTAATTTTATCACTTTTCAGAGATTCCTGTTAGACAAATATGTAGTTTTCAAATTGGTTTGATACAGAAATAACCTTAAAAGTATATCACCATCATATTAATATGTCTTAAAACAAATAACATGTGGAGAGAGAAGGGAAATAACTCTTGCATAAATTTTAGGCACTTGTGAATTTTTTCAGTCCTGCATCCAAACATTGTTGGTGAAAGTATCAAATTATCTTACCGACTGTCCTATATCGATAAGGTATGCAAACAGAGCAATCAGGTGTTTATGTTGAATATCATTTTCCACCAGGACGGTCCAGAATCCTGAAAAATGCCAGAATCACCAACATACATCAGTGTTTAATCAATGTATTACAATCCCAGTAACATTAATTCATCAAAATGAAAGAGGAAAAAATCAAATTCATGTGATTATTAATTCTGTAAACCCGATCTTGAAGACAATTAATTCAACTTTTCAGAAATGGAAACAAGTCTTCTTAATCCAGTTTCACAACAAATATTCTTGTCTTTATTGAATTCACAGTCTTCTTGAACAATTGATGTAATCATTACTCATACAAATACAAAAAATAAGACATTTTTATGGAAATCAACAATACCACCTGTAACAGAATTTTGATGCAATTTGAATTTTACTGATAATCTTTACCAATTTCATGATCTGTCACACAGGATGCATCCAATAATGTATCCAATGTGGTTATATATTTCTACGATTGTCCATGACAGAAACTGACAAAAATTTCAACATTTACACTGCTAAAAAGCATGATTTTGCATAATGCTCTGGCACCTTCATCAGACATTAAACACTCTGACAAATGTCTGATGTCAAAATGTCAAATGTCTCACATGTGTAGCTGCCATGGGATTCATATGATAGTATTTGTAACTGAACTGAGTACTACCCATTTCCTTTGACATATAAAAAAGAATTTCAGGGAAAAGTTTGAAAGTTTACAATATATGACTGTGTTTACCTTCTCCCTGATCTCCTTCCTTGTGTGTGATCCAGTCCACCAAACTTTCCTGTAGTAGACGTAATGACTGACAATGGAAGTCATTGTCTTGGAATTCATTCTGTAGGTCAATGTCAATAGGGTCTATTTCTGTGAAATCACTGTCCCAAACAGCCTTCACCCAGTCTGAAAATCATTCATCAAAAAAGATAACTTATAATGCCAAAAGATCTTTATGAAATACGTTAAGAAATCAAGTAAAACAAATATAAACAAATTTGAATAAAATTTATCAATGTAACCTGGTTGAAATACAATGTACTAACTGCAATATACCAATCAATTCAAGAAACCTTTTTAGCTTGATTGGTTGAGCATAACACTAATAAGCCAGGGCCTCCAGGTTTGAATCCACAATTGAATAATGACATATTTTACATTAACAAGTTTTCTACTAAAGAGTAACATTACTAGAGTTTTATAAAGGGCTCACTAAAATATAAAATCTAAAGATATCTCACAAAAAGTCTATGTATACCTCAGGAGTTAGTGAGGACATTGCCATCCTGCTTAAGACACCTTGCCCAACAACAGTCCAATTTTATTTCAACCAATGAAGCATGTTGCATAATTCACTAATTGACAAATCTAGTGAGTTGATAAATCAAATGTTTTTTTGTCATAAGACACCATTTCCGTTGAGTTGGTTGAATATCGCCGTTGCAATTTTTGGTAGTAGCATCCCTATATCTGATGGTAAGACTTGATATTTCATAATTCAATATCAAAACACCTCATATTTCACTTGCTTCCACTACATTATCATCATTCATTGCAGGTAATAATTTTTTGCTCAGAAACATCATGCTGAAACACATCTGTAGCCTGAATCTGCATCAAAGGGACGCTTGTCTGAAGAGATGACACTAATAGTGAATGACACCATATTTGGACTAGCTATAGAGCTTGTTACTAAATAGCAAGTGTGCGTGGATACTGAAAATATCTTAGGATGAAATTAGAAAAAAGTCCCCTGAAATTGAGCAAATAGGCAAAAAAAAACCCATTAATTTTACATTTTACCGACTTACATGAGTCGTCATCCATTTTTTTATCTGCACTAAAGAAATGTGACCAGACCTCACCTGTATGTTTACATTTGCGCTATATACGTATAGACACAGCTTTGACTACATAGCTATATTTGCCAGTGCTCCAGTACCTTGAACTCAAACATCCAACTCTACTTTGGGGGAAACGGATTAACCACAACAAGTTTCTATTGCTAACATCCCCTGTCTGTACGTTCGACGGTGGTTGAGAAGCTGAGACCAACGGGGGAACTATTCAAAATGTAAAATTTTCAGAAAAAAAGTCCTCGTCGTTTGCGAGTATGCTTGTCAGTTGAACATCTAAATAGAAATTACTTGTATTTTGTCATTTACATTGAATTACTCCCCTTACTACTTGCACTGAAATCTAAGAAATCGGCTTTGACTTCAAAGCTTTTTTTATCTCAATTTCATTGACTAGAAGACTTTCATTTCAATTGACGGACACATAAAACAAAAAAAACTGACAAGTATCACATCTTTCCAGATAAATTTGCTGATATTTAGTTTAAATGATTAGAATAATCGTTGTTGTTATTGCCGATTTTTCGTCTAGTTTCTGCTGTCTGAAACAGCTGATCGACTTTACATTAAATCAGTGGCTGTAAGGCATAATGTTGCCATATCAACCAGACGGATATCAATCAAGTATGAAACCATTTTGGACCTTAACCCTCATATGTTGCCAAACCTTCTTGCAGACGCTGAAGTTCAAATTTGTCTAGCACCCCGACTGTCTTTTCCACATCCGCCATTTTCAAGTTAGCCGCCAAATATAATCGACTTCCGGTTTAAAGCCAAATTTGCATAAGAAACGAAACGAAACCAATCGATCGTAACACAACAGCCGAGGAACTTGTATGACACAATAAGCTCAGTGTATGGATTTACTTTCTTTTATACAGGAAGACTTACACCGTTTGCTTTTATATTCATTTAGATAGTTCTTTTTTACGTTCGGAAATGATTGCGATTTGAAGATAAGAAAGTTTTCCCTGATACTTTACCGTCTTGTTATTTTATGAAAACATATCATGGACGATACAGCTTTCATTAACCATGTTTGTGTAGGTATAATGACAACAAGGACAAAAAAAGTTACGTCACATAATACAGACATTAATATATACTAATATAAACGGCATTCAACTTACCATTTTTAACTACTATGTATTCTTTGAACGACTAACATGTTGTGCTTACATGCAATTAAAAGATATTGACATGTGAACGTCTTACTAAAGATAACTTCAAAGTAAAACAGGAAAAGTAATATGAATTTATTTTCATGAGGTCCTGGTACCACAATACTAAGAAATGGTGTGATAAATTCCACAGCGTTCATTTTTTTGTGATAAATTGGTTGAGTAAGCAGATCATATTTTATTGAAAGTGATGGGACATTTAACAACGCAGTTTAGACTAAATTAAGAAAAAAATTGTGAATGGTATGTGGTGTTTTTCACTTGAGATTTACCAATTTCTAACTTATTCATCACTGAATACAATTAGTCTGAAAGGTTTCTGAAAAATATGATAAACTAAATCGCGGAGTACAATACGCTCTGCGGGATTGCATGAAATACAAACAGCTCCTTTACTGACTAATGTCAACAAAATCGAGCAAATTTGACTGTTTGCAGTGTTTGCGTCCCCATGAACAGCCAGGTTCATTTAAGGAACCTTGAAAAAGCTGATGACGTCCTCTCCAAACGTCATGCGGGAGGCCCGTCGCATGTCCCATTGCTCAATAGCAACTACAACAGAACCAAGAGGTTAGTGATATCGGCTTCCTGAGAATCCACAAACTACCTTATGCCCACACTCCACGTCATGATTTTTGTCATGAAATATCATATGACGTTAAGGAGAAGGTTGTTCATACTTCTAGTTCTATCTTGCAGCGTCGCGGTTATTGGACTTTTTTTTTATAAACTGCGGCGTTGTTCATAAACAAAATTAGAAGTTTTCAGAAAGAAAACAATTAACTAGCGTGCTATAGTCAACCATCGTCATACTACTACCAGTTATCGTTGCTAGGAATATGATGCTATATTGAAGGATAGGCATACATTTACGGAGGAGGAGACAATACACAGATAGTGGTAAAGAATGTGGTAAATGACAGTAACGGCTTTTATAACACAAAAGTAGGCGAATGATTATGATTTCACTGAAAAGTTATCTAGCATCTTACTTTATACCATAAGATGATATCCATTTTTTTTACCCCGAATCAATATCTATGTCAATTACACGCGAGACAGAAACATGCTATTTCAAAATACAGATCAGCGCTAGATTTTTTTCTCAAATACATATATAATATATATATGCATATGAAGCGTGTTTTCAGTGTTTGGGACATCATTTTTGCTTTTACATTATATCAATATTATAGCAGCCCTTCTTGAATAAAAATTAAAATATGTTTTTTTTTCCGAAACTTTAAATAGAGCTGACGTACATGTATGTTTAAAGCTGACGTGTATCGTTACTTTAACAAAGTGAAATTAATATCTGTATTTTACAAGTACTTAACTGTATCGTAGGCCACTTCAAAACGTTAGTCGAATCGAAAGTGAAACTTCATCACATATAGTGTCTGATACTACGATAGCATGATGCGATATCGTGGTATCGCATCGTGGTATCGTGATATCGCAGTCTCGCTTCCCATTAAATGAAGCGATATTACGATGTCCCGAATTAGCCACCATAATCACAAGTTTAAGTACATAGTATCGAATGAACGATATGGGCCGTTTAAATTTTAAGCGGATGACTAAGTACAGGGTCCCGTGTTGTGATATTTGATCAAACTACAAGACGCACGATGGACAGCATTGGGAAGTTAATGCGATTTCGTCCTCTTCTGTCAAAAAAAGGTAGGTGTTTCCGATTTTAGACTGACCTTGATATACGTAAGTAGATATTGTATGTGAAAATATTGGACGATACATGGCTATAATTACAGAAACCGTGGAATGTCATGTTCTCTTAAATATAGACACAATCCTGTTAATGTGCAGCTCACTCAAGCGATCGATACATGTGTATGTGTTAACTCATATTCACAACACTATGTTCATTTAATGATTTTAAACATAGTTGATAACATATACTTATAGACAATTAAACATGATTCATACAGATTTCACAGGTCGAAATTTAGGATATGGAGACACGTCATATCCAACAAAACGTTGCATATGCACACACACGAAAAAAGCTGTTTACTGTAAGATTTGCTTGTCGCTTACAGATCAATTCACGGTTGGTTGAACAGCGATCCATTATGTTTGACTGAGAGGCTCTAAGCATGGCCTAGACCCACTGGGACATACGTACAATATGTTGTTATTTCATAGACAGCGTATCAACAATGTGTCATTTTCACATGGTTGTCTACCATTACATGTATAAAGTCGATACTTCACATGTGAATCTGCATTATTGTTACTTTGTATTCATATGTGTTATAGCTATGCATGGATATAAACAGATCAAGGCCAAATGCTGGTTTATATTTTCACAATATATGGAGTGTCGCGGTGTACAGTTTTGTAATTGTGATACGATATGCCTATTATAAACAGCCTGTCTGTTCCATAATGTCTGAGCAATGTGTAGACTTTTTAATGTTACTAAATGTATTGATATTGTTTTCATAGTCAAACCCAGACGTGAGGGCATGTTATTGTTTGTGTTTTCACTGTCTATATGTCTCTCTGTCACGCGGTTCACATAAAAACTTCCTCAACAGTTTGTACAGCATGTTTTTTTCCGATTGCTATGCATAAAGAAATTTGATAAATAACATTAATTTAAGGACAGGACAAAGAAATATCCTGTCGAGTGCTCCGAAAGGAATCGAACAAGGGTCTTTGGCGTGATAATCTATGGCTTGAAGCAACTGTGCCAAAGAACTGTACTTAACATTGTATAATTACAAGACAAACCGACTCGCACTCTTAACACCACTCCTCATGTTTTTTCTTAATGTCGACCCGATTCTCCAAATACCACAACCCGTGGGACTTTGCTGGGCGTTAAAGTAAGAGAACAGGAAAATACACACTCCTGCTGAGTGCCCCGACAGAAATCGAACCTGGGTCCCCAACGTGATAAGTCCACGGCCCAACCAACTCGGTTAAAGGAGTATGCTACATCCGTTGAGTGACAGAGGTCCTATTTAACACATATTTACAAGCTACAATGACCCACTTCTTTCCACAAATAGACGATGTACACTTTGAATTAGATATCAATATAGATGAGATGGATTGAATTATACAAGACTCATTAATTATGATTGTGCAAAAGAGGAATAGATAAATGAATAACGGTATTTAGATGAAAAAAATATTGACGATAGTTCTCCATGTCACAGATCTTAGATAAACTCTGATACTTATGTAGATTTATCCCAGATGTTACGGGAAAATAGTCTTCTTGGCATTTTAAAATGATAAAGAAATGATATCCTTAAGCGTTTGTTTGGACGTTTTAGGTTTCTTTACAACTAGTTAATTTTGTTCCCTAATGTGCCGGTCTTCTGGAACTGAAGCGAGATGACATTCAGTTATACCCATTCTGATTTCCCAGAGTTACTTCCCTTCGTTTCACTCTGTTAGTACAGCGACAAGGTTGACAGTCGATGGGTACCGAGCATGACTTACACCTGGTATCTCATTTTTACAAGTTGCATCTTCCTATCAACGTGACAATGATCGCCTCAGACAAATTCATTATTCTACATTTAAACCCGTGGGATCTTATTTGTCTATAGGTTACAGGTCACAACCATATGTTCGTTCAACTTTCTTGGAAAAGAGAGCTCTCATAACAAGATAACAGGTTAGAAAGGATAAAACGGAATCATGAAAGAAGTGTTAGCCATCTTCACTACTGTTAACATATCAGACACAAAGTAACATTAGTGTCACATGTATTAAGTGTCGGGTTACTTCATCATACTTTTCACTCATGCGTGACGAGTACTTCCGACAGTCGAAAGTAGGTATCGGGGCATATCTAAGTGATACCGTAACAGCGCTAGTGCTGTTTAGATTATAATCTAACAGAATTTAACAAAATCTGAAATCGTGGTCAAAACCCTATAAACGAAAATTAATATATTCATTTACAGTGAAAGTGAAACACTCTAATCCTCGATACTCTATGGGTTTCGCCAACAATAACTTTCTACACCCTTGGGACATTTCACGGCAAAATTGAAAGTTCCATGTGCGTCAAATTGTGAATAAAATTAAAAGACTAGTTTGAATCTTTGATGTACATGAAACGAATCTCGAGTTCGCACAACAGTATGTTGTACTGGTTCTGAAGTTGGATGTCGCTCCAATCTATTCTCTGGTTTGGATATAACACGTTTCGTTCCTCATTCATTTTTTTTTATTTGGCCAGGGTCATATGAGGACGATATTGTGATAATTTCCTTATTGAAAACGATTATTAAGATTCGTACCCTGATGTAACACATTTCTTTTTTTACAACACTTCTGCATATCACTTACCCAATTATTCGCCAGAGACTGAACACATTCATCCGCTGATGGTTACGTGTTTCTTAATTATCAGCTGCTCTGAGTGGTTTCCGCCATGCTCGTGGTGCAGGTTCAGTCGCCGTGTCGGAAGCCCGACAGATTCTGGACAAAGAACTAGACGGAATCCGGGAAGCCGGGACATGGAAGTCGGAAAGAGTCATCGTAACTAGACAAGCACCATCAATCAGGGTCGAAGGTCAAAGTTCAAATATTCTCAACTTCTGTGCCAATAATTATCTCGGGTTGTCGGTAAGTTGAAGTGATAATAAAACAAAATGAAATATTTATGAAACAAACAAACTGGTATGAAAGAATGGCTTTAAACATGTTGGAGAGTCGACTTATAATGTTAGGCCAAGCATACGTAAGTCGAAATCATAAGAAGCGCTAAAAGTTGACGAACATATTTTGTCATCGATTATTGAATTCAAGCGAACACTTGAGTAATGTTTAAGATATGGACTTAAGATTTGCATTCCATCTTAGGAATTCACAAAACGAATATAAAATAAATCCCACTTTTTATATATATTTTTTTCTGCAATTTTTTGTGTACAGAGTCACCCGGAAGTGATTGAGGCCGGAAAGAGAGCTTTAGAGACGCACGGTTCAGGGGTCAGCTCATCGCGTTTCATTTGTGGAACCATCGTAAGTTTTCGAAAGGAAGGTGGGAAAAATAGTTTGGGGTCGAAAGCATCGAAGCAAAAGCAATATTTAAATTTTGAAAGGTCATAAAACTCTATTCAAAAAAGAAAAATAGTGTCCCTTTAACACCAACTTAAGGCATTTTCATTCTACAGGACCTTCATGTAGAGTTAGAACAGAAAATCGCCCGTTTTCACGGGCGAGAGGACGCCATTTTGTATGCCAGTTGCTTTGATGCAAACGCTGGCATATTTGAGGTTTTGTTGGGCCCAGACGATGCTGTGATATCGGACGAATTGAACCATGCCTCCATAATTGACGGAATTCGTTTGTGTAAGGCGAAGAGGATGAGGTACAAACACAGAGATATGGCAGGTCTGTTGCCATTGTTTTATATATAGATAAATAATATGTTTTCTTACCTTTTGCTGAATATGAATTTGAGAGCTGTTATTTCGGATCATGGACTTTTCAAAACAATTTTTCTAATTTTAAGTGTGCTAACGGTTTTTCACGGTAATGTGAAGCCTGGAAACTCCCCCTTTATTTATCAGTTTTATACAGTTTCGTAATTCAACGCATAAGACGGCACTCTAGTTTTTTGAAAAAAAATATTGTCGTAAGTATCAAGATTGGACAATGAACAAGAGCATGCTGGCAAGAGACAACCAGGCGCCGTTCGCCTGCATGATTTAATTACATATATCGTTTGTATTCAATACTCGTTGCTAAAATCACTCAGCAATTTACCGTCATGAAGAAATATTTCATTAGCGTATATTTTGATATGCATTTTCCTTTTCAGACCTAGAAGCACAGCTCCAGGACGCCAAATCTTGTCGGATGAAGCTAGTTGTAACGGACGGTGTGTTCAGCATGGATGGAAACGTGACACCTTTACCGTAAGTGTGCTAAATTTGTGCTAAAATGTTTAAATGTTTAAAGAAATTTACCTACAAATACAACTTTTTTAAAATTTCCGATAGGCTACTTTCTCGACACTGTATCTAACTCACTGTGGAAAAAAAACCCACATGCTGTACATGCAAATTAAATTCGAATTTTGGGAATAAATTCATATGATGACGTTCATCGATTTGTTAGTCATAATTTTCCGACCTTCCTTGTCATGACGGTGAATATAAGTGTTAATTGAGTAAACATGATGTTTCCACTGAAAGAGGTCAGGAATATGAATATTAAACGCATAATTGAGTTCAAAAGCAAAGGAGGAATATCTATTCTTGTAAATCGCATTATGAAACACCTGTTCAATACATCTTCTTGTATTTCTCTTATTTCAGAGAAATCTGTGATTTAGCAACTAAATATAACGCTTTGGTTTTCATCGATGAGTGTCATGGTACAGGATTCTTTGGCCGCACAGGAAGGTAAGTTTTGAACCATTTATATCTGGAGATAACAAGCGTTCTTTCGGAAACCATACCATTCCAAAGTATGCATACTCTATACATGTTTTTTTTCTATTTGTAAAAAATATTTCCAAGAACGGTTTGAGAAAGTGACACGTGAGTGCAACAATGTCGTTCATTATCAGACATAATTATACCTATTTGTATAGAAAGATGCAAATGTGTCGACGACTTCTTCAAATTTTGCACCATCTTTTTGTAGACTAGAACAGACTTTTTTAGGCCGATAACGGGCCCAATTCCTGATTTAAAATTATTCATATTTAAGCCAAATTCTCAAAATTTTGATTTGTTTAGAATAGAACAGGATTTTTCGAAGAACATTTGGGAAAAAAGCAGTGCGCGAAAAGAGTTACATACTTCAGATTAACTCTGTTTGATTGAAAACGGTCATATTCTTTTGTATAGGGGAACAGAAGAACACTTCGGAATGGAAGGAAGCACGGATATCATAAACTCTACGTTAGGGAAAGCGTTAGGAGGAGCTGCAGGTGAGTTATACTGTCAAAACTTTATTTTTCGATGATTAATAATTTCGCGGTTTTTTCAAAAGCTTGAAGCATATAGAAAATAATTTTCACTTGTTATGCATGGAATGGTAATGGCTTTCTTTCTTCATTTAATTTTGCATTACTATGTTGTTATCGGTTATATTCAAACCTTGAAAATTACAAACTTTATAGTAAGCAATATTTAGACATATGTTAGACCTGTTCAGAATACACATGTTCTTGACGCCCTTCAAAAAGTCTTACGAAATATGAAAGTTATTAAATTTATTTAATTAATAGGTTATTGCATCTCGCCATCTACATGTGTACATTTTATCCATCAATATTTTAATTCCTCGGTCGCCTCCTACGTTTCAAAATTCAAACCATTTGTATCGCTGACGAGTCCTAGAAGGACAAAACAGCTGTATGGTGACGTTTACTTCGTAGTCTGGCTCTACTCTATCAAATTGTTGTGCTGGAATGTTCTATCCACTTGTGTGTCTCATGTACAATCTTAGGAAATGCAATGATCCTTCGTTATGAACTTAGTATTTATGGACTGATACATAAAATCTACAATAGTGAAATGTTTACTCAAACAATTTGTATGTGATATTGATTTCTTTTAAATTTTCTTTAGCAAAAAATTGATTTATCATCTGAACCACACGGACGATTTTAAGATTAGATGTTACTCCTATTTGTATAATGAAAATGGCGTTAAATCATTTTTCAAAGTATGTTTTTACGCTGATATTCTGGAGAATTATAATGTAGAAAAATAAAACTTTACAAAGAAACGTTCACAGTTCAATGTTGACAACTGGTATTAATGCATCGTTCTGTTGGTGCCATCTGGTGGAGGTAGATGATTAACTTTGAACCTTTCTCCAGATGTGTTATATCACCCGGTACATCCCTATTGTTATTGGTACATCCAATGTCGTTTCCTTACCTTTTCAGGAGGATACACGACAGGACCTAGCCAGTTGGTTAAATTGCTTCGTCAACGGTCAAGACCATACCTATTTTCCAATGCTTTGCCGCCGGCTGTTGTTGCATGTGCAAGTAAGGTAAGCAAAGAGATTTTATAGATTTGTGTAAAGGTTTTGATCACTAGATATAAGAATAAAGGTTGAAAGTAGAGAATAATAGCCACAATGCATATAGACAAGATCTAATGCAAATCTCCACAAATTGGGTGTTTAGAGAGAGTTATGGATGAGAAACAAATACTAGTAAATATGAGAAATAAAAAATGTAGTCCTTATTTTAGGTTTCAATAAACAAATGTATTATTTTAATCAAAATGTAAACATGAAAGGATGATTCTGTTAATTTTTTCTCGGATGACTCGAACATTTTCATTAGTTATTGAGCGATTGAAAATTGTTCATTGTTGATGACATTTATAAATGAGTGCATAAGAAAACAACAACGAAAATACCGACATGCCAACAAAATCTTAATCTAAATTCAAATTCAACGAAACTATAGCATAATAGATTTACACAGGGAACACTAAAAAGGAAGAATAAGACTAGGTGTTCAGGAAGAGTAAACAACTTCTGCCTCATCGACGACAACTGCCATATAAATCTTGGTCAATCCAAGTAGGTAATGTCACGTTACTATATATGTTGGTATAAGCAGGATGGCAATAAAATGAAGAACATGTTAAAGAGGTCCACTGCAGGTGTATAGGTGATGGTTAGAATTTAAACAGAATTAGACGACGAAATTTAAAACAAAATACACTGTTTTGTTTACTTTCTTATGCGCATGGCTGCCGAAGTCAAAAGGAAAAAACAAGTGATAACTACAGCACCGATGCACATTAATAAAATACTAGTTTGTCATTGACATAGTTTATGAATTGAAATACATTTTCTGGATATATATGTACATATACAAAGTCTTATTTTGTTCTATTTTTTATTTCTATTTTGCGGTTACGTTCTTACGGTGCTGTATGTTATACTTAAATGATGTTGCTGCGGCCTTCACCTTTTCTCAATCCACCTCAGTGGTATCGATGTTACGTATTACGTATTATGGAGTTTTATTTTAAGATATTGCTGATGATACTTGTTACTCTTAAAGATGTAAATGTGCATACAATATTTGTATTACTTTTAGGTATCGATTTACGTTACGTGTATGAGAGTGTGTGCGTATCCACGCGTTTCACATTACATTTTTTGTTTAATGTATTCATACCTATATCCGTTATTGAAGTAAAAGATATCGTTAGTGTATACAATAACAAAATGTTTTTATTTATGTACAACTTATTCATTACTGTCACGCCATGCTATGAGACAAGTATCTGGAAAACAACCGATTGAAATAGGATCAATCCTCGATGCACAATAACCCTGTTCATAGAAACACGGCTAAGTCGAACAATCGGATAAGTCGAATATTTCATTTGGTTCCGTCGACTTCGACTTATCCGTGTTTTACTACTTAATCTGATTTGAACAATACGCGAATAAAGGGTATACAAGAAATCGACGAAAACGAAATCCCAACGAAAACAAATATTTTACAATATTGTGCAATTAAGAAAAAATTGATGTCGACATTTAATTTTTTAATTGATTTTTTTTACTGTTGATATATGTAAAAATTACATCCACACTCATGTGGAAAACATCATTAAGTCTACATTACACCAAATATGGCGCTTTGACCCTGCATTAAAACAAATTCTTGTAAAATCATTTCGATAGTCATACCTGATTCAAATCACATATATACAATATACGTTCCTAAAATATTTGTTCGTCTTTCATTATAATTAGGCTCTTGATCTGATAATGGCAAACGAGGACCTTAACAAGAGGGTACAATCAAACACCAAACGATTTAGAACAAGGATGCAGGACGCTGGTTTCACTGTCGGGGTAAGTAGTGCGCTTTAATCACTGTTGATATATGTAAAATGTAAATATCACCCAGAATGCACTGTATCTACCACCATTCACGTTCGTTTGAATTCGCTATATAGATTACTTCATCATTTCATCTTTATTTTGATGTACATTATGAACATGTATGAACATCTGCACATGTTCCGAATATTTTAGTTTTATTATTTTTGATATACAGTGTATAAAACCATTGGTAAACAGTGTGTAATACCATTGATTAATAAATATTCAATAATAGTTCAACAAAAGGCGTAGTTCTAATTCGAAAAACTATAACATGAGGCAGACAACACCCCAAGAAGCTGTCTACATTGGGAGATTTAGACAAAATGCATGGGAAGAGAAATCTTTTTCTGCTTTATCACTCTTACTTAATGCATTTTTAACATTCATCTTTTCAGGGAGACCCAGTACATCCTATCTGCCCTGTCATGCTTGGTGACGCCAGATTAGCTAGTGCCTTCGCTGATCAGATGTTGGGTACGTAAATGGTACTTGAATACTGAGGTCTAACACGGACAAAATAATATGGATAAACAAATATTTTGTAAATACAAACATTTCGCTAATTTAATATTGTGTTCATCATCATGATCCAATTCAGCAAATCATGTTACTATGAGACAAATATATATTCAGGATAATAATTTCATTGTACTTTATAAACAGATGAACATTACCTGTCATTAACGCATGATAAAGTTTTAAATATTTGAACACTTAAAATGTGTATTTCGTCCTAAAATATTAAATTTGAAATATTGGCACAGGGAAACGTTTTTATTTCTAGGTCTACATTTGAGTTCTGCTAATACTATATATATATTTAGTTTTTTTTTCGATGTGATCGTACACTCTTTATCCACGAATTTTTGTGTCCAAGCAGACATTATAATAATAAAAATAGATGAAGAACAAACTTTTAAAGCTTAGTATGAAACAAATGGAACTCTCATTCCGTTGCTAATGCTATTTCAACAACTTTGTTTCCAGCGAGAGGAATATATGTTATAGGATTCAGTTTTCCTGTGGTGCCAAAAGGTAAATTACAATTTTCAAGCATGTTTCAGCTATACATACTTAGACTAATACATATTTAAAGTAATTTGACATGTATCATTGTTTCAATAATGTATTTAGAATTTCTTTTCCAAGTCCAATGACTTATCGATATATTTATCAAGATATTGTCTATACCTGAATGGTTATGTTACTGTACTTGATCTCTGTTTTTCTTGCTTTTATTGCTAAATAGCTTTATTTTGTTTTGTAAGGTTGGTTTCAACTTTAAAATGATGTTATGTTCCTAAAATAGTCTTTCGATCAACTTAATTTTTTCTCATTTGCCTTCTATGTTTCAAAATTTAGTCCATTAGCATCTCTCACTTACAAGTCTTAGAAGGAAAACAGTTTTATGATGAAGTTTAATACACTTTCATGTTGATTATTCAAGCAGATTGTCTTGTAAGAACAATTTTTGAATGTCTGTGAAGAGTTTTACAATCTTTAGTACTTGTACCAGATTCTTTGGTAGCCTTCTGTCAAGCACAAGTGATTATGTGTCCATTGCAATGAAAATACAGCTGAAAAACACTGTAAATTAAACATGCATTCGCAAATGAATATGTGAAAGAAATCGAAATTGCTTAAATCTATTTTAGTGTTGATGTTATCATCATTGAAGTAACAAATTTGACGGTTTTTTTTATACAGGAAAGGCCCGTATCCGTGTTCAACTATCGGCTGCACACACAGAACAAGAAATAGACAGGGCAGTGGACTCTTTCGTAGATATTGGAAGGAAATTAAATGTCATCAATTAGAGATTGCGGCTTTGTTTACTCGAAAAATGCTTTGACATAAATTTTGTGTATTAAACAGACATGTCACCTTAATGTCTCACAACTTATTTACGACGAAGGTATTTTCATCCATGAACAAAGATATATTATTTTTATTTTTAAATGTATGTTTTATTTCTGGAGATGACAGATGAGCATGCATTGATTGGATTAAAATACATTTTTCCTTTTTTATTTAAAAAAAAGTTACATATATTGGTATAGTAGTTTTTGCAATAAAAGGACAGGGTATGAGATAAAAATCAAATACTCGAAGATTTATATGTATTTTTAAGATCATTTATTTGATTCTTGTTTTATCCTTGAAGCGCCGCTAATTGAACGTTTTGAAATAAAATTGCATTTGATGCCATTTCTTCTCTGAAAAAAACATTGGATATTAGTTGATAAACATTGGGTTAGCATGACAACATAACACCAGAATTAAAAAGGTTTGAACACAAGAACCAAATATCTGACATTGAGGGTAATGCTTTAAAGGTGACATCCTCATCTACATCTGAGCACTTTACTTTAACTAAGGACATATACAAGGACACTCACTCTACATGTATGTATTGAACGATGTTGCAGTATGTATTATTGAGATGATAAACTGTTCTTTGCAATAAATGGTAAATAAGGGTATTATTTCGTTAAATGTACATTGTGCTTTGTTTTCATTTTTGTAAAATTCGTGTAATATAAATCGGTAGTTAGCATACTACTTAAAATAGTTTCTAACACTAGTAAGGTAAGCTGAATTGAAATAATGATAACCTGTAGTCAACCAGCTCAGGGACGTTTAATACTGTATTAAACGATCAACTCTACAGACTTGGCTATATAATAAGTTCCCAAAATTACCATCTAGATACAATGAATATCCCTCCTTGTGTTAAATTGTTTTGTGGAACTGTTGATACAAGCAACATTATTAAATACATGTAAAGTATTATAAAGACAATTTAACAAATGTCTACTTCAGAAAGTATTGTCAGATCTATTTGCTTTGAATCCCGTTATATCAAGCTTGATAAAATTGTACAAATAATATAAGCGGAATTTCCATTTGCAGTTGTTTAGAAATGTCAAGTCATGCTTGTTGGAATATTTGAATGCAGAACTGCAGTATTAACATGTACAAATTAAATGTAAATACAAAGCGTCGTGGAGGTGACTGCATTGAAAGCTCAACTCTGTAAGAGACACAAAGAACTGTAAACAAGAAAAGGATGTTTGAAAGCTTAGTTTTTCGTACGATCATGGCCACAAATAAAAACTACCAAGGCTGAATGACTTTGGAAGGATAATAGAATCAGTATACACGTATGTTTTAACAGAAACGCCAGCTTGGTTTTAAATACCGGGTAATCTGAAACCACTAGGCGTAACACATGTATATGTGTGTGGCGTTTAACGCAATGGGTTGCGTGTGTTTACCTGTGGAAGATATTGATCGACAACTGACATTTGAACCGGAACAAGTAGAGGCCTGACAACAGGCGGTATATAAACAATAATGGCGGAGAGCTGTAGACCTAGTGTGTGAAATGTGAAGAGAATGCCATTATTCTACAAAGTAATAATGAGTAAAGACACGCTCAGTATGTCCTCGTGTTGAAAGTTTGCTATAGGATGTGACGTATTGATCTAATGGCTTTTAAATGTGGGTATGTACGTGTGATATGCATGAGGTGTTCTATGTGTACTGCTTTTTATACCTGTCCATATCTAACAGGTTCTCATACGCAAGAAAGCATGGACATTCTAAATGAGAAATACGTGAACTTGTAAAGTCTTGTGGATTCTAGATATCTAACAAGTAGGCATGGGCGCCTCAGCTAACAGCACTCACCGACAACGGCACCTATCGAACGGTAGCCTGGTTACAAATACTAGTGCATGTTTGCCGTTCTTGGTGTCATCTCCCGGTGGAGCGGCAGGTCAAACAGGCGACTATATGTGTTGTTTGTCGTATAACTTACAACCCTATACCACAGATAACCGCCACATCCACGCTCAGGTTCAGAAATTCGGACGCGTATCATCTTTATGTCTTATTGATATAACTCATGACAAGACGGTAAAGATTATTCTTTATGAGGACAGGGAGCTTAATGTTCTATCTTCACGTTTGTTACAAAACACGGGTCTACAACTATGTAATGTCGCAGGAATTCGAAAGGATCTCGTAGTTGTCCAGGTGCTTTGTCAAGACACCATCAAGTTTTTTATATGTAGTTTAAATGATGCATCGTGTAAGGTTGTGTATGATCGCAAGTACTGCCCAGAAAACAAACCCCAGCTTTACGAATGCCATATTAGTCCAGATGAAAACTTTTTATTGATAATTCAGAACCAGATGTACGCTACTATGTATGCTCCCGGAAGTAGCGTGGAACACGTGTCCATGGTTAATATAAACTGGGAACGATCAGAATGTACGGAAAGGACATGTGACAATCTGAACGAGCAGCTGAAACTTGCGTGTCACAAGGTATCTGTGGTATTTGATCCAAGGACCAACAACGATTTGGTTGTGTTCACAAGCAACTCGTCAGATCGTGGAGTCATCAGTCTATATAAACCCTATAAAGATTACGTTTTATTTAAAATTATACAATTCAGAACAGACTGTCCAGCACTTCCAGGAAAATTTCAGAATCTGCAGTTCATGAATGATGGTTCGGCTTTAGTTCTTAGTGTCATTGGTACAGCCGTACATCCTCAATCCGTTGCTTCCATCTGTCGTATGCAGATAGTGACAGCATACTGGTTCAACCCTGACTGTTACGACAAGTTAGGATCATTTTGGTACATTTCTCCAACTTTATTCATTCAGTATATGCCAATGATATCCACTAGTGGAAGATATGCATGTTGTGGTGGTAAAATATACAATTTAGAAGACATGCATCCATATTTCCTAGGGACGAAATCTTTGAAGCGCATTTGTAGGGACGTGATTGTTGACTCCGTTTTAGCCGAGGATATTGAGAAACTTCCACTTCCAAAACCCCTACTACGGTACCTCTCAGAGTGTGTGGCAGACAAGAACCAGAACATTTAATATCTTACTACACGATCGTTTGTTCCAAGACAGACAGGCAGACAGACAGACCTCGATATCTTATGTTTATGAGTATGTGAATTAAAATCATAATTTATGCAGATATTTAAAAACCTTTGATAGCAGCTCTATTTTTTCGCCAAATATCTTTACAGTACTTTAGTAACATTATCTTTTAATAATATCTGTACTCATTCTGTCTCTGTTTAAATATTTGAAACTGAAGCCCATCAACGAGCATGTTTTATTAATTAATTTTCATGACAACGAGAATGTTTTTATTAACGAATTTTCGTGACATTAGTATTGACCCTTGAAATATGACTGTTGTAGTTTGGTGTATGCGAGTGTGACACTATAAGTGCAATTAAGCAAATAAAGACACATCAGTATTTAATGTCTTATATAAATGATACTGTGCAATATTGAATGAATATTTTATTATATATATAATCAGTAAAGAAAAGTCCTTCATTAAAATAATACAAAATATATATTTTACCTTTTTTATGTATTTTTGTCGTTGAAATTAATTCAATATCAATGTTACAGGTTTATATCAATCGTTTTGAAATTGGATGTAATTATATTGTCAAACTTCATTTACCAAGCAGGCGACAATTCTGTTGCTTTCCCCACATCCCAGGAACCCAAACACTCACGCTTTTATTTAGAACACTTCATGAACCATATTAACCATTGTATTGTTTGTGCGAAACTGTTAATACTTCACGATGAGTATGAAACATCAATAGTTAATATTACATAACAACTAGCATTGCTGTGAGACGGGGTATAGGATGTGTTTTTGGAAAAGATATGATTGAATATTTTGATGTAAAAGCATAATAGTGAAAATGATAGTGATAGCTGGCCGAAGGTTTGGAACGTCAAATAGTGTGTGTGTTATGAAATATGTAGGGAAAGATAAAGTGCAAACGAAATAAAATGAATCATATAAATAAATGTTTTCTGTAATTACAGTATTACGTATAATCGCCTTTTCTCTCTTTTCTTAAATGTACTTGAGACTTGTGTACCTCCCCATTAAGATTTACACTTTTCGTTCGATCACATTCAGTTTTCGTCACTTAATTGTTTCAATTAATCAATTATTAGATATAATTTTTTTATTTGAAATTAATATCGAATCAAAACGCAAAATGATAATAACTTTAAGAACTGAGAAAATATGATAAAGGTAAATGTATAACATATTACAACGAAAATCAACAAAACACTCCACAAATCCCTGTAGTTAATAAGTATCAAAATTTATTAGGTTTTTCTCGTTTAAAAGTTTCAAAACGTTAAATAAGATGTAATGACAAGATAATGACTTCAAAATCTAATTTTGCCTGATTTTTTTACATGGAAAACGAAGCATCTGAGTCGAAATATACACTATGAAATAGTTAATTACATATCAGCGGTGTTTTGTATATCATTGTATTTTATGATGGGGTTTAATAACACTATTTACTGATTTATTAGCAGTTTAAACGTATGACATTGATAATCAATTTACAGATATACTTAAATTTTACCTTTGGTGCTGGGATCATCTTCAGGTATTCAGCTCATATAAAAGGTAGTGAATAGTACATTGAAATGTGACTTATTTCATGTACATGAGTCACAGCGGGTTCTGTTTGTATGAAAAAAAAACACATAAAAAACAAAAAAACAAAGAAAATGCCAACGTGCTGAATGAAAAAAGATGTATAGAATGTACACTAACGTTACGTTATCTGGTTTTCGAAAATTCCTACTAAAACATCATACTCACTGCATAACAATTGGGTTACCAATTCGTTCACCAGCTTCAGCTAACCATTGCACGTGTACTAAGCGAAGCCGTGTGTGCAGTCCTCGATTACACAACATTAGAAGTAAAATAAATTATCTTTTTAGACAGTCGCAGTAACGTATGATGAGTGACAAAATCTTAGACTTAAAAAGATTAATATTTCTTTGGATGTTATTGATAACTCACAACTCCGCCATCTGGGCCAAAGATGCATGGTTGGTCGATTGAAAAATAGGGACGTATTTAGTACAAAACAAGAAGAAAATGCCAAAGTATCAAATAATAACAATCCTAACTCAAATTCAATGAAACTAGGTCATAACATGAAGAAAAGAAAGTTTAACACGGACACTTCTGAAATAAGTACAAGGAGAATGAGACTTGAAGTCTTCCGGAAGCGTGAACATGCTCTGATTCATCGACGGCATTCACCATGTAAATCTTTGTCAATCCAAGTCAGTAATGTCACGTTCGAAAATGAGACCAACATATACAACAACGGAACCAACAAGCAAGCTTATGACAATCAAACACATTCAGCTTCATATCACACAAAGAAATAGAATATTTTTCTATAATATCACTAAGACGACCGTTAAACTGCCCTATAATTTTTATCAACCTACGTATTTTGAAACCCTATGTTCTGAGTTTGCCAATCAGTTGACGACATCTTGCTCGGAAATCGTAATGAAGGGAACATGCCCTTGAATAGAGAATCAACTGCTACATGTAAACGTAGAATGGGGATTCAGGGTTGTTGCTATTCAGAAATGGAAAATTCACAATAAGAAAATTGAAATCATTACGCTTATCATACAGCTTGGTGGTGTGAGATTTTAGAAATATCACCCGAGACGCTTAATACTATATACCATTGGATTTTGTTGGGCGCCGATGTTTAGAACAGGCAAAAATACTCATCCGAGCCGAGTACCCTCACAGGAATCGAACCCGAATCACCGACACTAGTATATCAACCAAGATAAAGAAGCACAACCTGTTTGTTTAAGACACACGGTCGCGCTATTCCACATATGTATGCTTCGCAAAGCATTGTTATAAAGTTGGCAATACATTCCAAGTCTATATCGGTGGTTTACATCGAATGAAAATGCATTGTTTATAAAATCAGACGGCTAGCGATGCACTCTCTTTGATTTGTCGAGATTTGTTATATCAGGGTCTCATATAGTCATAAACACATCTATTTCGCAAGACATCATATGCTTCCATCTACATCAAGATTTAAATTCTGATGGTATCCTTTTGTATTTTGTGTTGATCATGTGATATATGTAGCAAATGTGTGTTGGCGGAGTCTCGGTGTGTTGTAAACCCCTTTTATCTTGATGATCAGTTGTTAATGCGAATTTCTCGATGATCACAAAGAGTTTATATTTACATCAATATTATCAAACAATAAATAAGACATCTCTGTCTTTTAAATATTGTATACTAAAAAGTAAGACATTTTCAATAGTATTTTGAATTTTATTTCGTCACTATCGGAAGTAACAACATAAAGATTTATGGGAAGTATATAAGCCAATATTTATTAATAAAAAAAACAAACAGAAAGAAATCAAAATATCTAGGTAAAAGTAAAACCATATGAAATTACTTTTAAACCAAACATCACATTTAACTGATTATGAAAATTTCAAACCACTGTTTACATTGTAAATGTATTTGTTTATATCAATATATGTTCATGGATATGTCGATGAATTACATAAATATGACATTATATGCCTAAGAATAAAAATCCATCGGACGCTTTCGTTTTGTCTGCGTCTATGAAATCATGAGATGCAGTTTGTCATCAAATACATTTCGTGCCTTCGAAGACTTCATCATTATTTTGGCGGGGTGTTAGTGGTGAAAGTATTTCCAACTTATGAATGCTAAAATACAGCTGTTTTCCGTCAATACAAATACCGCGAAAATATATGTTGCAGGTATATTTCGACAATGACAGTGAGAGTTTCAGGATAATTTATGAAAAAATATATATGTATTAAGGAGAAATACGTTTCACTCACTTGACGTCAATATCGATACATAATAATAATTAGTTGAAGAGTTATCAAGAAAAGATAGCATATATTCTTAATATATACTAATTAAATATCGGTATTATACATTAGAAATTCATGGATAATGGTACATATTTTGTTTAAATGCTTGTTTTATACATATCATATATATAGATGAGATGGGTTCATTCAAACACTTTGATAACAGATATACGGAAAATTTTCGCGTTCGTTCACTGTCTCATTTCTATTTCTCATCCAATGTTATATGTCAAATACCTCACAATTTCTGAACATCCTGGAGATATTTCAGTTTCTCATCTTGCTTGACCATGTCAAACATTTCTCCAACAATTCCGCAACAATCATTACTGCTTCTCATCTTGTTTGACCAATCTATGTATTTCGCCATTGTTGTAGATCCTGAGTTTTTCATCACCCGGTGTCACTGTGTCTATAACCATCGCTCTACCCACGAACGCTGTAGGTACTGACCCAATTGTGGGAAACATCATTGTCCAGGGTTTCATACAAATCATGGCAATTCGTTCTCCTATGCGACTCTCTACGCGATCACACAACAGCAATCTGAATTGAGATGATGGCACACACATGTAGTTAAGAACACCGTGTTTTGGAAAACATATTTTCATTTGTGTGTCTCAAGTAAAATCCTGCTATAATCAATGATATATGAGCAAGACGTAAACGGCGAATGTTGTCGATGAAGATGCACACTCTTTCAGAACACCTGGTCGTATTTTCAAGGTAATCTTTCAGGATCTGACATATCTGTATTTATTATGTCGTTATTATCTCGCTACATGTTTACAAAAACCAAGACTAATACTTGAAATCAGTCAAATGTTTGCCACTAGTTTCGTGTCCGGCGGTTAGCATGATAAAGTAACAACATTTTGCACGACCATCATTGTAACACAACACTTACCCTGGCTTAAAGATAGACAACTTATCAAACGCCATTTTTGTAAGAGCATCTTCCACTTCTCCCTGAATAAGAGATTTATAAAAGGTATTTGACTCACAGTAAAATCATTTCTTTTTGTGGAGCTCAATTTTGGTGGATTTATGAAAAGAAAGAAACGACGAAAAAGACAATTAATGTTTTTAACGGTTGCTGATATATGGAATCGTTGATTAAAAGTACCCGCGGAATTAATGAAAACGAATCGCTCTCGAAAATATAAAGCATTCAATACATTGAATAGGAGAGCGAAACGGAGAGACGTTATGAACAATCCAACCCATTCTCACATACTTTGGTCTTTATGTAAAGAAATGTGCTGTTTTTATTCGCTGATGAAGCCGTCACGACACTAAAATGTTGACAGCCGTTAGATTTGGCAATCTCGGCACTTTTTAGCACATAATCCCGATCAACCTTGATAAATCCTTCCTGTAAATGGAAAACAACAAACGAAATCAATAAGATATTGAAATAAATATCTTCAAATAAAAGTAATGATCGATGATATTAAATCGAAACAAATTAATAAACAAGTAAACAAATCAACAAATAAACAGTTATGATCAATTAAGTTCTTTAAAATATTGTCAATCCTGTATAAACAGTTACAACAGAGGGTTTCGATAGAAGCATTTTGAAGAAAAAATGGTGGGGAAAATTTACGGTCGTTATAATGATTTTATTGGGAAATTTCGATATCCTTGTGCGATATGACATTGTTTTCGATCGATGCTCGTTAGTATACCTTTTGTTTACGTTGTTGTTTACCTTGTTCATATTTGTGTCCTGGCATTACTTTGTTACATGGCGGTTGTTGTCGATGAGCACGAGACATTTACTTTTTCAGAACCTATGGTCTCCGCGTTAAGTATTCTTTTGATAATACTTATTTTGCACTGTTTATATTGACATGTTGGTATATTTTTGTTGTTTTAGGACACATAGCAGCGGTTACAGTATCCATGGTAATGGTTTGACAACATATTTTGCGAATTTTGGTGTTAAACCGCCATGTAGACTGCGATAAAACATTTCGCTTTAAAATCACTAAATCTTTTTCAAAGGAAACATAACTTTATGACTGTATCTACTCAGACATTAAAACAAAACTAAACTTATTTTACAACAATTCCAAAACAAACTAATTCAAAATATATCGATCGCTCCTGCTGGCCCGAATGGAAGCAGGCGAGGGGTCTGGTCTTACTCTGAGAGGAAATTCAGTGTATCCAGGGGCCCCCATACAGTCTCATGTCGGTTCAGTGAATCGAATCCCGAACGCCGAAGTGAAAGACGAATTTGTTAATAGTGCGACACCTGACCACACAATGCTCGATGTTATGGCTATATGCAGAATATTCAGCTTACACATACTAAGTCATTACCTTTCCTGCCTTGCCTTTGGTAGTACCTAAACAACAGTAGCCAACATGTGCTCCTTGGAACGTCTCTGTGTGTTCGTCCAGCTTATCATAATCGACAACTTTTTGTTCCTGTTAAAGCAATTTGTAAGATCTTACACACATGTATTTAAGAGGAAATGAAAACCTTATAGTAAGTAACATTTAATAAAACCATGAAGAATGTAAGAATGTTACACGTATCGCGATCAATGATGTACATTTGTATTTTGAGAATAAGCGTTTATGAAATATATGATTCCAATAAATTAATTTGTAAAAAAAATGACGGAATGACAAAGTGTTTAAATACAACAGTTAATGGTCATTTCTGGTATTGAAAAAAAGATGTGTCGAAGAGCACTTTTTATCTTGAATGCTGTGTGACAACACTTCTTCTGATGTGTTTCGTAACCATTGCTGTTATATTAATACCCTAAATCAAGTGATAAAAATATTCGATCGTGCAGAGAATATTATCAAATATTGTGCGTTGAAGTTAAAATGATGATGATAATGATAATAAAACAACAGACAATTTTCCAGATAAAAACGTGCATATATCATACAAAGATACAGAAAGGATTCAGTAGTAGGTAAATATACATTTCAGCTATTAAAACAATGTTGTAATTTAAGTAAAAAAGAGTTATGCTGTAATTAAGGGAGTATGGTTATATTTACAAACTCTGGTCCAGGATCAGGACTGAGGTCCACTTTCCTGCGACCGATGAGGACTACTTTGTTGAATATCTTATTCTTCGACAAGGCTTTGACGAGCTCCTTCCCACACTCCCCAGTGTAGCCGATGACAAAAGCTGTCTTTCCCATATCCTTATACAGCTTAACTTTTTCTTCGAAATCTTCTGACATTTTAAACATCCGCCAACTAATTATGCAAATAAAAAAGCCCTATTCAAATCAAAGACCATGAAAAAACACAATACATTTTCAATATCGCTTTAAGTAATTTCTAAAACTTCCATTCCGAACAAGTGTGTAAATTAAGGGAAATTTGATAACAACAGAGAAAAAAATATTGTAAGTAAAATTATTTTTAGAACCTTTTATGACTTTGTCATATGATTTTGCTGTTAATGTAAAGATGGCATTTTCCAAACTATTTAAGTTAAACAACAATTTTGAGAGACATGGCGGGTTCCATCGATGTAGAAGAAACCAATTGCTCTTCCGGAACACCTTGGCTTTTTTCTCCTTGTACTTTATCAGGATTCTCCGTGTAAATCTTTTCGTTGTTTATATTTTGCCCTAATTGTATTGAAGTCGAGTGTGGTTATGTTGGTATTTTTTATGATTTTTAGTTGTACGTTTTATTGAAAGAATAATTTAATGAATTACTTTTCCTTACTTAAGAGAATCGGATTCATTCATTATTGCACAAACAAGATACATGTTAGTAGAACTTGCAATAGAAATTCAGAATTGAACATAGAATAAACAAATAATAAATTAATCTGTATCATGCAGCTGTTTCGTCGCATTGGAACTCATTAGTGATGCTCAGCTGAGAGTCACTTGTTCTGTATTCTGATATACAAACGTAAACATTTCATGATTTTTAATTTATCAATGGATATACAAACGTAAACATTTCATGATTTTTAATTTATCAATGGATATACAAACGTAAACATTTCATGATTTTTGATTTATCAATGATATACAAACGTAAACATTTCATGATTTTTAATTTATCAATGAATGTGCTGCTTACGTTTTCTTATTGTACCAATCGGTCTGGACACAGGTAATATTGTCAAGTTTTTATATAAAAAAAAACCCAGTTCACCATGTTTGATCCCTTTGTTATTATTTGTTATTATTATCATAAAAAATCATCATTTTAAACTTGTCGATGAATTTGCTGCTTACCTGTTTGTAACAATCGATTTCGACACAAGATAGCGTAAATATTTGACATAAGAATACGGTTCGTTTGTAAGTCCTTATTATCAACGGGTATACCACAGGTCACTCACCGAGTTTAAAGGTTACTGTACACATACATATGTAATCGAATATGTGTTTAATCTTCATGAATGAGCACACGATCACGCTACTGAAAATTTTAATATGTTGTGTACTACAGTACTACAGCTATATAATTAAACTACCAGGATCTTAAGTAACACAAATATGGCGGATTAGTAAATCTATGCTGAGTTGTCATGAATAGCCAAATTACCAGTATTTCCTGCGTCGTTAGCAAGTATGCTTAAATGAATAATCGTATTAGCATACTGTGTTGTAAAATTGTACAGAATATGATATATACTTACATGATCGGTTTATGATTAGATTCCACTTAAAGCTATCTGAACAACATATGCTACTCGTTGACCAACCTGTTCGTCACTTTATGTAAAATCGTTAGGTAGCATAAATACTTCACCGTCTTATCAGGAAGGCTAGTACACTACCCGGAGCCCTATGTATAGGCATTCCGTAAAGAGTGCTAATAATAGTAAAAACAACGCCTGCACGACTACTCCGGCTACAAGTAGTTATAGACTAAATTGATATCAATATGATTATTTATTATGGATAAGAGATGGATTATTTTAGGCAATTTTTGTTTGTTAAGTTTATCACTCAATGAATAGTCATGCTTAATGTAAGGCGGTGTCCCCTTGTAGAAGTCTATTTGGCTATCTACCAATAAAATTATCTATATGAGCGAAAATGGTTCATAAAATAGCAAAAATAATAAAACTTAATATACATAGATATGTATATATTATGAAACATGTTATGAGGTTGTACATTTGGGTGGGCTAAACTTAGCGCATCAGGAATTGTAATATAAATCGGATATACCTTTTGCTGCATTGACCCGACTTTTGTTTTACAAAATCAGTATTTTTCCCTCAGAAAGTGCTTCTCAGCAGCTGGATTTATTTTAAATGGCATTTATAACGACTATAAATCCCATGACAAGACAGTCACATGCTTTCATTTAACACTAATTTCGTCATAATTAAATTGTTTATTTACATCAAACTCCCTGTATTCTTTATTAACAGTGACATTGTGTTTACGAATATAAATACGAAATAGACGATTGACAAAATTAATCCGTAAAATATACTTGAAAACAAAGTAGCTTTTGTTAACCTTTTGAGCAAACGGTCACAGCGAATAACAAGGAGAATTTGAAACTTTCGAATGCCGATAAGACAATTTGCTCACATTAGGAATTGTATTCAAAGATTTAATCGATTTAAACGGCCCTTTTTATTATTACTTACTGTACATGGATTTTCATTCATTACTTAAAATATCTTTCTGCTGCTGACGGCCTATTAAATTTATTCCTCAGCGTCTGTGTGTCTAGTTTCATGAAAAATCATCCATGATAGGAAAAGACAAGATTGCGTCCGAATTTTATTAAAAACATTATTTATTTAATATGTGAGCTGTAAAGACAATACGAAGTATGATATTCCATTGATCATTAGCATTATGAAATAATAACTTACTAAAAATACATGTCTACATATCTAGACTATCAATATTAATTGAATAATGCATACAGGGAAATGTTCGTTTATGTTTAATTTTGCACCTTTCTGCCATGAACAAGAAGATCGATTTTAAGATGGGGTCGAAAATTTGTTTTACTCATATAATCTTTTTATATATTTCGCACAGGGCGGAATAAACATGAGGTAAATTCGTGATTAATGGTACAAGAGCGAAAATAACCTTGTACTATGTACACCGGTATACAGCGTCATAATAAAAACGATAGAAAAGTTAATTACTATCAAGATGTCACCAAATACACATACGGCGTGGATCAATTTATCCATAATTCTTTATTACACTGCTGGTTTTAGCACTCAAAAGTCTAGTAGTTGATGTGTTCTGACAACCAAAGGTATTTAATTTAAACAAAAGCATTAATAACAAAAACAATAAAAAGAGGGGGAAATGGAAATATAGACATGTCAACAGAACCGGAAAACAAAATTTATTTGACGAAGGCAAAATATAAAAGAATATGCAAGAAGACACTTAGGAAAGTATAAAAACAAAAAAGACCCGGTGTTGCGATAGGTACTACACCACTGATAACAATGACTAATGCAAACGACCAAGGCTTATCAGTAATCCAATCTGTCATTTGGGAACTGAAAAGAGTTAATCATTTTAATGAAAAACATATATAGATGTCTTGAGACAAAAATGAAAAATGTTTCATATAGTTCTATGTGTTTGTAAATATAAGGTAGATCACATTGCAGATCTAAGTATATTAAGACTAGAACTGCAATATTGCATGCCCGAAAGCAGCAGCAAAAACAACAAAATTGCTGAATCAAATATTATATCTTATGCTTTAAAGGCTAACTCAGCGAGTGTCTCATGGTAAATAAAAGCTCTCATGCTGCACATATAATCTGCCTTACCAGGAAGTGTCGTTCGAACTTCATTACCCACAATACACTTATCACAGCATGTAATGAGAACAGCCGACCCGATTATTGGATTAAAAATATCTTGACCAACATAATTCATATAAATGTTTTTCTCATTACATCGATTTCAAATCCTTGACATGGTTGTCGTGCATAAGCACACATTTTTGACTTATACAGTGTGTTTTGTTCTTTGAAAAATGGATGTATTTGATAAAAATAACTAGTTCATGTGCTTAACGAATGGAAATGTGTTCAACTGAACCATTCACAGAAAGGTCCAGTTCTATCACAATACGTCGTACGTCTATATAATTCATATACAATGTATATCTAACGTTATGTTTAAAACTTCATACCTTCGGAAGGCTCTAAAACCCGATTTATTTTTATTCTTATTAGAAAATATTAAACTTTTCATCAGCTCATGGTTGTTTGATAAATATATTTAGATCGGGTGAAACCCCGAAATCAGCATCAATAGTAACTGCTACTTCACAATAAGCAAATTAAGTGTAAAATATGGAAGCGATACTAATGACGATGTCGAGATTCCGAATTTCCCTGCTGTGCAAAAATTTATAATTTTCCCAAACATCGACAGAGGATAGCGAAAATCAGCCAATGATTTTGAGAATAGATATGCACTTTTTGCTTTTCAAGGCCTCGTCATTTCTTTCCGTCTTGTTTGACCAATCCATGTATCTCGCCATTGTTGTAGATCCTGAGTTTTTCATCACCCGGTGTCACTGTGTCTATAACCATCGCTCTACCCACATACGCTGTAGGTACTGACCCAGTGGTGGGAAACATCATTGTCCAGGGTTTCATAATAGTCGTTGCAATTCGTTCTCCTATGCGTGTTTCTGCACGATCACATAACAGGACTCTGAATATATAGAATGAAATACATTTGTACTTAAGAAAGCTGGGGAGGGTTGGATAAGTGGCTTTATTTCACGAGGAAATTTGACACAGGGTTAAATTTCCAGGGAAATGTCCACGTCACAGTGGACAAATCATAAAATTACAGGGTTACCGAGTAGAAGGTGGACAAGTATATTAAAAAGTCGTAACCAGGTGTGGTCGTGTCCTTGTCTCATAATATTGTTAAAATTTAAAAAAGGAAAATACCATGTAAAATCTTAGGGCAGACCATGGCATGGTCAAAAGCGAACTAAAAATACTAAGAGAGCAGAAAAGTAATGAAAGCATTGCAAATAGGGAGAGTGTTCAAACCTTAACGAAGTATACGGAATTTGTGGAAATCAAACGATTTTTTAATGATAATTCCGTGATATCAAATGTGAAATGCGCCGAATCCAAACCTTGTCGAAAGCATTTCGGGATAAGCTAGTCGTATTCTCTAAACATAAACGTACATACATACAAACAAACAGAAGACATCAAATATGTATTTGTTCGAATGCGATTAATACTTACGCTGGTTTAAAGATAGTTAATTTGTCAAACGCCATATTTTTCAGTGCATCTTCTACTTCTCCCTGTAACACAGAGCAAAATAATACCTAATTAATGCACAATGTATGACATTAGATATATGATCTTCAGATACGAAAAACAGTTATTAGAAGTGGACAATTTCTGTATCTATTTTAATTTCTGAGGATTTTTTTTTTCATTTAAAAAGGAAAAAATACATGAATATATTACATGGAAAATTCATTGTATGTCTATATTTGACTTTTCTGTCCTACACTTTCAGTTTTCCTCAGTCGCCTGCTATGCTTCAAAATTTAGGTCTTTAGCATGTGTGTCTTTTGTATACTTTTATTTATTTACAAACCTTGGTCTTTACGTAGAGAAACATACTGTTCTTATTTGCGGTTGAAGCTGTTATCACGCTAAAATGTTGACAGCCATTTGACTTTGCTATTTCTGCACTTTTAATTACGTAATCCCTATCTACCTTTATAAAACCTTCCTGTAAAAAGTAAAACAAACATTTAAAGTTAGCAAAATATTTTGGCGAAGACTTCCGTGTTGTTGTCAGTGATAGAAATAAAGAAAATACCGAAATATTTAAAAAAAAAAAAAAAAAAAAACAGTTCAAAATAAGTATAGATTTTAACCTCGTGATACAACGGTAGAGCTGTTAGTGCCCAGTGGCTATCATGTAATGGTCACTTATAACAAAGGTAAACAGAATGGAAAATGAAAATACATATCAACATCATCATAATCTAAGTTCAATTTTGTACAATATTTGATATGCAGAAATGTCTGTAGTGGTCACTTATGGCTTCGCGAGGGAAAAAAAGGGCAGGCTCTGAAAAGGGTAAAACGATTTCCCAGTGAAAATGATGTTAACTTAATCTCTCTGAAGTACCAACATCCTGCATGGAACCCATAAACTAGGAATAGAGCTAACTTCAATGGATATGTACAATTTGACATCGGCCAATAATATTCAATTATTGAACATAATCTGAAGCTCACGTCAATGATATCTGTTAACCCGTAGTTTTTCGCTTCCCATTCATTCTTTCCTTTTGCTTTTTGCTATTGACAGTGACTCAATTGCATGGTTTTTTTTTTATTATTTATTTTTTGTCAAAATTGACGAATAAAGAGATTATTCGCTTAGTTCCAATTTATCATCATAGATTTATTTTTTCATGTCTGTCAAATATCAGATAAACACATTTCTGATATATTTATTTTTGCGTATTTTACAAAAGGTGTTTCTAAATCCTGACCAACGACCAGCGTAAACTTCAGTTTAAACACATTTTATATGTTTGTCAACATCGAAACAATCGTGTGACGTCATATACAGGTGACATAACAATAGTATTATTACAAGTGTAATACGCTATCAGTAAAAGAATCATATTACTGCAGGTTCCCTATGTGATAAACATAAATACGATTCCATATTCGCTCACAATGACCGCATTTTTATGAAAAACATATAAACAGATGTCGTTCATGGACACATGAATTCCACTTTCTTAGCACTACGGCATTACCTTTCCTGCTTTTCCTTTTGTTGTACCCAAACAACAGTAGCCTACATGGGCTCCTTGGAAAGCTTCTGTGTGGTCCTCCAGCTTATCATAATCAACAATTCTTTGTTCCTGTTGGTAAACATTAAATTGTTATTCGTTACAAGCATCAAAATGATAGCGAAATATAAATATCTAAAATCACAAACCTTTCCCATCACTCTCCCTCCGAACAGTTAGAATATCAGAAAAAAATCTACCAGAATAAGAATATGAAAAATTAATTTCGTAATTCATATAATTTAATTATTTGATTTTATGATTATTATGAAATAATATTTTGACTTTTCGTAAACGATGTATTTGTGCGTTTGTCTTGCCCTTTTAACGATTCAACAAAGGGACATATACTTATATATTCAAAATACTTATATATTTATTTAGCCATGCTTATCTAGTTCTTGCTGAGAAAGATTATAAAGTATTTATTTTATTTCTGTTGGATCCAATGGGTAATAACAAGGGATAGGACCCGATTCTTATTCCGATAACTGTGTTGTACAGTAAATTCATTAACTTTCGTGTGTTTTTCATTGATTTCCTTGGTACTTTTAATCCACGCATTCACACATATTCAAGAACTGTTGAAATTGGTATAAATAAATTTATAGAACTGTATTGCATCCAAGAAATCACATGTCCACGAAATGACATAAAGGAACCACGGTAGTCGAGCCCCACAGTTATCATATATAAATATAATGATCAGTGACTATGGTAAATATCGATATAGCTTATTAAAGAAATGAGTAACATAGGAAGTTTTGGTACTTAAGGTCAATCACGACGTATAAAGTGTGTACGATGCAGTTTAGGTATATGACGTCATAATTTCCTGCGTGCTGTTTAAATGTAAACAAGTCTGTCAACATGTTATAGAAATGAATTACACACCAATATTAAAATTAGATTATTTATTCGAATTTCAGGAAAAGGAGAGTGATTTTAAGAAATTAATTCAATGATATAAAAACGAACAGTTTAAAAAAACATACAAACTCTGGTCCAGGATCAGGACTGAGGTCCACTTTCCTGCGACCGACGAGGACCACTTTGCTGAATATCTTATTCTTTGACAAGGCTTTGACGAGCTCCTTCCCACACTCCCCAGTGTAGCCGATGACAAAAGCCGTCTTTCCCATATCCTTGTACCGCTTGACTTTTTCCTCAAAATTCTCAGTCATTCTTCTACTCTGCTAATATCAGTAAAGCATTATTTTATGTATCTGCACACTACGACAAGAAACGACACAACAATGAGTATGAATGAAAAAGGCCACCCTTACAGAGAGGGTGACTTTGTATTTATTTATGAAATTAAAAAACATATCTTACAGTTACATAAACCGTAAAACGAACAAAAGATTATTTTTTAGTAATTATAATAAACAGCCAATGTGGGGTTAACAAAAAAAACCGCCACAATTGCTGATAATAAATAACGTTACTATAGAACAGATGATAGGGTGGAAGTGGGTGGGTAAATTTTGCATAAAAAAATGCAAGTCCACTCCACTAATTGAACTACGTATTGATACAATTAAAGATGGCTGCGTTATGAGAGGGGTCTCAGCATCCGCGCGAAAGTAACTGACCAATCAGATGGCCGATGACCCTCTAATTCAAGGGACATAACTCTTAGTTATTTTTTTGAAAAAAAATCAAGGGAAATAACTCGTATATCTATTGAACAAAAAATTTGACAATAAAAATATCTTGTATAGTGTTTCCGATACATAAATTAAGCTAATGCCTTTGCTGCCTTTTATGTATCTGCACACTACGACAAGAAACGACACAACAATGAGTATGAATGAAAAAGGCCATCCTTACAGAGAGGGTGACTTTGTATTTATTTATGAAATTAAAAACATATCTTACAGTTACAAAAACCGTAAAACGAACAAAAGATTATTTGTTAGTAATTATAATAAACAGCCAATGTGGGGTTAACAAAAAAAAACCGCCACAAAGACATGACAAAATGTCTTCCCCACACTCCCCAGTGTAGCCGATGACAAAAGCTGTCTTTCTCATATCCTTGTACCGCTTGACTTTTTCCTCAAAATTCTCAGTCATTCTTCAACTCTGCTAATATCAGTAAAGCATTATTTTAACAATAATAACTGAAAATAATCAGCCGGTTCCGCAAAAATCCCAACACAGTACTTTTATCTAGTTTAAAAATGTGACTTAATTTCATTACGATAAGAAAATTCTGCAAATAAAAAATAGCTGTTATCAAATTGGATAAACAGTTATCAAACCAGTTGTCAATACACGAACACCTGTTTGGCGTGGTGCAAACTTAATGCTGAATCATATATTTATGTAGCTTTCATGTCTACAATTTCTAAGTAAAATAGTGATGTTTTATTTCTGGGAACCAGAGTACACCTTTACCTCAGTAAAGGTCTCAACTACAGAACTTTTCTGTGTTATAGCGAAAACGAGGATCTGGGATAGTAAGATATTCATGTAGTCAACGAAACGCATACTTGGCTTAATTGATCAAACGAAGAATGTGAGCTTGGGTCAGATAAACATGGGGATATGTTCTTGCAATGTAAATAATTCTAAAAATGCTAAAATACTAAAGGCATACGTTATACATAAACATAAAATCTTTATATAGTAAATACATCGGATAAAAACATCTGCATGGATATTTAACTTATACACAAACGGATATATGACCATCGATCTGTATCATAACTGGGTCAGCTTGAGAACGATAACATTTTGTTTATCCATTATGTATTTAAACACTGAATCTT